CTGTGGCAACAGAAGCTGATGCTCCAGGGTATTTTGATAAACAGGTTTTTTTTTTAAATGGAGTTCGGACAAGGCCGAGGATGACACGTAGCGCTTGGTCAATCGATACGCGCTACGAAGACCGCAAGACATGCGCGCATGCAAGCGGCAGACTCGCCGACCTGTGCGGCCATCGCGTCCGAATTAATCCATGTGCAGAACCACAAAGCTGTGGTCACCAACCCCCCCCAACACCCCTGAGCCCCCTGGCTCAGAGCTAGCAGATGGGCATCAGACGGCAATGCCGACCCCATCATTGCCCAGGGCTGCCGGTCGGCGTCCGACCTTGAGGTGGGTGGATGCCCTCTCTCCCTACCACCCATCCCCATGTCCACCCTCGCCCATCTGCCAGTAGCCTGGGTCTAGTTACTCCCTGTCCCAACTTCCGCACGTGCATGTCTGTGTTTTGCCTACACCGTTAGATTGAATTATCGCACAAAATGTTGGCAGTGGAATCCTAAGGCCTGTGCATGAATGGAGTATTGGCATTAGCGCTTTGCCGTGAGCAGGTTTAAACACAGTCCGTTATAATTACAAAATATTTCTTGCTCAAATGAGCATTGAGGTGCTGCTCATCTCATGTAGTGGAAATTCTACATTCCTTTGGTGAGAGGGCAAGTCCATCCATTGGATAACCACTATTATCTTCCCCATAATTTTATCGACCCCGGGGGGATGCTGGACTGAGTCAACCCAAACCAGGATTTGAGCTCCCAACCTTGTGTTTGCATTCCACTCTATCGTTGAGGAACCAAAACCGGTCATGAATTGGGAGAATCATGGCCTCGTACGGTTGTTGACTGCAGTGTTTTTCATTTCCCAGCCACCCTCGTATGACGAGGGAGATAGATTTGATTAATAATCAGTGCCTAATACGTATGCGGGAGAGAGGCAAAAATAAGTTAATCCAGGCCCTAGGGGGAACAGTCTTAAGTCTCACAAACCCCAGCCCTAACTCCAATCATAACAATCCCTTCCCACGTTTCTCATGAGTTTAACCAAACCAGGTTAGGAGGGGTCAGGTGTCGTGTCCAACCAAAGTCGCTATCCGACGAACAGAGAATGCGAACCCAACTTCAGAAGATCACCGAGTTGCAATTAGACGTTTACAAAGCAGGCAGTGCGTTTGTTTTGGCGTGAGTACCAAAAGTAATGTGGCCGTTTGGTCGAAGGGAACCTGCCGATGGCAAGAGTTAATCCGGTGAGCCGTCACTCAGAACCGCGTGCTGCACAGCACGAGCCATACTCTGCATGGTGGGGCCATGTGGCAGCGTTCGCATATCCCCTCGAACCGCGAGCCCCAGTCTCGTGATCACTCACTTGATCGGTAGCGACATGGGCGCGTGGCACTGCGCCGAAATGTCGACGGAAAAAAACAACCACGACCCTTGGATAAATTATGAAAGCGTGGGTCTAATTATCAGTCACTTCTGTGTTGCACATGCAAAATGATTAAATGCTGAAGCGTGGATGTTACGAGATTGATTTATTGGATGGTTGGGGTCAAAGTGTGCGTTTCTTTTCTCAATGTGAGCCGGCACCGTGGAGAGTCTCAGCGTCGGTGTGTTTTTAGAGTCGTCTGGTCTATCCTGCGGTGTCTCAGGTACCGAAACGAGCTGGGCGTTCTGACGATATCGGGGCCTGGGCACCCTTTGCGGTCGATGGAACAGGTTTTATAATTGATGGGTTTTGTTAATTAACTTAAAGTCACGCCTCGGCTAAGATGAGAGTGTTCTTGCAGCACCCATTGTGAATGTAGACTGTATTTATTGAATGAAATTTGTGGGATTTTATCAGGTTAAATGCTGGATTAAACTGGGTGCTCATGAGTACCTAAAAACACGTGAAACAAATTCACGTTTGTAGGATGTAAAGACGCTGTTTCGAGCAGACGTTTTAGGGGTTAACATAGCCCAGCGGAAGTGCATGCCGCTTGTTACAGAGGTTCACATTTTAAATCCTGCAACCACCCTGGTTAACACTGCAGACGTATTAATCATAACACGTTATGCGCTATCTGCTTCTCGGCGAATGCTAAAAGTTCTGTCACATTAAAAGTGAGTGACATTGTGGACTAACGTCATGGTCCAAATTTGCCGATTATTTTAATTCACCCGCAAACGACTAAATTGGGAAGATACATAGCAACATTGCCCCCTTCTGAGAAAGTATTGCAGGCTGTGAAACATCTCCTTTGCGATAGCTTTGTGCATTAACAGCGTGAATACCAAATGCACTTAAAATATTTGATTTTATCTCCTCCATCTGCCTTGTTCACACCTTGGGGTGAACAAGGCAGCTGGAGTTGAACCAGGAGTGAGTTTTGACGCTGCCAGGATAAACCAACTCCTTGTTGGGGGGTAATATACATTTTTTTAAAATTTCCAGGTTCACCCAAGGCCCTGGCCAAATGTGACAATCATTAAAGAGGCAGCAGCACATGAAGCATTGCTGCCTTGCCTCCTTCCCAGGACCATTATTCTGAGTGCGTTTTCCATCTTACTCTCGCTCACAGTGGGACGGTGCAAATGTGTAAATTTGTCACGTGTAAATCTGAGAGAGCGGCACAATAATCCTATGAGCGGTTCGGCGCTGACGCCATGTAATAGCGCCGCTCCTGATGGACAACATCTCGGCGCAGATTTGCGCTCTAGGTGAAAGCGCCACGTTTTTACACGATCCATCCCGCGCGTTGTGCAGAAATCAAAGTCGTTCTGACGGTGTCCGCTTGGCGTGTCACGATGGATCGATGCGTCCAGTATGAAAGTAGATTCTCATGCATCGAATCGAGTATGCAACAACCAACGTGTATCACTTTGTGATGGGTGGATGTGACCCATTCGGCCACTAGAGGTGCTGTGCTACCATAACTTCAAGTTTAAACCATATAATGTATTCTGGAATCTAATAATGAGCCTAATTATTTGTAAAAACTCTGAAAGGTGAATCGTCTCATCCCTAGTGTTTATTAATGAAATTACTTGAAAGTCAGAGTTAAAGTGACTACCTGCTTAAATTAGCATCAAGACAATGCTCAACTCCTGTTTACAGCCGAGAGCGGTAAATGTTTCCACAGGACAACCACTGTTGATTTTCCTACAAAGTGACCCCTTGGCCAACAACCCAACCAAGATTTCTACTCGCAACATTCTGATTTAGAGCCGATCACCCTTCCGTTGTGCGACCTAGCCAGGTTAATTACTTACAATTCAAAATTATACGTGCAATGATGTACTGCACTAACATTTAGGCTCACGAAGGAAACAGAAGGACGAAAATCAGATGGAAATGCCCATTGTGCGCACAGCATTTCACTGTGCGTTTCGCCTCTCTCGTTTTACCCCCTGGGTGAACCATGGAAGGGGTGTGGCCGTGGTTTTGCCGTCAAGTTGCCACGCGCTGGCATTCTTAATGAGCGGTGCCAGCGCCTGATGACCATTTTACATTGCGGTCACATTCACTCTTGAGCAGCGATGGTGGCCGCACCCCAGGACACACACACACACACATCATTACCGGTGTGTGTCATTGTCGAGGTCAGACACTGCGATCCCGGGGTGCTTGGGAGAGGGGTGGGGGGGGGGGCACCTGTTTGAGGCCCCTCCGTCTTTTAAATCACGTTCCAGCCATAAACGAGCGAGAGCGGTGCGCCAGTTACGCCGGTGCTGGACGATGCTTCCCAAGGGGAGGGTGCCATGAGAGGTGAGTTTCGGCAGCTGGGGCGAGCAGACGGAGGGTGGTGGGAGGGTGGGCGCTCTGTGTAATCGCAACGTCGAATTGCTGGCGCCCTTGGAACGAGACAAAAACGACGACCACCTGGTGCTGAGCCTGAGGCCGCTGACCACCTCTGCTGGTGCGGCTCGGAGGCGCGTAGGGGTGGTAAGTGTGGAATGGGACGGGAAGTCGGGCGCCGCAATCGGGGAGGCGATTGCGCTCGGCAGATGTTGCCGGGATTAGTCTGGCGGTCTGCTCGAGGAACTGGCGGATGAAGCTGTCGTCACGGCGACTAGGGTGGTCACGTGGGCCCGTCGCCATGGTGCTGCCTGGCGTACGTTTTGCGGCTAGCAAGAGTCGCCATGGTTACCATTACCTCATCGGGGCACGCGGGGGGGGGGGAAGGGGGTGGCGACAGTGTGTTCTCGCCGAAGACGGATGAGAATGTTTTATAAAACGGAGAGTGGAGGCACACGATCGTGACCTTGAAAGGATGAGCAACGTAACAGCGGGGTAAAGGACCGGCGTTCGTTAGCGGAACGTGCGACGGCTCGAGCCGACGGAGCCATGTAAGTACCGGAAGGGGCCTCGCCGGTCGTGGCGCCTCCCAGACCTCGCCTCGCTTAATTTGCCTCCTCGCTCCCAAGTGGCATCACGTTTGTGTGCTCGTGCACGGAATTCTAGAAACATGATGTTCTTAATTGAGAAGCTATCCACAGAGCCACGCGTTTGGCGGTTCCCCACTTGGCATTCGTAGATTGCAGCAATTTATATACATTCGGTTTATATATATAACTCTCATGCTTGAGTATATATAGAAGCAGCTGGGTACACGAGCTGTGATGAGTCAGACTTGGATGTTATCTCTACATGTGCTGTCTGCTGTGATCTCTGTGTTGGGTGTGTGTCACCTTGTGCGTCCATGTGTGTTTCATCTTGTGTGTTCGTGTGTTGTGGGGAGCAGAAGTAGAGTGCTCCATACACAGCACTAGGATTTCGGAGACTTGAGTTTGATTCCTGGCCGCTATGCACATCGGTTGCAAGTGGTATCTAAACCACCTCCCCTCGGTTGAATTAAATACTCATTGCTTGAATATCGGAATTGACGAAACAAAGCGGGCAGGCTTGGTACTGGCCCCACTACCCCCTCGTGCACCACATCCAACCTAATATTCGTTGACGACAATGGCACTTGCTCCTACAAGTTTGTGAGACCGCCTCGGGGTTCTTTGTCTCTGTCTTTGCAGGCCTGAGGCTGGCAATAGGCATGCATCCCCTCCCCTGGAGGCTGCCCCACCGGCTGCCCCCACCTCCCGGCCGACCGACATTCCCCTGCTGCCCGAGGGCCCAGCCCCGGCCCACGTGGCGGCCCCCCTCCTCGAGGAGGCTCCTTCCCGCCCGGTGGCGGTCACGGCGGCAGCAGCTCCGACCCCTCCCCTCGCGGACGCCCCCTCGTGTGGGACGGCCCCCGTCCACGGGCCTACCCCGTCACCCCCGGCGGTGACTCCGCCGCTGCCCATGGCCGCGCCGCCCTCGCACCAGGAGGAGATCTTGGGCTCGGACGACGAGGAGCAGGAGGACCCCAATGACTACTGCAAAGGTCGGCCTCATCGGCGGCAAACTAGCTGGTCGCACTGCCATGCATCCCCCCGCGCTCTTGTGCGTGGCGAGCATTGTGGCGTCTCGTTTCTGGGCTTTAATCAAAAATGCGTTTGATGCTCTGAGATGAAACCGTGTCGCTCAGGAGCCGGGGGTAGGGACGAGCGCTGCTGTTGCTGCTGCAGGTGCTGCTCCACTGGGGGGTTTCGCGGAGATATGAACGAGCAGCTCAGTGTCCCTGCTCTCGCCACTGCTGGTTTGATGGATGTCAAGAGGACTGTGGGCCCAGAGCCCTGAATGAAGTGTGTGCGTACATGTTCGTGCACTCTTTAGTGGGGTGTGTGTGCGTCTGTCTCTCTGTGTGTTTGTAAGTGCATGTATGTATGTTGAACTTCTTTTGCATTGCACGTAGCCAACCGTGCTAATCAGAGGTGCGGGGGAAGGACAACATACTAAAGACACAAATCACTTCCTAAGAAATTAGTTTTAAATTTAAAAAAATCAATATAGGTGGGGAGTCTGTGTGTGTAAATGTTCATGTGTGCTTGGTTCCCGCTCACGGCTAACATGGGAGACAAATATCTTAACCGGTTCTTGACATCCCTTAGTCGACTCAGCCTCATGAGTACCTGGTTTGTCATGTAAACATCAGCATTGGGGAGACAAAGGCCGGCATGCGTGGTGCTGGCCACCCATCCCCTCCCCGTCGTGTGCCGTGCCAGCCTTCACAGATGCTCACTAAGAGGACTTGCCCCAATAATCTGTTAAAGGCTCCAAGGAGGATCTTTGCTTTTTTTCTCTCTCTGTGTTTACGCATGTGTGTATGCGAGTATTCGTACGTGTGTGCGCGAGCGTATGTCTACGCGTGTTTATACGTGTGTGCGTGCACTCATGGCGCAGGGGGCTACCACGCAGTGAAGATCGGAGATCTCTTCAATGGGCGCTACCACGTGGTGCGCAAGCTGGGCTGGGGCCACTTCTCCACGGTGTGGCTGTGCTGGGACATGATGTGAGTGGCGTCCACGTGAGAGTTCACATGGTCCCGTGTGTTGTGAGCAGCAGTGGTGCATTTCAGCACCAATTATGGCGAGCGGTCTCAAGGCCATGAAGAGCCTTCCGTATTACCGTTCTCCGCGTAGCACGAGGGTGCTGGGCTGCCGGTGCGACGCCTTCGTCCTTGGGGTTGTTTGAAGTGGAATCCTAGGTGTTTAGTTTTTTAACGGCCGGCATGTCAGCCCGGTCCCCACTTGTCAGCCTTCGCATGGGGCGACAGGCTGTCATTAGCATTCAGGCTCGAGCCATCCCTTAAAGGACCCGACTAGAGATGATTCACTTCTCGGCACCGTTGGTGACACCGCTGTCGCGCATGAGTTTAACATAATTTAATTTAAGCGGCACAATGACCGAGCGGAGCGAGAGTGGAAGCAGAGTGGGAATTATATTTTCGACAACTGTCACGTTTGTGAAAATGGATGTCGTGGTAATGGGCCATTTCTGATGAAAGCAGCGGAGAGCTTGGAGACGGGGCCATGTGCCCGGATCTTTAGCTGGCGGCAAAATGCGCCGCACGATGCGGCATCCAGACAAAGCAGTGCACACACACGCTGGTGCATCGGTAGCACTCGGAGCGAGCTGCAGCCAACCGCACCTCCAATTAGCTTGGTTGGCTACGTATGGTGCGAAAGAAGTTAAACTTACAAGGAGATCCTGCTCTCCGTCTAGAGGGAGAGAAACGGGGGGGCAGGTGAAGTGGATAGTGTCCCTCTCCCCACCAGAGTGGGGAGGCGATGGAGGGTGGTGACGTCGCAACCTGGGTAGTCCCCGGGGATTGGCTCCTATTTATGTACCTTAGAAGTGATTGTGCACTGCAGGCCGCTAATGGGAAGGGTACGCGTGCGACTTACTAATCAGCAGCAAAACACGCAGCTCCGCGAAAAGTCGTTGTGAAGCCGCAGAGGTGGAATTTTAAAGGGATGATTTCTCTCAATTTAAAACTGGTGATTCCTCTGCTCCTGAGAGGTCCGAGCCGGGTTTGTGTGTATACAGGAGTTGGGGGGGAGTTATATAACGAGAGCCATGGTTAATTTGCGGAGTCGCCGGTGGCGGAGGAGGCGGAACGGCGAGCAGTCAGACGTCAACGCGATTGCGAACGGAATATTCCCGCTTGCCCACGCGCAGGGCGGAGGGGTGGGGGCGGTGGGGTGCAGCGCAATATTCCGATGGCGTGGGGGTGTGGCAGTGATGGGGGTCGTGTCAGTGGAGAGGGCCCCGCTAAGCTGTACCACACAGCGAGGCTGCAGGGGTGTGAAGCTGCGCAAGCGAAGCGGGGTCTTTGGTGGCTCCGGGGTGTACAGGAGCGGGGGTGGGGGGTGTTATTAGGGTACAGCTTTAGAGAGAGAAAGATGCACATTTTCACAGCAGTAATTGGCACAGGTGGGGGTGATTTGCTCATAAGTAGGAGGCCGCTCGACAGCTGGTGCCTCTGTAACGCTTGCTCTGCGCCGGCTTGCGCAGGGGCAAGCGGTTCGTGGCCATGAAGGTGGTGAAGAGTGCGCAGCACTACACGGAGACGGCGCTCGACGAAATCAAGCTGCTGAAATGCGTGAGTGATGGCAGCACCATCATCGACTCTAGCTCGTGCGCATCACACTTGTGCGCGCCCGCCCACGCGCGCACAGATGGCAAGGAGACACGGGTAGTGCACAGCGTTATCAGACGTGGAGAATATTAAAAGGAGAGCTGCGATCTCTCATTTCTGTTGTCGCATGGAGCAGTGTCACAGTTGTCAGCCCTTTGCACTATGCACCCAATGACCTGAGGTCAATTGCTGGCCGCGGTTAACATTTGCGGCGCAGTATCTCCGAACCACCACCCTCGCCCTTAACCAACTAATACGAACCAGCTAAATGAGGTTTGCAACCTGCATCTGACTGACGTTGGATTGACAAAAGGCTGTCAGGTATTATTTTTCTTTTTTATATATATTTATCTGATGCTCGTGTGGCTATCACTGTAGCAGTGGTGTGGGAAGCAATGGGACGAGCGCTGCCTGTCGGTATCCCGTGATCCTGATTTGATGTGTGCCACTTCCCCTGCCGACGAGCAGGTGGTATGCTCTGGCTTGCCAGGAGAAGGCGGTACAGCAAAGTGCGGACTAATTTCTTCTGTCCCTTCTGCATGGGCTCGAGTGTTGCCCCCTCGACTGTGTGGGCTTTGTCCGGGTGCTCCAGTTTGCTCCCAACATCTAAGCACTCATTAATTAGCTGAAGAAAGCACCTTTATATATAAAGGACTGCAGAGCTTGAGCAGTTGTTGGTAGCGCCAGTTCACCACCTGGCTGCTGCCTTCCAGCGTGTCTGTGGTTCCTCAGCGATTGTGAGATGCGATTTCCATGAACGATGATGCGGTATGTCAAACTAGACATTGTTATTATTAGGCTACATTGTTTCCTGCTACATGCAGGAAGTAACTTAGGTGCGGGACAACAAAAGCAGCACAATGGAGAAGGCACAGCTGCATGAGGCCATATGGCCGGTTACAACTTAAAAGCACTGCAGGGCGCAGCTTACTAATTGGGAAGCTCATTACTGAAAAGCTGTCCACAAAATGAGAGAGATTCGACAGGAATATGATTGTGTGCCTCTGCGTGTACAGTGAGGGAAAAAAGTATTTGATCCCCTGCTGATTTTATACGTTTGCCCACTGACAAAGAAATGATCAGTCTATAATTTTAATGGTAGGTTTATTTGAACAGTGAGAGACAGAATAACAACAACAAAATCCAGAAAAACGCATGTCAAAAATGTTATAAATTGATTTGCATTTTAATGAGGGAAATAAGTATTTGACCGGATTGATCCCCTCTCAATCAGAAAGATTTCTGGCTCCCAGGTGTCTTTTATACAGGTAACGAGCTGAGATTAGGAGCACACTCTTAAAGGGAGTGCTCCTCATCTCAGCTTGTTACCTGTATAAAAGGCACCTGTCCACAGAAGCAATCAATCAATCAGATTCCAAACTCTCCACCATGGCCAAGACCAAAGAGCTCTCCAAGGATGTCAGGGACAAGATTGTAAACCTACACAAGGCTGGAATGGGCTACAAGACCACTGCCAAGCAGCTTGGTGAGAAGGTGACGACAGTTGGTGCGATTATTCGCAAATGGAAGAAACACAAAAGAACTGTCAATCTCCTTCGGCCTGGGGCTTCATGCAAGATCTCACCTCGTGGAATTGCAATGATCATGAGAACGGTGAGGAATCAGCCCTAAACTACACGGGAGGATCTTGTCAATGATCTCAAGGCAGCTGGGACCATAGTCACCAAGAAAACAATTGGTAACACACTACGCCGTGAAGGACTGAAATCCTGCAGCGCCCGCAAGGTCCCCCTGCTCAAGAAAGCACATATACATGCCCGTCTGAAGTTTGCCAATGAACATCTGAATGATTCAGAGGACAACTGGGTGAATGTGTTGTGGTCAGATGAGACCAAAATGGAGCTCTTTGGCATCAACTCAACTCGCCGTGTTTGGAGGAGGAGGAATGCTGCCTATGACCCCAAGAACACCATCCCTACCGTCAAACATGGAGGTGGAAACATGCTTTGGGGGTGTTTTTCTGCTAAGGGGACAGGACAACTTCACCGCATCAAAGGGACGATGGATGGGGCCATGTACTGTCAAATCTTGGGTGAGAACCTCCTTCCCTCAGCCAGGGCATTGAAAATGGGTCGTGGATGGGTATTCCAGCATGACAATGACCCAAAACACACGGCCAAGGCAACAAAGGAGTGGCTCAAGAAGAAGCACATTAAGGTCCTGGAGTGGCCTAGCCAGTCTCCAGACATTAATCCCATAGAAAATCTGTGGAGGCAGCTGAAGGTTCGAGTTGCCAAACGTCAGCCTCGAAACCTTAATGACTTGGAGAAGATCTGCAAAGAGGAGTGGGACAAAATCCCTCCTGAGATGTGTGCAAACCTGGTGGCCAGCTACAAGAAACGTCTGACCTCTGTGATTGCCAACAAGGGTCTTGCCACCAAGTACTAAGTTATGTTTTGCAGAGGGGTCAAATACTTATTTCCCTCATGCAAATCAATTTATAAAATATTCTTGATTCTTTCGGTAAAGTCACGTTGAAGGGAAACAATAAAATATATATAAATATATCTTTATTGTTTTTTATATATATTTTTTATTGTTTCCCTTCAACGTGACTTTACCGAAAGAACCAAGAATATGAATCATTGCAGTCACGAAAGCTTTACATCAAAATTGAACAATTTATAACATTTTTGACATGCGTTTTTCTGCATTTTGTTGTTGTTATTCTGTCTCTCACTGTTCAAATAAACCTACCATTAAAATTATAGACTGATCATTTCTTTGTCAGTGGGCAAACGTACAAAATCAGTAGGGGATCAAATACTTTTTTCCCTCACTGTATCCACACTTGAGGCTCGTTTCAAGCCTATTTCTCCAATTTTATCCCGATTGTGCTTTCGGCATTTTGTTATGAGACGAAGAATCGATGCGGAGCAGTGCAACCCTTAGTGTTGGAGAACAGCCCACCGAAGTGGATACTATGGAGTTACCTCTGATAATTCCTTCAAGTGAACTCTGGTCTCCACATATTAGCAGGCAATTTTTTTTCGTTAGCCCCTTCATCATTAGCCCTGCTACTGTGAAACCGATATTATGAAGTCTTAAAGCTGGAATGTATTCAATTGAAGTGCAGAACCAAATTTTACGTGATGGGTTTTTTTTGTGGAGTCACTCGTGATCTGGCTACAGTTGAGAACCTGGTTTAACCACAGGCAGCTGCCTGGATGTCTCAGCAGTTTTGCTCAATGTTCTGATCTCTTGAGGCCACGCAGTCACCTCAACCAGAAAAAAATTTAGTTGGAGGTAAAAAAAACTTTCCTGGTTGCAAGAAGCAGCTTTAGGAGCCGGACAAACAGCGGCATGCGCACGAGGAGGGGGAAACGTGCTTCCGGAGTTCAATGAAGCCCATCGTTGTGCATCTGCGGGCGTGAGAGAATTGAGGGTCAGTCGCCGTGTGTCGCCGTCTCGCGACACAGGTGCGGGACAGCGACCCGTGCGACTCGAACCGTGACATGGTGGTGAACCTCCTGGACGACTTCAAGATCACGGGCGTCAACGGCACGCGTATCCTTCACGCTACCGCCACGCGGGCGTTTCCAGCCAGGGCTTAATTTTTTCACTCGGTATTTTCTGGGTCACCAACTCAGACAGACCCAGGTGACGTTAAGCCCATGCCCCGCCACCTTGCGGATAGGAATCGCTGTGGCACACGCGCGGGATGTCATCAGAGAAATGTGCAGACGGCCTTTGCATGACGTCGACCGTTTTTTTATATCTTCAGGGAAGAAAAAATGTTAATCAATAATTCCCTATTTATTACCTAATGAATGTTGAATTTTTTTAAAAGTTATATCTCTATGTACAGCGTCCTATCTCAAAGACGTCGGTGATCATGGCCTTCATTACATTCACCTCGGTCCATGATATTGCTCAAGAATGTTGAATTACAAGCTCCCAGATGCATCCAATTTTACAAATTGCTTTTGTAACTTGATTCTCTTATCTTTCCAGGCTTCTTGTACTTATATTTTTATCACTAAAGATACATTTAATACTTTCATTATAGAACACTTTCATGTGGATATACAATCAAATTTATTTTCCTCATATGAGTGACTTTGAAAAACGACTTGACCCCTCTGAAATGTTAGCTGGCTGCGCCAGTAACAACCGTTTAAAGTAATTCTGTATGCAGCCATTTAGGCATCGGAGTGGTTTCTCTGTGACATTTGCTGGCTGAGGGGGCGGGCAGCCCACGTGGCATTTTAAATATTGTAATTGGAAGTCGAGGCCCGGTGGTCCGACAGGCGAACGAAGGTTGAACGCTGGAAGGTGGTGGAGCCTTGACAAGACCCGCAGACGTGTGCATGGTGTTTGAGGTTCTCGGTCACCACCTTCTCAAGTGGATCATCAAGTCGAGCTACCAGGGCCTACCCACGCCGTGCGTGAGGAGCATCATTCACCAGGTAGGGCAGCCCCTGTTCCCGTGTGTCTGCACGTGCCCGCACGCTTCCACCACAAAGCTACAGCGAGAAGGCGCAGGGCCTCGTGTTGGAGAATTCCCAATGTTAATTCGTCTCATGTTGTGTGAAAATGTCCCGATGTTTGCGTCACTGACTCCGAGGAAAATCGCCAGAGCGATGTGATTTGGTCATGGTGTGAATTTGGCCCTAAATGTCCTGTGGTTAATGGAGGCACAGGTTTGCAATGAAGGTTGCATGGCATGCTCTGTGTAAATTTATGAACGCCTTGGCGAAGAAGCTATCTGTGCAGTGGGGTTGGTGCATCGCTGTCTGAACCCAGTGACCTGTGTTAGATTTCCGACAACGGTGTTTATTGATATCTGAACCAGTCCTGGAATCCTCCGACTTTCATCAACCCACATTGACCAGAGTGGTGAGGTTTTTGCCAAACAACGGACACAACAGGGAGGCATTCATCCAGCAGTGGATTGACAAATAACTCATTAAAACATGTAATATTTGACTGCGTATGCCTTGGAGACAAGACACTAAGGCTGCTGTGCGAAGTGTTAACTCGCATGCAGATTATTTATCATCTGCATTAAAACTGCACTGTCTTTTCAGACTGTCACATGCAGTTGATCGGAGCGAAATAATTAAAACATTCCCGACTCCTGCAGGAGCTAATCCTCAGGAAGTGCTCATACTGGGTGATGGCATCAAGTGATGAGAGAGGATGCAGCCCATATGTATTCTAGCTGCATCGCACACCACCCACCCACTTGGCGCTAAATAAAATGTGCCGCAGCAAATTACTTTATGACGGACGCAGAACATTTCTGGTTGTTATGGCAGCATTATCTGCAGGGACCGGCTTGTTAACTATCTCACGTGGACCAATCCGACCGTGTTTAATAGTATCCGTGCAAAATATTGCTCAGCTCACAGGGAGCTCTGTGGGGGGGGGGGGGGGGGGGGGGGGGAGATTGTCATCGCGTGATAGACAGGTTGAATGGATTTTTATGGGGGCTGTTGCACGGCACTGGTCGTTTTTCTTCGTCAATGTCACCGTCCACTAGAGATTCGTTATCCACAACTATAGCAATAGCTGTCAGCGCCACGGAGTGTGGAGCACAAAGAGATTTGAGATGGGTACTATGTGTCCGCAGCTCCCACTTCACTTCCTTTGTCCGTTACCCATAAGCCTCGCTGTTTTTTCTGCACCTGGGATAGGTGGATTTTTTTTTACTTGGGCTGTTGTGCGGGTTTGGCTGTTTCTACCCTGATAATAGCCAGCAATTTAATTTTGCTGGGAAGAATTGGTATCGGCCAGGTCTCCTGTAAGAGCTTGGGGTCTGCCCGTGACCCAGAGTTGTGTGTGGACACGGAGTGACAGCATGCGATGGGCACAGGGACATAGAAATCCACGGAGTAGCCTTTCTGTTTTATCCATTTTGGCTTTCCTATTCATAATGCAATAGAATATTTAAAAAATTTCACAAACAATATCGACAGCCACGTACCATTTAATATGATAACCCTATCCTGCCACCTCTTGTCAAAAGAAGAATGCTCTTATTTAGGATACATGGCTGTTGCTATTAATTAGGGAACACATGTTTTAGGTCAGAATTAGGATGCTGTTGTGATGCGATGATCAGCACACTGAACTTGCAATCCAGAGATCATCAGTTCCATCTCCCGACACAGCAGTTGAAACAATGGTGCACGTTTCCGAAATGCCCCCTCCGCTGTCCACTCGACAATACAGCTGGGTATGCTGGATTAAAGTCGATCGACAGGTTCAGTGTGGTGGGGTAAAGTGTGAGTCCCCGCTCGTCTTCTGCCAGTAATGGTGTGAGCAATTGTAGGGCTGCAACCTTAATCTTTCAGACGAATACAACATCTTGTTGAACACCACTGTATAAAAGGGCCTTGTCTTTCCCTTACCGATAGATTGAAAAGTCACTGCTATTGTTGTATAAAAGGTTGTGAAAACAGGTGGCACTTTGGAAGTAATATCGAAATCTGCTGTCGTTAACGCTGTTGTTTCGTGAGGACGCGCACAGTTAACGGCATGCGCCCGTGGAGGCCACAAGGGGGCACCAGCGTGTTTGCTAGAATCGTTCTGCCAGCGCCGCCCGGCCGCGGGGGTACCGTTTCCATTATCCGACTCGATTGATCGCTCCCTCTTAGCTCCAGTGCATCACTGCTGCACATTGTCGTCTACCACGCCAGCAGACAGCAAGTTATAACACCGGGCGATTGTCCGTTCTTTAACGCCTTGCCTGATTTCTCGCGTGCGTTGTCATTTGTGCTTTTAAGAGTAAAATTGAAGCCCTTGTTTAAATCTCGACTTTGTTAATAGACTGACTGCAGCTTGCCTGCATTGCCACTTTGTCAGCCGGTCCTGCATGGGAATTAAAACCAGGGCTCAATCACAGCCGGGTCTGTCCGGGTTATCAACCCGGAAAATATTTCTGTGCATCCAGCACACAACATCCAGTATATCTTTCACTACGGTTGTGGCCACTAGTCACGTGCTACCTACTCCAGTCTAACAGCGACTCAGAAAGTATTTACTAGAGAAATTAGGCTCAGCCTGCGAAGTTCACGGAGCGTGGTAAGCTTGACCCCCCCGGCAATAAATTGCAGTAATGTCATGAAGCAGGGTGAGGCGTTTGGCCTAACATTCGCACAGGCGTGGATGGCTGTGCTACATGTTGGTATTGTGTTTGTCGATGGTGCTTTCAGTTTTATTTTGGGCAGTGCTAGTGGATGGAGGTGGGAGGCTGGAGCCTGCTCCCCCCCCCGTCTGTGCCGGATTCAAGCATGGCGTCGGTGTTTATCTTTACATTAAAAGGCCCTTGGCTCCCTGCAGGCCAAGGGGGCTCATCAATCACAATTAATTGTTTGTCTTTGCGCCCGTGCCGTTCTGTTCCGTGATTCACTGTGCGCACACGTGGGAGGTGCGAGATGTGTGAGTCTCATGCTGATTGGCTTCCTTTATTGGAAATTAAATGAACCGGATCGCCCACGTAAACTACAGAGGTGGGATCCATGCTGCGAGGTTTTGTTTGCACCTCTTCATTAAGCAGCCCGTGGTGGGGTTGTACTCAATTAAGATGGTAGTTTGTTATTAATCTCGCCCGTGACCCTCGTTAACCTCCCAATCGCTCCTGCAGTCTCGTCTCTACCGACGCTATGATGGCATTTATCTCCAAGTGGCTCCGTCAGTGTCTTCTTACAGAATATTGTGTTGTGGCCACTGTGGCCACTGCAACTTCAAATGCCGTTGCTTCGAGATTTTTCCATAACTTCACTGTGGAAGAAGTTTGTCCAGCCTCATCGTCAGCTGCCATGTGAAGATCGATGATCATTGAACTGTTATCCCCAAAACTGGCTTACTGGTACCAGCTAGAGTGGCAAATGCATTAGAGTTTGTGTTGTATTGGAAAATTGTATCACAGACCACAAATACGCTTGACAGCATTGTTACCATGGTATCTTTTTATTAGAAAAATTGCCATTAAATGGGTGCCATAGTATGTTTGATAGAAAAATATGATTTTGGGAGAGGAAGAATTTTTTTACAAGAAACACGCATGGAATAAGATAAATATGATGCCTGTCTGCAAAACAGATAGTATAAAAAGTCTTAGCTTTATGCTCGTGGCGAATACTGGTAGCATCTGCCATCCCCGGAGGGGGTGTACCGACCAACCCCCTTGACTCATGGTGGGGCTAAACGGAAGAAAAGAGAGACAGATTGTGCTTGTTACCGATACTTGGTCTCCCACACCTCCCCCCCCACACACACGTGTGACCATGTGCGCAGGTGCTGCAGGGCTTGGACTACTTGCACACCAAGTGCAAGATCATCCACACGGACATCAAACCCGAGAACATCCTGCTGTGCGTGGATGATGCGTACGTGCGGCGCATGGCCGCCGAGGCCACACAGTGGCAGCAGCAGGGGGCACCGCCCCCCTCCGGATCTGCCGGTGAGCAGCACACCCTGCTCGGCATCACTCATGCAGACGGCGGGGGGGGGGGGTCGCTTGCTCTGAAAAAATGTCCCGTGTGTTAGGAACTCAAGAGAAGCGGAGTTGCTTTAAACCGGTGGATGATTTAGGGTTAGAACTTGAGTTCTGAATGGAATTGGCCACTTGGAATTTTTTTTTTTACTTTTGGCTGTGGTCAGCAACCAGAAATAAATTCTAACAGTGGAAATGAAATGGAACGGAAGTAAAAATGGGCATGACCAATAAATAAATGTGGGTGGGTGGGCGATACAGTCCAATGGGTATTGGTCGGCGCTTGTGGGAACGAGGTCCCTAAACACACCGGTCTTGTCATGGCCTTGTACGGTAATATGTGATCTGAAATAAATCCAGGGCACCTGTGAAAATGACATAGTTCACCTAATATTGTTTCTCTTAGCTAAATATTAACAGTAAATATGATTAATTATTTGGTTTATTTTGGGTTAGGTCATGTAGGTATAATGCCATTTTTTTACTATAGACCCTCCACCACCCAACAGAACCAAGCGGATTAAGTTGATTTGGTTTTTCAGCAAAACCAGTCATAATTTTGACATTTTGTATGACGTTTCGATAGCATTTACATCCAGTATCATTGGGTGCTCATTAAAAAACAGTCTTTATTCCCTCTTTCTCTCTTGGATGTGTTCTTATCAGGTCATAGCACCGTGTGTTGTCCGACACGATGCCCGACGTTTCACTCTTGTAGAGCGAAACGTCAAACATCGTGCCGTACAACACATGGCACAACCAAAAAACACATTGGATAGCTATACAGCAGCACAACCGCGACATGTACGGTGTTAATTGACTACCTTGGACACCCGTGCAAACGAGATGTTACATTTCAGGGGCTTTTCCAGGTGAAATATCTTAATTAGTGAATAGCACCCACTCTCTCTCTGCTCTGAAGAAATGCCATTGCCGGAAACATCAGCCTGTACTAGTGTAGAGGAGTAGTGGAGGACGTCATGTCACTCAGGGGGGTGGAAAGGGATGACGTCAGAAGTTACGGGGGATATATAAGGAGGAACCCGTGACGTAGGGAGGGGTCGTCGCGAAGGGCCAGGAACGGAGAGAGTTGGGGGAGTCGGGATCCAGGGTAGGGGGGATTAGCGCCAGGTGAGTGTGATACTTCACCCGGCCGACCGAGTTAGGTGATCCCTCGGTCGGTGCTGGGGGGGGGAGATTGCGTAAGCCTGGGTGGAGCTCGCGTAAGCCTGGGTGGAGCTAGGGACTTTCCAGTACCCTTTCCCCTGGGGAGATATTAGGGTTGTTACCTGTTGGGCGTAAGCCTTTAAGAAGTTACCGGCAGTAGCCCTTAATAAACCTTGGCATCAGCCCCTACTAAAGAACCGTGTCCGTGTCGTCAGTTGCACCTCAACACTAGTATAAGACAGCGTTTTATTATTTTCTCGTTTATATATAGTTTTAAGTTTTAATTATAGGGGTAGCATGTGTGGGATTTGGCTGCGTTGATGCAACTTGTCTGACAGCATTCGTCTCTGTGCTCTTGCTCCCCCGTCCCCCCCACCTCCACCCCCAATAGTGAGCACGGCTCCACAGGAGAAGCAGGTGGGTGCCTCTGTCACTCGTCGTCACGCCGGGATCGTTAATCGCACTCGGAGTTCCTTTTTCCCGGCTGTGTTGCCCGCTTTGCCGGAAGTGTGTGGGCGTGCGTGGGCGTGCGTGCGGCACGATTTGTTCCGCGGAGTTATTTATAGCTCTGTGTTGGCACCATTCATAGACGTGGCGACACGACACTCGGTTTTGAAGTGCCTCGACGCATCTCATGAAAATCCTTCTCGTCGCGGCATTTGAAATTTAAATTTAATTGTGAGCCGGGCCCCCGGGCGCCGGGCGTGCGCCTGCCATTAGCCCAGCGATTAATTCCATCTCGAGGCTGAGCAACTGCGGCATTTTGGGGTTCTCTCCAAAGGCAGAGCGGGGATTGAATCCACGTTTATTACAAGAGTGAAGAAGTAATGGAGGCTGTGATTGGTATCTTCTCATGAGAAATCTTGAAAACAGCCAGAAAAAAAAGAGAAATGAACGGTCGACCTCCGTCACATACAAGACAATCGGGATTCGCCTGATTGATATTATTGTTCCTGCTCTGTTAATATAAAAACAATGAAAAGAAAATGTCATTTAAAAAAACTGCCGTATAATTATATGCGTTAAAAATAGAATACACTTTTCAAGAATATGAAGCTGATATTGCAGCATATTTGGCAAGGACATCAATTTAATACTAAATTGATACATTGGTGAGGTAATTAATAGGAAAGGAAACGGGGTTGTGAGAATTTTTTTTTAAATCTCCGCCTTTGTTTAGAGTGAAAATGAGGAATGTTAATCTGCAAGAAGGGGCCTGTGTAATTAACGTGCTGCGTGTTATTGCAATTGTGTGTGTGTGTGTGTGCGTCGACCCGATCTGTGTGTGCACTGACACGCGCCGGCGCGACTCCGGTGGCTTCTGCTTCCCCCCCCCCTCCCAGATGGGGAAACTCTCGAAGAACAAGAAGAAGAAACTGAAGAAGAAGCAGAAGCGACAGGCGGAGCTGCTGACGCAGCGCATGCAGGAGATCGAGGAGATGGAGCGCGAGGCCGAGCGGCGCCGACAACTCGACACGGGGCCACAGTCCCTCGAAAGTAAGCACGATCAGGACGGGCCGCCGGACGGCCGCGAGCCTCGCTGCGTGACTCCGGCGCCTCTGCTCGAGCAGCAACAACAGATCGAGCCCCAGTGCAAGCAGGCGCCCTCCCAGGAAGGCCAGGGCCAGGTGGAGGACAGCCAGGCGATGTGCAGAGATGGCCAGGAAAAGCCTCGGCACGGCGCGGCCCAGAAGCAAGAAGGTCAGACCCCCCCGAACGAGGTTAGGAGCGTGGCGAGCGAGCCGCAGAGCCTCCCGCTGGATGGTCCGAAGCTTTGCGACGCCCAGCCTCCGCAGCAGCACGAGGCTAGGCCTCAGCGATCCCCCCACAATGCTTTGCAAGAAGAAGAGGACTCCCAGAAGACGCAGCGAGAGGAGCAGGCGGGAGGGCGCGAGTCGCGCAGCGCTCTCCCCAAAGATGGCACCGACGCGCAGCGGAACGCACGCACCGATGACTCTCAGTCGCACGAGCCGCCGAGGCCCCTCGCTACGAGCGCTGTTCAGGACGCGCCGCTAGACTTGCGGGCCGAGGGCCATGGTGCAGCGCAGGGCGACTCGGCCACAACCCACACAGCCACCACCACCACCGCCGTCACGTCCCTTGTTGCAAGGGAGTGCGAGCGGCCGTCGAAGGACGCAGTGCGGTGTGACGTGGACCCTCCCCAGCATGCCACCGTGCCGCAGCAGGAGTCTGTGGATGTTGCTGATGAGGATGATGGCGATGAATGTAAGACGCTTCTTCTAACCCGCATCTAACACGCCCGCTGTCCAGTGCGGTAGAACCTCCCACAGTTGCAGCTCCCTCCTGAAGCAGTAACTCCACACTGCTGCAGCTTTGATCAACAACGACTTCATACGGAATTTCTGATGTAAGCTACTTCATGAGTAATGCTCGCCCCCATTAGGACCACATCATTTGCGGTCGTTAAGGTTTGAACACTAGGTTGGGCAAACTTGGAAATTCCCAAGGTGAGGGTTCACATAATGCAACTCAGTGGCCATTTTTACATCCCCTCCAGTAATGTGAAGAACCACTCAGGTGTATCTCCATTTATTGGACGCTAGCAGCCATACATTAAACCCTGAGAAAGCCACCTCTGACGCTGGGATTTTATTATAATTTGGCTGCTGTACTTACCAAAATTAAAACTCGTTACGTGGCATTTTATCATTCCCGAGATCAAATTGTAACGGAGGTTCCACCGCACTCTGTGTACTAATTTACGCCACTTTAAATTATTTGCGATTGTCACACGGTACTATTAATCCTGGAATGGTTTTGTGGGCAACGCGTAATTAACTTTCCGCGTCGTTCGCCGCGCATTGATATGCTGGGTGCATCGCGCCACCACTACACAGCTGCGAACGTGGCCAAGCTCGTGTAATGGATGTTTGTAACGCTCTGGATGCATCTTTAACCCTCGTTATCCCCTGCCGCCATGCCCGGGCGCGGCGCATGCGATAAATGGTGTTGCCGGCCTACTTGCCTGGCTGAGATTCCGGCTTTTGGAAGTTATGGAATGGATCACAACACTGCTTACACCACTCTCCCTAATTCTGCTCGAACAACCTGCGCCACCGTGTTCCTGCTGCTCAAATGAGCGTTGAGGCATTGGTGCTCATCTCCTCTCGAGAGCCTTGAGCCAGTGGTACAATTCCACATGAATATTGCAGGGGCATGTCTATCATCGGACAACTACTGTTGACTTCCCCCGCAAAGTGGCACTCATTTTATGGATCCCGGAGCGAGGGATGTTTGGCTGCGTCAAACAACCAACATTAAACGTTATCAAACAACCCAATTGAAATGCGCGATCAGAGTCCGCATTTAACGGGGGCATGTTAATGAACGCGCGGTGGCGGGGATGTGTGTGAGCACGCCCCGTGCTGGGCGGCGATAATGGGGCTCCACTGCCGTACGTCGGCAAGATACTACTCATCACCACGTTGGCTCTCGGGAATCAGGGCTCTCGGGAATCTCTCACCGCCGAACCCCCCGCCCTACCTGTGCTTGTACCGTGTCTACGCTTCGGGTATGGGTAGGGGAAGGCTATTTCATACGCTGAACGGTTCGCATATATTAACTGCTTATCTAACGTACCAGTGCATGGTGAGATCACAACCCCACAAGCGTTTCTTCCACAAAAATTTTTTCTTTTTTCTTTCTGGTGGTAAGGCCACATTTCTCGCTTGCGGGGGAACTCACCCCCTCCCGTACAGTTCACCGCTGGCGCGAGTGTGTGTGGGGCTCTCCTCCCCACTTGCCCCCCCCCACCATTTCTGTCGACGAGTGGCTCCTCACGCCCTGCCACTGAGAGAAGCGCTCTGCAGCACACGCCCCCTGCGCCACACGCCCTCGCCACTGTTTACAAAGACCAGCTGTCGTTTGTAATTTCACTTGTGTGTTTGGTCACCTGCACAACGCTGCTGCCTGTGACTAAATGACCCGGAATACGCCGGATAGCATTTCGATGAGCGACTGCTGTGCATAACAGGTGTTATAGGCTGCTGCGAGGGCTGCATGGTGGACTGCAGAGGCTTGTGCTGAAAAATCCTTGGGCTGTCCATGGCTGGTGTTGTACGTTCCGTTAGTCCAGTCCGCCAAAATGCAAATTGAATTACAATTAAAAAAAACTAAGCCATATTTATTGTCAACACTATCCTGTAGTGTTTCAAACATCCAAACATTAGCCTCTCGCATTTTTCTGCTACAAGTTAGTTACAAATGCGGTAAGTTTATTATTTGTTTACCTGCGCACTGCACTGGCAACGGAGTCTTGTCTCTGTGCCGCGCCGTCGACAGGCATTCGGCACGAGCGGGCGCGGCAGCGCTGCTGGCTGACGGGCAGCACATACGGTTTCCTCCCCCGATGTGTACCCGCAGCTGAGTCGAGCGAGACGAACGTGGCCTACGAGTGCGGCCATGTCCCCGCGGACCCTCTGGACCGCAGCGGCAGCTGCTGCATGAATGGCGCCGGCTGCTCGCACGCGCCGGTGGCAACGGCGGTGGCGATAGCGGACGCAACGACAACGGTAATTGCAGCGACACTCAAGAGGATCGTCATCGCCAACGGCAAGACGCCCGGGCAGCTGGTCCTCGCAGAGGAGAACGGCTGCCTTGGCGACGAGAGCAGCGGTGGTTGCTACGACGACGTGGTCACCAGCGGGAACGGCGGCGGCCCGTGCGACGCAAGGTGTCGCGCGCAGCCGGACGCGGGGCCCCACGCAGGGCCCAACTCCGCGCTCCCCGCCCTGGGCTCCGCTGGAGCCCCAGCGAGACAACAGCGGCGGTTCAGTTTCCCGGAGGGGTGCGTGCAGTGCAACGGACACCTGCCCAACGGCCGGCACGGCAGCCCCAGCTCGCAGCTCTCAGGCGCCAGCTCCATCCTATCTGGTGGGCGCTCGGCCTCCATCCTGTCGGGCATGTCGAGCAGCTACTCGCTCTACTCGGAGTGCTCCACAGTGGTGGACAGGGACGAGTTTGGGGAGGACGAGCCGGAGCGCAGGAGCCGCACGGTGTCCACCTCCAGCGTCAGCGACTCGGCCCGCAGTGAGTTGACACTCACACACTCTGACCGCTCCGTCCGAAACCCTGCCTCTCCATCTTACGCTCTGCTGTGCCATACTGTCCACTATAACTCCAACCCTCCCCACATCCCATGCTGGCCCCTCTCCATCCCATACTCTTCCATCTCCCTCCCACGTTATCCCTTCAATCCCACGCTCTGCCTCCCATACTGCCCCTATTATCTCCCATAATATCCGCTATAACTCCGATAGCTCTTTCCTTCATCTCCCAGCACTCGTCCCTGCCACACTCTTCCCCTCGAACACCCAATACATTCATCCATCAACTTCAAGACTCTCCCTTCACCCTCTCGACAAACGTCACACCACCTGTCTCCAAGCTGTCCTTCTCTGCCTCCCGTGTGCCACCCCCACACCTGGCTCGTGATCACAGAGTGAGCCCTCCGTCGTGTGTTGATGCTATGGGTGCCAACACTGGCATCATGACAACAGCCAGCCATTGTTTTTGCCGATGAAGTCTGCTGAACACCCCCCTCCCCCAAGTCTCTGCTGGCCTGACTTTCGCATTATAGCAGCAAGCATAGTTCATGAACACGTGTCAGGGAAATTTACATTGGAATTTGACACGTTTTTAAATTCCGTGACAACCAATGCCAAATTTATAAATAACAACACGTGATGTTGTTATAATCGTATACAGGGTGCTTCAAAAAAATGTTAACACTTCAGAGAATTTGCAACAATGCTACAAGAAATGTGCCTCCGGGCTCTGGAGAACACCTGGATAAGATTCCAGGCATGTGTTGACGATGATCGCGAAGCTATTAACCTTATGGCGGGACACCGGGGTCCCATAAGCCCCCGGCTCTCGCGTAAACATTATATTATAATGTCAACAAAAACTTTGCTCTTTATCACCAATGGGTTTGAAGGATGGTGGCAAATGTTAAAAACTATGCCTTTAAAACTGAAAACTACTTACATGCAGTATCTCTTTAAATACACTATCGAAAAAATAATTGACACCCCTCTGTCAATCATCGTGTTTCTCAGTGTGGATTTGTGAACACACTTTGTAAACAGTACATAAAATAGTTCGCGTTTTAGATGCGCTGTTCATATTGTAGCAAGCGTTTATACCAATGTTACTCTACAGAGTAGTGGGTCGCCGCTCCTCTTATCCGCATTGATACGAGCGGTATGTGGGGACTATGGCTTAACCGCAAAAAAAACCTATCTGCACAGATGCATACGCAGAAGAGAAGTATTAAACAGGAGGAATTAACGGTGCAACGCATGTCATCTGTTAAATATCTGCAGGTAATAGGATTGTCATCGATTGATCCTGGCTGCAGACATTGGTAGGTCACAAATAACAATGAAGACAAGAGAGCAGTTTCACTGTATCATGCATACCGTGATGACAAATAAAGGACTTAAGTCGCTTGTTCAGCTCTTCTGCGCATTCGTCCTCGCTGCGCTTGGACGACATGACAACAGAATTATCCACGCCAGGTGGGTCGAGGCGTTTATGTGCACGGTGGGACGGAGTCGCCAAAAATAAATTAATTACGATTTCGACTTCCATTTATTCGGGACCCCGGGGTCCTGCCATAAGATTAATTTGTTATCATGTTGCAGTGTATAATCTGTTCTTTTCCATTAAGAACGATAGTCCCGTATACGTTTTAACTTTTTTTTTAAGCACCCTGTATATTAATCATCATCCTCATAATTTATTATTCACACCCCACCTCCCATGCAATACATCTCCAGCTTGAGGTCTAAATTATGCTTTATAATGCTGTTGTATGTTGCCTGTGCACTGTGTGCATGTGTGCTGTGTGTGCTGTCCGTGTTGTATAAGTGGGGAGCAATAATGCAGTCCTTAGTGCGCTGCACTACCAACCTGGCGACCAGAGATCGATTTCCACTCACAGCCAACATCGGTGACGAATATCTGAACTGGTCCTGGGCCTCGCCTAGGTCAATTCATGCTCAATTGAGTACCTTTTGTGGTGTGTTAACATCGGCACTCGGGAGACAAAGGTGGCCGGGCGTGGTGCTGTTCACCCACCCCCTCGTGTGCCTTACCGGTCTTCGTAGGTGTTTGCTTCCGGCACTTGCCCCAAGAAGCTATACGGGGGATCATTGTCTTTGTGTGTATTGTGTGTGCTGTGCACTGTGTGCTTTCTGTGCTGTGTACACTGTGCCCTGTGTTGTGTGTGTGCGCTGCATGCTGTGCGTGTACTCTGTGCACACCGAGTGTGTCCTATGTATATTTTGTGTGTGCGCGCACACCCCGCAGTGCCCCTGTGCGCCGCCGACCTCCTCGTCAACCCCCTGGACCCGCGCAACGCCGACAAGATCAACGTGAAGATTGCCGACCTCGGCAACGCCTGCTGGGTTGTAAGTTTCCACTCTAAAGTCTACGCCGGAACATGCACGCAATCGCTCATTGCCTCTGCCGAAGGGAGGCTCAGCAACGTCGGCGCCACCGCAGTGCCGAGCCGTGCCGCCGACGCGAGAGAGGGGAGGCTGTGCGGGGCGTCCGCGGATTGTGCCGGGTGCTCACCGTGCTTCCCCCTTGTCGTCGCGTGTGTGCCCTGCCCGCCTCACCCTCCCAGCACAAGCACTTCACGGAGGACATCCAGACGCGGCAGTACCGCTCGCTCGAGGTGCTCATAGGGGCCGGCTATGGCACGCCCGCCGACATCTGGAGCACGGCGTGCATGGTGAGCGGCGGTCCCCAACACGTGTCTTCCTAATTATATCAGATCTCTCCCACCCAACCAGCATGCAAAGCTCTTCACTCTGCCATAAGTTAGCCACTACCCTCCCCACCCCCCTTTTTTTCCACCCCTCTTGTGTTGATTAAAGGGACACGAGGGGGGGAGGGGCAACCCTGTACAATCCCAGCAGCACGCTCTATAAATAACGACGCGCCAGGCAGTGTGTTTATTGTCGGTGTACCATGCGTCAGAAACGTGGAATAAAGAACAGAGTTGCTCCGTTACGCAGAGCCACACGCTGGCCTTGTTCTCTCGGCGCCGCAGCCGGCGACCGAAACGTCGCGTGACGCAACACCGGTACGGCCAAGTCTTCGGCAACCGGCGCTGACCAGCGTGGTAAACCGTGGTTCAGTAAAACCCCCATGACCCGCAGGACGATGTGGGGGGAGACCTTGGTCCTTCCAGCAGTGGATTGACAAACGGCTGTACACGCACACAAGTGCGATGCAGAAAAATGGCACAGCATAGCTTCGGGCCCCCTGCGTTGCACTCGTTTGACTTGAGCTACGCACGGGCCCCCGCTCCCCCCCACCCCCTCCTGCCCCTGCCCTCTGTAGGCGTTCGAGCTAGCGACGGGAGACTACCTGTTTGAGCCTCACTCGGGAGAGGACTACTCGCGCGACGAAGGTGGGAGCGCAGGCCGCGACGTCGCGCGGGCTCCTGTGGTCGTGCGTGGATTTATGCGTTCGCTTAACGTGGTGTTTCTCAGCTCCGATCCATGGGACCCCTCCGCCCCTCCCACCCCACTAAGGTGCAGCTTTCATTGATGATAATTATCAACCATCAGGCACATGCCGTGCAAAGCGGCCTAATTTGCGTGACTAAAAAAAGGTTTATAATCATGGTGGGAGATCGTGAAGACTGGAGTTGAGAAACACTGCTCTAACCTACCCTCTCTCAGAGCGTTTATAAAATAAACTTACGTGAAAAACAAGTGAAGCTTTTTTAAAATATTAACTTGCATCGTGTAAACTATGCCCTATGTTTGCCACGCACTGTAGACATGACCATGACAGCCCGTTACCCACATGCTTAACCTATCTTGTTCGCTTTCAAAAGCTAAGCGGGCTTTTTAGGCCTGGATACTGCTTGGGTGTGCAACCTCCGTCCATACCAGGTGTTCTTAGGCAGCTGTGGAGCCGTACTACGTGACATGGACAGCGAGACAGAGGGCAGTGCTGCAAAATCCATTGTTCCACTGTTCTTCTGTGCTCCCACGCCTACGTTGTCTGCCTTGGACAACCCGCACTGACCAGGATGGGGGAAGTATGTTGAAACAACCCCCCCCATGACCCACACAGCTTAGGGATACCCTCACGCAGCAGTGGATTGACAAAAAATGGCTGCACGTATGATGTAATAATGGCCACCCGATGTGGTGTCAGTAAAGGAATTATACAGCTCCTCTCTGAACGTAAGAGCCAAAAAGGGTCACGATGAAGAAAAATTCCACCGCTGGGAAAAGCTTTGCTGCTGCCAATTGTTGCTTTTGGTGGCCCGTGGAATGCGGCAATGGCCGCATTAACGGCCGCGACATAAAGTGGTGGTGGAAACAAGGGACTGCAAAGGGTTGGGGTCATGGGGTTAGGGATGATTAGGGCTCCTGATTGGCTGCAGCCATGTTATTCGGAGCACCTATGGCGAGGGGTTGTAGGCGCGCTCGTTTAACCGTGTGCCGCAAGCCTCCGTTAACAATCAGCGCGTGTGCCCGACTGCGAGCTGCTTGCGCTCTCTTGATTTCCTCTCCCTGCCTGTGGGAGGTCGCTCACCTCGCTTGAGACAGGGTTGTGTGAGCTGATCTCACTTCCAACAAGTCTTCCGCTCGGGTTGCTGTGATTCCCACCTGCTGCATGCTGTGATGCGTCCCGCTCCTTTCGTCATTTTTGTGTCAAATGAACGTTTCCGACTGTTGGGGGTCTTGACTGATGGTGCTGCTCCATGTGTCTTTGTGTGTGTGTGGCTGCCTGTCCCTGTCTCTGTGTGTGTCTCTCTCTCTCTTCTGTTCTCTCTTCCTGCTGCCTCCTCTTCTTTGTCCTCATCTCCCGTCCTCTCTGTCTCTCTGTCTCTGTGCTTCTCTGTCCCTTGTTCCCCCCCTCTCTCTTCCCTTAGATCACATCGCTCACATCATTGAGCTCCTGGGGAATATCCCCAGGCACTTTGCACTGTCGGGAAAGTATTCGCGGGAATTCTTCAACCGCCGAGGTAGACCCGCCGTGCCGATTGCCGGGCGCCTGCGACCGCCACAAGCCCTTGCTTGGGAGGGCAGCCCCGACCACGAAGCTGCTAGTTCCCAAACACATTACTTTCAAATGCACTTGTGTTTTTGACAAGCTGGTAAAATGTATAGCGAACATGCGTGCATCACCTCGCTCCATTTATCTGGACGGTCGGAGGCTCTGGTAGCCGTGAGTCGATTAAACCGCTGATGGTCGAGAATGGGCTCGCTGCAATAACTTGGAATCTGAAAACGAATAATTAATAATCAAAGCAGCTGATGGTCGACGCCTCCTCCCAACCGGGCACGCGGTAGTCGCGTCAGAGACGCGTCTCACCTTCTCCACCTCCCCCTCCCACCCCCACCTCCACCCCCCTACCCCCCCGCCTCTCCCCTCACCCAACCACCGTGGCCCCATCCACTCGCCCTGCCCACACAGACCACATTGCGCTGGTCACTGAGTTGCTGGGGAAGATCCCGCGGGATATAGCTCTCTCTGGGAAGTATTCGCGTGAGTTTTTCAACCGGAAAGGTAATCCCCTCTCCTACCGCTCCTCCTCCCTCCTCTTCCCCACCCAGTCCCCCATCCCCCCTCCACCACATTTCCGCACCACCCACTAGTCCATTCCAATCGGTATAACTTAATTGTTTTGCATGGTGGTTGATGCTGCCATGGTGTCATGGTGACCTCACTGGACTTGCAATCCAGGTCGTCGGTTTGACCTCCCAAAGGGAAAGTTTTTTTTTTAATCCCCCCCCCATACCGCCTCTATCCACCCAGCAGTAAACATGCGTACGCCACAGTCATAAGATTGGCAGGTGGCATGTGGTTGAATAAAGTGTGGGCACTCCCACCGGTTCAAATATATGCTGGCCAGTGTGGCTAGAGTAGGCCAAATACTCTCTCGAGTCGTGTTTCTCAACATTTTTTGGCCCGCGGACCAGTCAGCCAATGCAAACATTTCTGCGGACCACCCAGCCCCCCGCCACGCTGACAGAACACATTCACTTCTCTCTCTAATACCAGTAATACTAAATTATTCATATTACTGGAACATAAAACATTTTTTTTTAAACGCAGCTAAAATGCTTTCTTTTAGGTGGTGGGGTGGGCATTTAGATCTTAGGGTTAGGGTAGTTTAATCAGTGTAGTTTACCTAACTAATGTTTTTTTAATTAAATATCGTAAATCAACTTAATTTCCAAAACAAAAGGTGTAAAGGTTGTGATTATTTCCGGATCAATCTGCATTTGCATCACAGCCCCGTGGACCACCTGGGGGGACAGTCGCGGACCTCTGGTGGTCCGGGGACCATCCTCTGAGAACCACTGCTCGAGAGGGGCTCTCTCTCTAGAGCGCCCTCTATTGGAGGCCCTTCTGCCAGCAGTGGCGTGAGCAAACAATTAGGGGACTGCACCTTTACCAGCATTTACACGTAATAGCTGTGTTTTTACTTAATGATGATGTAATGCATATTTGGTCTCAGTAATGGTGACAACATTTCAAGAACTCAGCAGAGTTAAGTGTAGAGAATAAAAGGCCTAGTCGTTATAAGCCGGATATCCTGCATGCTTGGTGGTCGGTATGTTTGCGATTCACCCCATCATCCTTGATTCGAGTTGTTGACCCTGATCGTAGAACAAGCCGACAGAATATACAAAACAGACAATACAAAACGAGATTTTAAAGCTATCAATTGCTGGACTAATTCTTGACCTTGGATTATAACAACTCGGTGAATTGCTGGGGACGTGGTGGGGGGGGGGGGGGGGGGTGAATCATTACACATTTAGCGGTGAGTGCCCGGGAGAAAAGAAGGCAGGGCGAGGGGGAAGTGGTGACACTCTCTTTGCCCCACAGGCGAGCTGCGGCACATCACCAAGCTGAAACCGTGGGGGCTGTACGACGTCCTGGTGGAGAAGTACGAGTGGTCCCAACAGGATGCCGCCCAGTTCAGCGACTTCCTCATGCCCATGCTTGAGCTGATCCCCGAGAAGCGGGCCACCGCAGCCGAGTGCCTGCGGCACCCGTGGCTCACCATGTAGTCACGCGCGCGGCGGACGAGCGGGCGTGGCAACCATACCGAAGCTCTTCACACCGCGCGCCCGTTCCCCCGCTACCTCCACCGCCCCACGCCCGGCACGGCGCACTCCTCCGTCTTGGGGATAGATCTTCAGTGGATGGCGGTGGAAGCCAGGATGAAGGACGGTTGACACACCGGCTGCGAGTTGGTTTGCTCTACCGTGCGTATGCCAAAACTGTGGGGGGGAGGGGGGGGAGTGCACCATTTCCCTGGCAGGGCTGCTGTCGGCTCACCGGCTGGAGCCGAGGGGTGGGGGACAAGGCACTCGCCAACAATAGGCGACGGTGCCGTCACTGAACTCTTTCCATGTGTCACGCGCAACTCTATACCTTTCACCCTTCAGTACCGCTCGTCTTTGTTGGTGGATATGAGAATTTCAGTAATCGGTCATTGGTTGAAATGGAAGGCTGTTTCCATGGGCTCCAATTGGAGAGGAATAGTCGAGCACTTGCGCGCGTGCATCTCCTGGTGGAGGCGTCTCTTGAACCGTGGCTTCTGTAGGCGCCGTTCGGGCGAGCGGTCGTCATTGGTAGAGCGTGAAATTTTTTCTCTCCCCGCGAGCGATTTTAAAATCTTGTCTGCGCGTTCACTTCTTCCACGAAGCCTCGAGCCCCACGCCGAGCGTCGCACCCCAGCAGCGCGTGTTTCACGTCACCCTGCACCGCCCTGCACCGCCCTGCACCGCCCTGCACCATCGCCCTCCCCTGTGTCAATAAACGAGGCAGTAAGTGACTGGCACCGACGCGGCGGCATTTTTTCGTGAAAATTAGCGTTGCACTCGGAGAGTCTCTCGGCCACACGTGACTTGTCGATCGGGGGCCGGAGTGGGGCAATGACGACAGCATGGCAAGACCAAAGTGTCGAGAGAGGGGACACGGAGGGAGAACAAGCGGCGACGTCTGTCGTGGCACCAACCAGGACCCATTCATTAATTTCAAACGCTTTCTCCAATACCTAAACCTCACCCGTTATCACAGCTCTTTTAATAAGTTTGACCACAGTTTATCTCTAGCTCTTGCGCGAATCTTCTCTTATGCACTGACCTTAGTCCTAAACCCTTTATATTTTGCAAGCATTTCTTTGCAAATAAATAAAGAACATTTGACAGAGAAGTCACTTTCAGGAGTCATCAAATGGCTCCTGATGGCGTTCAAAAATGAGTCGGTGAGATGGTTCCTTGAAGAATACCCCTTCTAAAATGTTCTCCCACACCACCGGGGTCAGAATTCAAACTCGGCTGCTTGATTGTCTACGTTCGTTAGCTGGCGGAGCCCCTTGTGCTGCATTGCGTGAACAAAATCAGTCTGGGCGCCACGGCCAGAGCGTAGCGTCCCTTGCGCTCGTATCAATTTGGCTCTGACCTGTTTGGGTCAGAGAGCCTCGACCTCGCACGGTGCAGAGATTTGCCGGGTTGATGCAGGCCAGCTCAACGACTCGTGCCGCCAGGACAGATTTCATCATGCGAATCCGCAATGCGAAATCAGCGGAAGCGCCCTTACCCTGATTGATGAGGGTGGGCAGGAGTGCGTGGGTGGTCTAGTCGCTGTCGTGGATTTCCGTCGCCGTGGAGTGCGGCGTTGGCGAGACACGTGCACGCGTGGGTAAGTTCCGAGGCTTTATTATGATAATTTTGTTATTCATATTATTTAAAATAATTTAAGATCATCAACAACCAAATACGTCTCATCTCGCAGGTGTGACGCGCACAATTCCGTGTGTTTCTTTAGTGAGGTCGCGTAGCGGTGTTAATGGAGGCAGTAGCTGTTATATATTACAGTATACACAGTATATGTACACCTAGACGTCATCGTTCCCTGTGAATGCATATTATATACGCGATACAGGAGGGCCACTGTTTACAAACAACAGGGATGCTAGGAGCTCGCCACCCAAAATCTCATCGCCAGGGAAAAACGACTGCCGTGGGCTTCCAACTCAGACTGATGCGAGACACGGACGGACACTAACTCCTCAGACTGGTGCGAGACACGGACGGACACGAACTCCTCAGACTGGTGCGAGACACGGACGGACACTAACTCCTCAGACTGGTGCGAGACACGGACGGACACTAACTCCTCAGACTGGTGCGAGACACGGACAGACACTAACTCCTCAGACTGGTGCGAGACACGGACGGACACTAACTTGTCAGACTGGTGCGAGACACGGACGGACACTAACTCCTCAGACTGGTGCGAGACACGGATGGACACTAACTCCTCAGACTGGTGCGAGACACGGATGGACACTAACTCCTCAGACTGGTGCGAGACACGGACGGACACTCTCACCTGGACAAACGAATGGACACTCGCGCCTCATTGGGCTCTCACCTGTGCAATGAAATCAAAATAATCGCCTCGTTGTGGAGAATATAAGTAGCAAAAATAAATAAGCAGACTCTCCCGCTTCACATATCCGTCTCCACGTAAACAATCAAATATTATTTTACATTTCATCCGCCACACGATTCACCACAAACAAAACTGGACTGGTGTCGACAGTGATGAGAGAGTGATTAGACACGAAGGCGAAACCAATCCAGAGTTTTCTTGGAAATAATGTTGCTGAAATGATGCACTTCCAGAAGGCTGTGCGGCTTATGGGTTGTGTAAAAAATAATTTTATTATTAATGTGGAGAAGACGGATATGTGGAATGAGACATTTCTTATTTTGTGACATTCAATGATCGTTGGTAAAACTAATGGGCTCTCACTTGGGGCCACTCCCTGATCTAATAGGCCCTCACCTGGTCAACCGGCGTGTCTCCGAAAGCATGCTACTGTTGAGTTGGGAGTCCCACTGGTTGTGTTCGTGGCGAGAGTCCTTGTGCTGCAGCGCCCGTAAATCGGCAAGTCCGTCGGATGATCGCCGCCGTCGCAAGCCCCTGCAACATTCGGTCTTGGCGGGGCAACCGGTTTTGGGTTAATCGGTCGTTGACGTTTCTTCCATTGGGTGAAAGTGGCCGTCAGAGATTTTTAGTATGGGACTTCTCCCTCCACCTTGGCGTTCGTTGTCGATGGGGTTGGTGGGGAGGGAAGGGGGCGTTCTCATCCCAGCTGCTCGATTCCCCCAGAAGCCGCTTGGTGCCCGTGGGTCACCCAGTTGCCCCCACGAGTACCAGACGTCACTGCGCGATGTGTGAAGGGGGGGTCCGAGATGTGATGGCCGTGTGCCATCGTTCCGGGTGGTTGTTGTGCACATGGTGAGGCTGTGCACATGACATGTGAGTTGTGGGAGATGCGGTTCGCAGTTTCTCGGTTCGCTCGCCCACACGTCTGTAGTGGGTGGGTGCTATTATGGTGTTTGTGCCAACACGGTGCCCACACGGTAAATAAATATCTGCTTTTTATAGCAATTTGGTTGGCATCGCGATTTACCAGTAGTACGTTCCACTGTAAGAAAATCAGTAAAATGTGTGCAGTGTTCCTGTGAGATCACTGGCATTTCACTGGTGGTGACAGAATACCCACAGTAGTTTCCTGTTTCCAGTTCAAGAATAATTGGTTCATAATGTTGCCATTTTGCAGCAATTGATCACTTCATTTATAGGCCACGTCTGTAAGAATAATAATCAGGCGTCAGGGTGGCGCTCAGCAAGAAATGTCCAGGTTCGATTCCCGGCTCGTGCAGCTTTCGTGTGTGGAGTGTGTTCTCCCCCCCCCCTCCTCCTGTTCTGCCATAGTAAAAGAAACAACTCATACAATGTAACTGGTCTATAATAGAGGTTTTTGGGTTAGATCGCGTAAATATATAAATGTGTCGTTAAAACCCGCCACCACCCGATACAGCCAACTAGTAAGGGTTGTCACGTAAACAGAACATGCTAATTCGTCACTAGTACAGCACACCGGTGTGTTGGAGAGCCAAGCCACAACATTTACAATCTCAGATTGTCAATACTCAGATGGTAAATATTATGGGTGATATTGGTCGCGAAAGCCCACGTGTTAAACCAATGTAACCGGTATTGGCCAAAACATCTCAATGCTGAAATGGTACCCACAAATTCCTCAATTGGGTCAACACATCCCTACTGCGAACACTTGGCACAGCAGCCTCCTGGAAAACGAGGCTTTGAGACTCGGTGAGGCTTTCCTGAGTAAACAAGCGTGCCTGTGGAGCTCCATATCCGTGGAGAACCATATTCGTGGAGCTCCAAGCCCATGGAATTCCCTGCCTCTGGAGCACTATGTGCATGGAGCTCAACGCCCATGGAGCTGTGTGCGCGTGGGGCAAGCATTCGTCCACATCCACTGGGTTTGCGGTCGGAAGTTTGAGGAACCGTTTAATTTACGCGGATAATATATATGTATGGTATGCTTTGCAATCACCACATCCCAAATTGATTTAGCTTAAGGATATGCGATTATCCTCGGATGAACGGACGTGGAGAGCGCTGACGCGACGGTTTTGTGCACCGTACTGTGAACCCGGCGGCCGGAGTTCAATTTCCGGAAGCGGTTCACGTCGACGGCGAGTAATGTCTGAACAAGTCCTGGGTCTCCTTCCTCTCCAATCTGCCCTGGCAAGCGTGGTGAATTATAGTCCAACAAGTCCCCTTGAGACCAACGCATTATAATTGTAATGATAAAATTGTTGGCCTCATAAAACACTGGCTATTCCCCTGCACTGTTTTAAGTGATTAAGTCGATTTGAGTGATTTATGAAACTTGCCACTGGCCTTGACTGGGGTACAATATTTAGAGGGACGTATCAAAGATGGTGAACTTCTTGGTCCCTTCCTCTTCCACGCTGGCCAACCACGTCTCGGAAGAGGTGGGATTATACCCAGACTTTACAACCACGCCACGACCTGCCGATCGACTTGGCTCTGCCGTACCCGTTTCTACTGCTGGGCAGATGGCACGCATCATAATCATTTGTTTAGCATCCGTTTGGATCAGTAATCCTAAACACTTTCCATATGAATAAACCGCACCTTTATTCGAGCAGGAAAGGGATCGCGAGACCCAGTGACCGTGGTTGGTGTGCCGCCCGTTCCTCCGGTTGAGGAAGAAGTGGCGATGCGCACCAGAGCGGATGTCGCACTGAACGGCCCGCGGAGGGGCACCCGTTTATTTATTGATTGTCATTTTCTCCTTTTTTTTACGTTACCTTTCCCCTGGGTGATTACTTTTTAAGCGGAGATGATTGACGGGAGAAGACGCACAGAGGTGGCAGATAACACTGGATGTTGCGCAGCGAGCGAGTTCGGGGTATTGGAGGCACAGGGATGGGATGGGGAAATCGCGGGCAAGGCTTCGCGTGAAACGTGTTCCGCGTAGCGTTAACTCTGACTGACGTTAACTGGCGGAGGTTATATGGTTGCCACCCGCCATGCGGAGACCGCGCACGTTTCGGGAAAGTGGCCTGTGTGCTTAGATTGCTTTGCAGTGACTTGGCTGGCAGGCAAGCGAGCCAGCCATGGTGTTGTGTGCCGTGTGACAGGGTCCAGCGCGCGCGTGTGTGTGTGTGCGCGCACGTGTGACATTGACACATGCACCACACAACACCCTTTGCGTGCGCGCGCGCGTTCGTGTAAATACATAGCACAGCCATCCGTCCCACGCCGGACAGACAGCCGTGCTATTACTGAATCGCGGTGTCAGTGCTTGCTGTGTTGGGTAGGGGACATTTAAAGAGAGGAAGCAGTGGCCAACGTTCGCTCAACTCACTCACTACTCGTCCACATGGTGAGACTCCACCACTCCCACAATGAACTCCACCACGTGTCCCACGTAGCCCCCCTCACCGCCCCACGTACACTCGGTGCTCCACATTTAGATTGGATCTCATCCTGGGATTAATTGGTAGGGACGGCCCAAGTGTTGGGGGGGGGGGGGCGGGCTCCGTCCTCCACGAGCGCAGGCAGCACCCGAACGGGATGAAGCGAATTCCGATGGCGGCGCGTTATTATAACAACAATAATAACAGTACAGTAATAATAATAACGATGATGTTAATACGTTTCTTCTTGTGACGCGATGCGAGTGAGTCGTCGTGAACCGATATTACAAACATGTCTTTGTGTCTGTTTGATCAAATAAAATATTGTTTTCTCTAGAACTGCCCAGGGTGGGTTTTAAGCCAAACTACGCACACATAGCAACACACGTCAAAGACAAGGATCCCTCGTATAGCCTTTAACAGACTGTTCCAGTAAGTGCTGTTAGCAAGCACCTAAGAAATCCGGGACAGCCGGCCAAGCGTCGCATACATACACACAGACCAGCGCACACAGACATTCACATATAGACACATACACAACAACAACAGTTGCTGTTCGCCAGTAAGTGATGGTGTCGTCACCACAGCTCTTGTGCCAGGCTAGGCGCACTTTGAGGCTACTTGGAGTGTCGAATGCTGGCTGACAAGACGTCACGGGTCAGACTCGGGTGCTATGGGATGACTGACTTTGTATTACTTACTGGCAGATGCACCACCTGCGCTCCCCTGTGGGCCAATGTGGCACAGTTGGCAACACAAAGACAAACATAGCCATCTGTGTAGCCTTTCCAGACTTTTGGGGAAAGTGCTGTTAGTGAGCACCTATAAAGGCGTACAAGGTGTATTAGAGAGTGGTGTACCAGCACCACACCCGGCCGCCTTTCTCTCCCCAGTGCTGATGTTTCCACACCGCACCAGGTGCTCATTTAAAGGTGAGCCAACCTCGTGGAGGCCCAGGGCTGGTTCAGTGATCACTCGCCACTGATCTTAGCCGTGGCCAGTAATCAAACTCGGGTCACCGGGTTTATAGCGCAGTGCTAACACCCAGTGCTACCGTTCCCCACAACACAACAACCGCCATTCCCCACTAAGTGGTGGTGATGTCACCACGACGCTTGTGCCAGGCCATGTGCACCTTGAGGCCACGTGAAGTGTCGAACGCCCGCTGGCAGGAGGTCACGGGGCAGACCCAGGTGCCACGGGTCGACTGACTGAGATGATTGAGACGACTGGCTGATGCACCACCTGTGCCCCCTACTGTGCCAACTTGCTGTGCATTAGCCACCTGGCGCTCCGCTCGTTGTTGTGAGCGTCGCTCCTCAGCCCTCCGTTCCCCACACACACATATACACAAACTATAGTCCACGAATCCCAGACCGGACATGAACAAGGGTTGAGAAGCACCGGGGTAGACTGTTGTGCAACTGGACCTGCTGGTTTCTCGTGCGTGGAGTTCACGAGGGACCGGGGTGATGCTTGGTCATAGGCACATGCTTGGCTTCACACGCGGCCTCCTCTCTCCTGTCCGGGACCCAGGCCACAGCTAGGCAGCCGCTCCCTCTGTTGCACAAGGGGTGGAGGACACGGAGATGTGGCTTTGAGACCCACGAGATCGACCCCGGGGGCACCTCCTCGACATGGGGAAGGGAGTTTCACAAAATGTGTGTGATTCACGAACCCTCGTTGCCTCGACAGTGTATGTATGTTTAACTTCTTCCGCGCCGTACGTCACCAATTGTGCTAATCGCTGAATACAGGCCACGAGCGTAGCCACAAACACCACCGCCCAAGTCCGCAATCTCTGCAGTGGGAAGGAAGGGCAAGCGGTATGGAAGTACAGCACAGTGGCCAAACAAAGGCTCGGCCTATCTGATCAGTCACTAGGACTAGCCCTACCAGTGACCGTAACTAGCTTATCAGCCATTAATACGATTCCTACCAGTGACGCTATCTGACCAACCACGAACCTTACCAATGACCGTAAGCTTAACCGACCAGCCACTAACACGCCCTCTACCAGTGACCCTATCTGACCATTCACGAGCACTAGCCCTACTCGTGACCCTAAATAATCAACCAACCACTAGCACTAAGCCTCTACTAGTGACTCTAACTATGCAACCACGCACTAGCATTAGCCCTCCACCAGTGACCCCAACCATAACCAAGTAGCCAACCAGCCCTGAGCCGTATCACTCACAAATAACCTTATCTTTAGCCCCATCTACCATCATGATCTATTCACGATCATCAATCATCAGTCCATTGCGCCAAGGTAATCGCTGGGAGGGTCACTTTTGCCGTCACCTCTGCCCCAAGTCCTCCACCACTCATCGCCCATCCTTGGCGGCACTACCTGCAGCCAACTGGAAAGATCAACTGCTGGTGGAAGAAGGGTGGGCGACCCGCCACTCTCCCTGTAACCCAGCACTGTGTGGAGGCAGCAACGAAGGTTGGTGGATCTCACAAATGGCGTGAGACTCCCTTCCCGTGGACGTCGAGGAGGTTGCCAGGAGAAGGTAATACAGCAAATGTGGACTCCACTTGTTTGCGTCTGTATGGAGTGGAGTGTTTGCCCTTCGCACAACGTGGGGTTTCTCCGGGTGCTCTGGTTTCCTCCCATCTGTAAAAACGCTCGTGACTTGGCTGATAAGACCATCATATATAGAGGAGTGCGGAGCTTGGGCAGGTGGTTGGTGCCGGTTCACCGCCTGGCTGCTGCTTCCTTTCCCGCTCGTCTGTGGTTCCGCCTCGCTCCTGAGTCGACCTATCTCAAAAATAATAATTCGTGTCGTTGTGAATATTTTAAAAAAAATTCACGTAGAGAGACGGAACTGTGAAGAATACCTTGTCTGTACTCTTTGGTTCTTTCGGTAAAGTCACGTAGATATAAAATAAAATAAATCACGTTTCGGGTGCAACACAGGCGTGTTGGATGCTTGTGTTGCGCCCGAAACGTCGTGATTTATTTTATACCTACGTAACTTTACCGAAAGAACCAAGGAGTATGGTTTCCTGCAGTCACGAAAGCTTCAAATCAAGATTAATACCTTGTCTGATTTATCTTGTTATTTATATTCTCCACATACAACATGAGTGATTATGCTGAGTCAGATCTCACTCTATAATTTTGTGTGGAACTGGGATCCCATGACGTAAGATCGGCAGTTCACCAGCATTTATTTCAAACGAGCCTGGGCTCTGCTGATGCGACACCTGGGAGTGTTCGCTTAAAACCAATGCTTCTCAAATTAAGCACTCTCAGAGAAATGGCTGATGGGATATGTAAAAAAGTACACGTATTTATATATGCGGAGGGACAGATATATGGACCAGGCGTATTACTCCTGGTCCATATATCTTGTCTAACAACGACGCTGCCAATCGGCACGTTGTTGTTAAGTGTTTATTGTCTTGCATCAACGCTGCTGAAACGACAAACTCCCAGAAGGAAGGCCGTGTTAGTGTGGCTGATGGGGGTTGGGTAAGCAATATGTTCGAGACACGGATGCTATAATCGTCATCATTCCATCGCTCCGCTGGGTCGCGCGCCCGCTCGCCCGCCCACTCGCCCCGCTCACCTTTTTCCTCGTCCACCTGGAAGTCGTCCGGCAGGAGGTTGTCCTGGCGGTTGCCCAGCACGAAGGCGAGGAAGGCGAGGACGAAGGCGTCCAGGATGCCCACGATGGCCAGCACGTACGCGTAGCGCACCGTGCACGCGCCCAGTGTGTACTTGCCGGTGTTGTCCCCGCACAGACGGCGCACTTCGTCGGCGTCCCACCCGTCCGGGTAGATCATGCAGCCCAGCACCAGCAGCGCAGCTGGTGGCACAAAGACAAAGATCCACCCCCCCCCCCCCATCATAGCCTTAGCAGACTTAATAGGTTTTTTTTGGGGTGTTAAATCGCGTTCTGTAATTGTGTTGTTAAACCCGCCACCACCCGATACAGCCAACTAGTAAGGGTAGTCACGTAAACAAAACGTGGCCAATTCGTCACTAGTACAGCACTAACTGGTGTGTTGGAGAGCCAAGCCACAACATTTGCAATCTGCGTACGACGTTTCGCCAGTAATTACAACAAGCTTCATCAGGCGACAGCCAGATTTGTGGAGAAGTCCACCTGATTCGTCCCTTATATAGAGGCGTAGATGTGGTGACCACACTTCTACGCTCTTGCGCAAAGTGGGGGTGAGGGGGTTAATGCGGACTGTAGGGGCAAGTGCTGTTATTCGAGCACCGCTGAAGGCCGGCAACAGCACACGAGGGAGTGGGTGGCCAGCACCACGGCCGACTGCCTTTGTCTCCCCAGTGGCGATGTTTTTTAACACACTGCACCAGCTACTCGTTTGAGGCTGAGTCGACCTAGGGGAGGCCCAGGACCGATTCAGACGTTCGTACGGATGGCACCGCACAGTAGACCGTCCACCGCCCCTGCCCCCACCCGACCACAACCACTTGGTGAACATGCAACGTTGGGCCAATGTGGTTGGAATTGTTGGGCCGACGTTGGGCCAATGTGGTTGGAACTGTTGGGCCGACGTTTGTCCGACGCTGCTCCAACGTTCCATGTTTACTAGGAAACGCCAGTAGAAACCCATTCATTCGGTCACGTGTCATTCACGAATATATCAACACACCATATTCTTTGGGTCTTTCGGTAAAGCCACGTAGACAGAACAATTTCTTAAAAAATGGCCATCCCCACGGCTCAGTTTGTAAAGATTTATCTGATCTTACATTTACATGCAAATTTCATCTCTAGCCCCCCCCCCCACTGACCCTTGGGCTACGCCCATCTCAAACCTTTATAACTCCCTTGCCTTAGCAGCGCTCCCACCATATAGCCTCAGCAGCTCTCCTGCTATATTTTTCACCTGATGACGACTGCTTGTATTGCGATCGAAACGTCGTGATATTGTTATTATGTTTATAAATTGTTCTATCTGCGTGGCTTTACCGAAAGACCCAAAGAATATGAATTCCTGCTGCAGTCACGAAAGCTTTAAGTCAATATTTAACACACCATAGTCATCATTAGTGTCAAATCATCATACCAATTCAATTCTAGATTTTAAGCTTTCGTGACTGCAAGGTCCTTGTGACAGCACGGTCCCTTCACCTGATGAAGGCCACTTGTGTTGTGGCCGAAACGTCGTGATTTTTTACGTGACTTTACCGAATAGAACCAAAGAGTATACTAATTCAAACATCCCCCGTATAGCCTTTAACAGACAGGTGAGCAAGTGCTATCAGCGAGCACCTATGACGGCCGCCACGCCGCACGAGGAGGTGGGTGGCCAGCACCACGCCAGGCTGCCTTTGTCTCCAGAGCGCTGATGTTTACACACCGCACCCGATACTCATTTTAAGGTTGAGTAGATCTAGGGGAGGTCCAAGGACCGATTTATATATCCGTCAATCGTATTGGTGGTGAGCGGGAATCGAGCTCGGGTAACCGGGTTCGTAGCGCAGTGCGCTAACAACTACGCCACCGTATCTTCACAGCTGACGTCTGCAGCAAGCGGCGAATGCGTCACCGCTCACGTATCTCTGCGCGTGTACCCATCTATGTGTGCGTACCCATGTGTGCAAGCTGTCAATCGAAAATATCTGTGTTTACCCACGTGCCCGCGCTGTTAATTCTGTGTGTACCTATATATCAGTAGATGTGTATCTATATATCGGTCTGTGTACCCACGTGTCCACGCTGTCAATCTTATCGTTCAGTATATGTGTACCTATGTATCGGTCTGTGTACCCACGTGTCCACGCTGTTAATCCTATCAATGTGTCTGTGTGTGTACCGTATCTATCGATGTGTGCGCACCTGTGTGTATGTGTACCCCCCACGTGTCCACGCTAACGGTCCTCACCGGACGTGAGCTGCATCCAGGCGCACACCTTGTAGACGGTGGCCGAGGTGCAAAAGAAGAAGAGGCTGAAGCACACGAGGCACGCGATCACCAGCAGCATGGAGATGCCGATGAAGAAGCCCGCCGTCTTGAAGGCGCTCGACGGCACCGCGCTGAAGTCCATGAAGCTGCCACTGCAGACCTGGGGAAGACGGGCGGCAGGGGAGAGGGCACCCCCGCGGAGAGGGCCGAATGGGCTGTCAGCTGGGCAAATGAATGAGTCTGTTTGAATGAATGGGCCTCATTGCAGGAGCGCTTCGTGGCGTTATTTATTAACGGTGGTCTCGTATTCACCACGTGCATTGCGGTTCTTGAAATATTGAGTTTGTTACCGAAAAAAATAATCTTCCTGTTCTTTTGATTTCCGACCCCTGAGTTAAAGGAAGAAGCTCTCATCTGGCTGTGTGTGTGTGTGGATCAGGGCCGGCGGTGGGCCCAGCCAATTCTCCTCTCTCCTACTCGTGGACGGCGAGTCGCTGTAATCGTGCACACCCCCCCACCCCTACCACACAACCGCTCGACTGCCCCCCACCCCAATCCAAGAGGAGCTGCCCAGTAAATATGCAACGTTGCGCCAACGTTGACATGCGGTTGGCCCAACGTTCAATGTCAGCTGGGCTAACCTTGTCCACCCCGGTGGGTGACGCACGCGTGAATGGGTGAACGCGTCTCTGTTGGCTGCTGTGAGCGCAGTGGTTGTTGACTCGCTGCGCTACGAACCCGGTGACACGAGTTCGATTCCCGCTCACGGCCAACACCGGTGACGATTATCTGAACCGATCGTGGGCCTCCCGTAGGTCGACTCAGCCTCAAATGAGCACCTGGTGCGGTGTGTAAACATCGCCACTGGGGAGAGAAAAAGCGGCCGGGCGTGGTGCTGGTCAATCACCCCCTCGTGTGCCACAGTGCCGGCCTTCATAGGTGCTGCTCGCTAACAGCACTTGCCCCAACAGTCTGTCAAGGCTACACGGGGGATCTTTGTGTTTTTGTGTCTCTGGGCGCAGCGGAGCCCTCCTCACCATCTCACGCGTGAGGCTGTTGCCGATGCAGTAGCTGAAGAGGCCGAAGTATCCGGCCTGCGGCGTGTCCACGCTGTCTCCGATCCAGAAGGGCTGGATGAAGCTCACCACGTTGAGGATGGCGAAGCAGATGGTGAAGATGGCCCACAGGACGCCCACGGCACGCGCGTTCCTCACGTAGTTGGTGTGGTAGATCTTGGCGGCCTCGTGTGCAGGCAACATGGTAGTGGTGGTGGTGGTGGCCGATGTCGCTGATGTGGATGAAAGTAATAGTGGTGGATGTGATAAAGGTGAAGATGTGGTGATGACGTTGATTAGGATGAGTGTGATTGTGATGCTGGAGATGGTTCTGATGGTGATGGTGGCGGTGATGCTGAGCTTGATAACGATGAAGATGGTTGCTGATGGTGATGATAGAGGTGGTTAAGTATTATGAGTGTAGTTGTGACGGTGACGAGGTGATGATTATTTTGTTGATAACGACGATGGTCATCGTGATTGTCATGCTCAGCGTGATGAGTGTTCACATGACGGTGACAACGTTGATGATGATGATGGCTAAGATGGCCCTCACCTGCTGAAGTAAAATTATCACCCGCTCGGTCAAAGAAATGATCTCTCACCTAACAAAATAAATGTACTCTCAACTGATCTAATTATTTGAACTCTCACCTCACCTGACAACACCTGAGCATATTTTTGGCGTGAATCGTCACCCCGGGTGCCCGTTCGATGTAAAATTTAAGCTGCGCGTCGACAGAGGAGGAGGAGGACGCGTGGACCGCGGGCGCAGTGAACTCTTCAACAGCAGCAGCAGGAGGAGGAGAAGGTTGAGTGTGGTGGTGGGTGGAGGGGGAGTTGAACTCGATAGGGGCTTCTGGAATTTCAGACTCAAATAGGAGCTGTAAAAGGCAAGCTGCCTCCATCAACTATTGATGGTGGCGCAAAAACGGTCTCACGAAGAAACACAACACAGATGTCCCTCTGCCATCGACGCCACCCTCTTCCCGCCTACAGAGCTATGCACTTTCATTTCTTTAGAACTGTGTGTTGTATTTCGTTGTCCTTTCCACGCGCATCCGATTAGCGCGGTTGGCTACGTACGGGGCGAAAAAAGTTCAACATACGTACTGTACAGGGTGGTCCAGATGTCTTGTGACCTCCAATTAACTGAAATCTAACATGTTTTTTTCCTTTGCATGTTCATTTCTGTTTGAAATCAACCTTTCTTTTAACAAAAATATAACGTTTTAGAGAGTTACAAGACATCTGAACCACCCTGTACATACATACACACGGAAGTAAACTCAACCCATCATCCCAGCTTCTGAGCCAATAAAATAAGTACAACTTTGTCAGAATTCAGAAGTCAATAGTTGTGGTTTTGTGTGTGCGTGTAGTTGCTTGTACACAACCCCAAAGGCCTCTCTCTAGTGGCAAAGCGACCGGCAACAGACAGTCCCTCTGATGGTACAGCAGATGAGGCAACGCGTTTATTGAATTGAGGAAGGCGATAGGAATGTGGGGGGAAAACGACGATGGAATTTTTGACGAGCGTGTTGCGTCTGTGTAATAACGCAGGCAGTCTCGTTGCCATAAAAAAACAACAATAACGTGGCTAATCACGTGACGGCTGGACCTGTTGACAACATTCACATCATGTTTTGCTCCGTCCGATTTCAACCAAAACGTGTACACCACCAGCGACACGGCGACAGAACGGGGCTGGTGACATTCCACGTGGTCGCCGTGGCACTTGGGCTTATTTATTCAAATGTCACAATTGTGAGGTGACAGTGGCGGAAATATCAAGTGAGGGAGACACAGACGCAGCTCACGGTGGGCAACAGCACATCTGATGATGAATGCGGCCTCATCACATCCACACACTGTCCTCCACAACTGACAAGTGAACCTTGGATACCATAGCACCCCGGCACTCGCATAATGTCCGTGATGCAGTCATTTTGAGCCTGTTGATGGTCTGCGATGCGGCAATCGACTCATCTCGACGAGCTGTACACTACGATGCACCACCACCACCATGGTGCGTACCCAGAGCGTTCAGGGTGTCGGCGCAATCATCCGCGTTGCGTTTCGACATCGCGGAGTGTGCCACTGATTTCGGATTGATTGGTAGTCCCAGTCGCGAAGTTAAGTTACACCCCTGGAAGAAAGTGTGTCCCAGAAATAAAATATTTAATTGCCTCGGCCCATTTTGTAATATTTGGTACCCCGGGGTACCGCGATAAGGGGCCGTCCATAAATGACGTCACGCACCTAGGGGGGGAGGTCAGACATTTGTGACGATGTGTGACGATGTGCGGCGGGGGGGGGGGGGGTTTGAGGAATGTGACGTCACATCAAAATGCGCAACTTTAAATAAATATAGACAGCACGTTCTATTTAATTAAATAGACTTTTTAATAAATGTTTTCTCCTACAACATCAGAGTACAGCGCCACATTAAATACGCACTACAATGACAATAGTTTAAAGCGATTTGAAGCATGTTTTTTTTTTTGGGGGGGGGGGCGGCAGAGCTTTGTGACGTCATATTTGAGGGGTGGTCTGACTTTTTGTGACGCCGTGTGACGAAGGGGGGGGGGGGGTCAAAACTCGTCCAAAATCGCGTGACGTCATTTATGGACTGCCCCTAAGGGTCAGTTGGTCAGGTCGGGCCTGTCCATGCAACACAACCAATGTTCGGTTCCTCCTGGGTTAAGGATGTGCGATGCATGGTTTAAAGCGGAGGGGCAGGGTGAAGGACACGTCGATCACAGACCCGAGTCACATCTCACACCAGATTCAATATTGTTTCCAAATGGACCTCAACGACTAAACTATTTTGTATTTTTCCAGGTAAGGCTCACTGAGCTGTATAGCTCTTTTTCAGAAGCGACCTGGCCACAAATGAAAGCTTCCCATGTGGAAATTTATAGCAGCCAAATACTCGAAACGCATGTTTCTAAATGTGGAGGGAAAAACCAGAGGACTCGGAGAAAAATGCACGTGACCACAAGGAGAGAGATGCAAACTCCAAATATACAGCAGGCGTCAGGGTCGACATCAAGCCCACGACCTCCTGTATACCAGGCGAGGTAGTTAATATCTCACCACCGTGGCGTAAACTGTTTATAACTGCAGGGGAAAGGATTGCCTATATCTGAAATATTCTCGAACCACAAGATTTGTTTTGGTCATCAGATCGGTAGTTGATGCGACAGTGAGAGAAATGTGGCCTCCAAAAACTCAATCACGTTGAGAGAGGGGGTTGATCACCATGGTAAATAGAATAAACGGCGTCAGATAAAGTTTAGAAAGTAAGGGATCGATGACAAGCAAACTTATATTTTTGTTGAAAGCTCCATAATCTTAAAAATATATATTCTGTAAACATGTTTGATTTTTTACTAGAACTGACAAAAAAACATTTAAATCCAAAATCCCATAATTTAAAAATATTGATGTAAAACGTTTAAAATTATCAACCGTTATCAATGGTAAATGTGATTTCGATAAATGAATATTGCCTGTCGTTTTAGTTTTTGATAAATAGGGTATTAAATTCTTATAACCGCCTTTAAAGAAAAGAGTGTAGAACGATCATCAGGGATAAAGAAGCTTAGCTTCTAATTCATTGATCATCTGAGTCGGTACGAAAATGGTACAAAAAATTCCGTACTTTCGTATTGTCCTGATGAAAACATTTCCAACCATAATATGATAGCGGACTTAAATAACCCAAAAAAAATCTCCTACCGCACTGCCACCTTTGCGCGTGAGAAACGGGGGCGAATGTGCCACGCGGTGCCGAATCAGTGCATTCTATATACAGGGTGCTTTAAACACGTTTTAACACTTAACATGAGACTATCGTTTTGAATGGAAAAAGAACGGATAATAAATACACTGTAACATGATAACAAATGTAATGTTAATAGCTTCAAAAAGTCAGTCTCTACTGGTTCGCCATCGTTGTCAACACGTGCCTGGAATTTTCTCCAGGTGGTCTCCAGAGCCAGGAATCACGTTTCTTGTGGTATTGTTGCAAATTCTCCGAAGTGCTAACATTTTTTTTAAGCATCCTGTATAAGAATTGGGTTTACCCTTTCTGGCAATATTTTGGCCGGAAACGATTTCTGCTTTTTTTTGGAAACCGGTAACCGATTGTAAACCGGTTATAGAACCGGTTATAGCCCGAGAGGGCTCAACACGGGCCGGTTATAGCCCGAGAGGGCTCAACACGGGCCGCAGGAGGAATCGTCATCTGCAGAGAATCTCGATGTCTTGCGGTACACGATGCGTTGGCAGTGGTGCATGAGCACCAACAAGTACACAACATCCTCCGTATAGCCGTAGGTGTTAGTGAGCACCTATGAAGGCCGGCACGGCACACGAGGGGTGGCCAGCACCACGCCTAATCGCCTTTGTCTCCCCAGTGGCGATGTTTACACACACCGCCACAGGTAATTATTTGAGGCTGAGTCGACCTAGGGGAGGCCCAGGACCGGTTCAGATAATCGCCACTTGCCATGGTCGTGCGCGGGAATCGAACCCGGGTCACCATGTTCATAGCGCAGCGCGCTAACCGCTACACCACCGCTCCCCACAAGAACAACAACACCGCCAGTGACACAACAACACACACCACAACACGTGGAGTTTAGTCCACAGGGGGAGAGCAGGCAGACACACGGACACACAGGGGGAGCAGGCAGACACACGGACACACAGGGGGGAGCAGGCAGACACACAGGGGGGAGCAGGCAGACACACGGACACACAGGGGGAGCAGGCAGACACACGGACACAGGGGGAGCAGGCAGACACACGGACACAGGGGGAGCAGGCAGACACACGGACACAGGGGGAGCAGGCAGACACACTGACACAGGGGGAGCAGGCAGACACACTGACACACAGGGGGAGCAGGCAGACACACGGACACAGGGGGAGCAGGCAGACACACGGACACAGGGGGAGCAGGCAGACACACGGACACAGGGGGAGCAGGCAGACACACTGACACAGGGGGAGCAGGCAGACACACGGACACACAGGGGGAGCAGGCAGACACACGGACACACGGGGGGGAGCAGGCAGACACACGGACACAGGGGGAGCAGGTAGACACACGGACACAGGGGGAGCAGGCAGACACACGGACACAGGGGGAGCAGGCAGACACACGGACACACGGGGGGGAGCAGGCAGACACACGGACACACAGGGGGAGCAGGCAGACACACGGACACACAGGGGAGCAGGCAGACACACGGACACACAGGGGGAGCAGGCAGACACACGGACACACACAGGGGGAGGCGGGCAGCTTCACGAGACACGGAGCCGTTGGCGGCACAGGGGGCGCTGCTCACCCGGACTCAGTTTACCCTCAGACCCCGAAGCCCTTGGCGGGAGCGGGTCCAGGGTACGGCGAGACGAGGAGAACGGGGTCCGAGGAGGGGACACGGGGGACAAGGACGAGGGGAGGAAAAGCGGGGAGCGACGTCTGGGACACAGGCTCCGGTGGCCACCCGCGAGTCCCAACCCCCCCCCCCCCCGAATCGCGCCAGCCATTGCCTGAGACGCGTGCAGGGAAGGCGGCATCGCCGCCAGGCAACGGGGAGGGCCCGAGGCCGTGTGACCAACTAGGCCCCAACGGACATGCGCTAAACATCTCACACAGCCAGGTGAGGGCTGGGTGTACCGTGTTAATCAGAGGGGCAGTGAGCGGCGGTGTGGTTGTTGTTGTTTATTCCGTGTTTACTGCAGGGTTTGGTTGCCGTGGGGTGAGGTGAATGGAAGAGACGCCGCCTTCGCTAACGCGGCAATGTGATGTGCGTAGCGGGTACATGTTTGTCGAGTCTTGTGTTTGTGTATCTTGACTATGATTGAAATCTCTCTTAAGTCTCTCTATGTCTGTCTAAGCTTTGTCGTGTGTGTGTGTTTGTGTTTATACTGCCTTTGGTATCCATATCTGGTTTATGTGTGCCCCTGTGTATATTGACTATGATTTAATGTCTATTTAGTGTCTCATGTTTGTGTCTACACGTTGTGTGTTGTGGGTTTCATCTGGTTCGTATCTCTGTGTTTAGTATGCCATGTGCGTTTTATGTCTTATATCTGCATAAAGGCTGGTCTTGCGTCTGTGTGTATCTTGTGTTTTATGTCGGTGTCTCTTGTGTATAATGCGTACTCTTCTTTGTATCGATGGAAGTCACAGTTTGCTGTTTCGATAAGAATAAGTGTTGGAAAATCGATTAATTGGATAGACATCCCACTAATGACCAGGTCAACTATTTACACTCGCTTCATTTGTCCAATAGATTTTGGATTTGGTGAATTAGCAGTCAGAAATATTTGGGTTTTTAAAAATTGAAATGAAGAAATGTGTTATGCCTCTTAGAGAAAACAGCGATGGACGGTATATCAGACGGTATATCTCCCAGAAAAAAGTAGCAAGGATGAGAGATGTGACCAGTGGTGCAAGCTGCCTTAGAGTCAGAAGGGGATAAGACGTGAGACAGAGATAGCAAGTCTGGAGCAGTGTAGCAATGACAGATGATGCAAGACAGTAAGTATATCTCCCAGCCTGAAGAGTAAAGGACAGGAGATGAGGCAGATGATACATCCCCTGGGACGCAAACACAGAGTACATCTCCTGGCTTAGAGGTGCACGGATGGAACATGCATTGTGTTATCTCCAGCCAGGGCTTTTTTGAGCACGGACACGGTGAGCTGGCGAGAGGTGGTTGTTGTGGACTCAAGCTGCTGCCTGTGTTGTGGATGTGAGCTCCTTGCCCTGTGCTTTGACAGAGGACGATGCCTGGTGAACAGCAGCAGCAAAGCGCGGGGTCGGACGCGGAGAGCGTGAGGACCCCGGGCCGGCCCAAGGAGAAGGCGAGCGGTGGGGCCGGTACCGACAAGGCACGGGGAGCGCGCCCGCGCCTTACGGACGATGAAAAACGCAAGCGGCTTGACGAGGAGAAGCGGCGCAAGGAGGAGGAAGAGGAGAGGAAGAAGCTGGAAGAGGAGGAGCGGGTGAGGGCTGAGCAAGAGGAACGGCAGAAGGTGGAGGAGGAGCGGAAGATGGCGGAGTTGGAGAGCCAGCGGAAAGAAGAGGAGAAGGCGGCCGCTGCACAGAAGTGAGACGCCTGGACCTCCTGGGCCCAGCCCATTTGCCTGAGAGATTATGAATTTTTTGCCTGTGATTAGCGGCTTTTGGCTAATCAACGAACAAAGACGGTCACTGGATCGTGTGCTGTCACATGCGGTTCTGCGACTGTCTGGAACGCTCTTCCTTCCGATATTAGGAAGCCACTGGGAGAAGTGCACTTTTAACTCTAAATTGAAAACTAATTTCGTAAGAACTGTTTAGTTTGTTGTCCTCCGAACCTCCGATTTGTACAATTGGCTACGTACAATGGGAAAGAAGTTCAACAAACATAAAAGTCTCCCAGGATGCTCTCATTCTTGTCAGATCTCGGGTTGAGCCTTGATAGTGGTTGGATGGGCGACCACCACGAATAACAGTGCTACATGGCTGCGGGGTTAGGTTCAGCGCAGTAGAGGACAGTGCATCAAAATCCATTGTTGGATTGAACTTTTATGCTCCTTTGTCTATGCTCCCCACCTTCGTCATCCCACCCCACGGCTAACATCAGTGGAGAGTAAGAAACGAACCAGGCCTGGGCATTCCTCTTCACCAACCCAGACTGTCCACCGTGGTGGAGTGTTGTCACTCAAACCACATTAATGAAATACGTGGGAAGGCCTTCAGCCAGCAATGGATTGACAGAGCACTATGAATTATAAATAAGCACCACTTAACCCTATTTTCAGATCGTTGAGGTTGTTCAGGGAGATGAAATTAACGAGAACTGGTTCTTTTTTAACTCGACTGATGTTAGCTGTGCCGTGGGATGATAAAGGTGGGTAGCATAGACAAGGGGAGCAGTAGTGCCGAGGTTAGCATGCTGCACTACGAACCTCAACTAAACAAAAATTGTTTATTTTATTCCACGAAATTATGTTTTATTTACCAGTGTAAGGCCCACTGAACTATACATATTTTTTTCAGAAGTGGCCACTAATGATAGCATAGCTCAACAAAGTGGCTTATCATATAAAAATGGATAGCAGCCAAATACTCTTAAACGCAAAGAAAATACAAACTCCAAATATACAGGCATCAGGGTTGGGATTGAACACTCAACCTCCTGTATATCAAGCGAGGCATTTGACATCTCCTGGCCACCTGAGTTTCAGTAACGATTATCTGAACTGGTCTTGTGCTTTCCCGAGCTGAACTCAGCCTCAAATGTTTTCCTGGTGTGATGCGTAAACATGTGCCCCAACAGTTTGTTAAAGGCTATACCGGGGGATCTTTGTCTTTGCCAGGGAGATTGAAGAAGCACGGCAGCTGCAGGCCGAGATGCAGGAGCGCTGCACTTGGAAGCAGGAGCAGCGGGTGCTGAACCAGGCGGCGCACGAGAACCGGCCCGAGGAGGGCTTCTTCGGCCGCCTCGACTCGAGCCTCAAGAAGAACACGGCGTTTGTGAAGAAACTGCGCACGCTCACGGAGCAGCAGCGCGACTCAGTCTCGTCCGACTTCAACTCGCTCAACCTCAGCAAGTACATCGGCGAGGCGGTGTCCGCCCTCGTCGAGGCCCGGCTCAAGACGTCGGACGTCGGCTGCGCCGTGCATGTGTGCTCGCTCTTCCACCGCCGCTACGCCGAGTTCGCGCCGCTGCTGCTGCAGGCGTGGCGCCGGCACCTGGAGGCGCGCAAGGACGACCGCGCGGCGGCGAGCATCGGCAAGCTGCGCACCGACCTGCGCTTCATTGCCGACCTGACGACCATCGCCATCTTCTCAGACCGCGAGGGCCTGTCGCTCCTTTACGAGCAGCTGAAGATGATCGTAGCGGCCGACCGTGAGACGCACGCGCACATCTCCGTGGTGATCAGCTTCTGTCGGCACTGCGGCGAGGATGTGGTGGGCTTGGTGCCTCGCAAGGCCCGGCTGCTGCTGGAGAGACACGGCACCTGCATGCCGCGCAGCGAGATCTTCGGGCCCGAGAAGCAGCAGCCGTTCGTGGTGCTGCTGCGCGACTACTTCAGCTCGCTCTCCCGCCAGCTCAAGAAGGACCACCGCGAGTTGCAGAACCTCGAAAGGCAGAACCGGTACTGCATAATATCGATTTTTACACAGTTGCGGAGCTGGGACATTCTATTATTTATGTAATCGATTGCTGATTGTCGGTTCAATTACTTGGTGAACCGGATAAGGCAAAAAATAGTGCTATGGGCTGGGCTCAGTGACATCTTCGGAATCGTCAGCCATTTAAATCTGGCCACTGAAAGACGGAGGTGGCTGAGCACGATGTTTGTCATACCACCTCCTTGTATGCGTCCTGGCTTTAATAGGTTCCAACAAACAGCAATAACACCGCCAGTTGATATAGTGAAGGCGATATAGTCTTTATTGTGGTGTGTACGTGTATCCAAGTATTTGCTCGTTTGTGTGTCTGTGAGAGAAGTTGGGAGCGGTAGTGGAGCAGTTTATGCTGCGTTACAAACCCAGTGACCCGACTTCGATTCCTGCTCACGGCCAACACCAGTGATGATTATCTGAACAGCTCAAGGGCCTCCCCTAGATCGACTCGGCCCCAAATGAGTACTGGGTGTGGTGTGTAAACATCACCACTGGGGAGACAAAAGCGGCCGAGCGTGGTGTTGGCCACCTACCCCCTCGTATGCCATGCCAGTCTTTATAGGTGCTCGCGAACAGCACTTGCGCCAACAATCTGTTCAGGCTATACGGGGATTCTTTGTTTGTGTGAGAGAAAGTTTGTGCTTATTTGTGTGTTCGAAAGTGCATGCATTTACTCGCACGTTTGCTTGTGCGTGTGTCTGCTCGTGCGTCTGCTCATATGTGGCTGCTTGCGCGTGCCTCGTGCGTGCGCACACCTTGTACGCGCCGCATGTGCCGGCTTTGCTCTTGCAGGAGGATCCTGCACACCAAGGGGGAACTCAGCGAGGAGCGGCACAAGCAGCACGAGGAGTGCGCCGTCTCCTACCAGAAGCTGCTGGTCAGCACGCAGAGCCTGGCCGAGCTGCTCGACGAGACCATGCCTGACCTTCCCGAGGACAAATCCGCTCAAGAGGGTGGGTGACCGCACGCGCCCGCCGCCCTCCACATTCTCGCGTCACTTTTTCCACAACCGCTAAGCCAACTGGGCTCATCCCGTCGAGCCAACTGAGTTTGGCCCAACGAGCCCTGGTTCTCGTGGCAGTCCTCCCGGGCTGACCCTCGGGTAACCGTGTGTCGCTTTGGTGACGGGTGCCTTGTGATTATTAAAGCCGGTCTGACTGCGGAAACATTCACGATGTCACTGGATCAGCACTGAATCGGGAATGGGGTTCATTACGTTTCTCATTTCAGTGTTATGGCGGTGTTTGTGGAAAAACCACACGGCGGAAAATTTACAGGAGCAATGTTTATTTAGCGAATTAATTCCTATTAAGACCTATGGTGCAGTGGTTCAGGCACCGCGCTATGAAACCGGCGAACTAAGTTAGATTCCTGGCCATGGCTATCATCAGTGGCGAGTGATACCTGAACTGGTCCTAGCCCCCCCAACAGCCTCTTCCAATTCGTGATCCCACGTTGACCAGTGATGAAGTATGGTCAAACAACACGGCAGGGGGACGGATGCTTTCAATCAGCAATGGATTGATTTATTTTGCACCTTAATGCAACCACAAAGGGGGCTTTCTTAAGGTGTGAATTATTTTTTCAAGTGAATGAACCAGAGAAGAAAAGAGAGAGTCCTGAGACTGGACTTGAATCAGGGCAAGGAACCAACTGCACAGTTCCCAAACTAAAGTATTTTATATTTACCAGGTAAGGCCTACTGAGCTATATAGCGGTTTTTCAGAAGTGATCAGGCCGCAAATGATAGCAGAACGAAGTGGATTTTCATATGGAAAGTTATAGCAGCTAAATAATCTAAACGCATGTTTCTAAATGTGGAGGGAAAAACCGGACCACCCGGAGAAAAATCCACGCTACCACGGGGAGAACGTGCAAACTCCAAATATACAGGCATCAGGGTTGGGATCGAACCCACAACCTCCTGCCTACCAGATGAGGTAGTTAACATCTCGCCACCGTGTAACCCCAGTGGTCTGGAGTAAGGGAGATCCAGGCCGCAGGGTCAACAGAGGCAAATGAGCGACCTCCCACTGAGCGAAGGTTGACTGGGGGCTTCGACAGAAAGCCTTGGTTGCTGTTGCAGAATGTTTATGGGGGGGGGGAGGTGAGTGAAATGGGAGGGGAGAGGTAGGCTGGGGTGAGTCTGTGGAGCATTTTAAAAGACAGTTAATGCGATCTTGAAATATATCCAGGATTGGATTGGGAGCCAGTTGGAGGGATTGGAATATCAAGTTGGTGTCACCTGATAGTGGCATTTTCAATATACCAGAGTTAGTAGGTGAGGGATTTGGTGACGGATTTGGCGAGGCCACGGAGGAGAGAATTGTAGTAGTTGCGTCCGGATGTGATGAAGGTTTGCATGAGGTTTGGGAGTTTCACATATCCCGCCAGGGTCCACCAAGCGTTGCCTCTAAAGCGCCAGATCACGGGTGTGCATCGCCTCTGTTCCTCAGACCAGGGCATGGGGATTGACCTCTTCACTCCGGGCCGGGCCGGCGAGCTGGAGCTGGAGGGTGGCCTGTGGGAGGACGAGGACTCGCGCTCCTTCTACGAGAGCCTCATCGACCTGAAGGCGTTCGTGCCGGCCATTCTGTTCAAGGACAGCGAGAAAACGGGCCCGCTGCAGGGCAAGGACGCCGGTGAGGGTGCGGAACGGGGAACCACGTGCCATGACGCTCACGCACACCCCGAAAAACACATAGAACTCAACGCATTCGTTAATAACATTGTGGCCATAAAATAATTGTATATAATTGGTGATATTTGGGCAATGGCCCTTCATATATTTATGTAAATTGCTATTTATGTGGAATGAAGAAGGACCATTGCCTGGAAAGCCACCTAATATATATTTTTTGTTTGTCAAGACAACATACAGTGCTCTTGACGATTGTGTTGTTTTTTTTTGTTATTTGTGCTTGTATACGACTGTCAACGCAGCAGCATCACCATATGATTTATTCGAAAACAACATCACTCTTGATCGCGCGAGTACGCTTGGTGTTCACGCTATTCTTATAGCACGAGGCCATCGTGAAGAAGGCGCTAATGCTTTACAGGCCGGTATCTTCTGCCAGTAGGGGCCGATGTTGCTTTGTGGTTTTACCCATTTGCAGACTTTTTTTTCATGTCAGCGAATTTGAATTGTGATGCCGGGACACACATTGCAGCACACTTTTTCTGACCGATGTCGCGAGCTCTTTCACATCCGCCGTGGAGCGTACCCGTTCTGACTGCTCCGGTGACCGTGCTAAGATTCCCGGACACATTGTTTGAGAATAGTTATCGCACTTACGATACGCACGTTGAATTGTACAACGCGATACGATTTGGATTTTTATATCGTGTCTGTGACTTCTTCTAGAGGTGCCGTGCAGAATTGGGGAGTGTGATTTTGATGCAAGGTTCATCGGTTGTAAAATTCACTGAAGTTGCAGTCGGGCATGTCGTTATAATAGTTTATAATAATTACATTTATGTAGCGCTTTTCATAAGAGATCTCAAAGCGCTGTACAGGACACAGAGCAGCAGCAGACATTCAGCTTAAAAATAATATAAATACATTTTAAGAATCATTTACTAAATGAACTAAAAGTTTAATAAGCGGAAATGTATAAATAGGTTTTAAGGCACATTTTAAAAATGTCCACATACTCAAAGATTGCTGATATCTCGTGGAAGAGTGCTCCATAGCCTGGAGGCTACACGGGGAACATGTCGGTCACCCATAGACCGAAACCTCGACCTGGGAATGCAGAGATCTGCATCATGCCCAGATTTTCAGGACCTTGGACATATGGGTGCAGCATGTCCACGATGTAGGCTGGGGCAAGATGGTTCACTGCTTTGTAAGTTAATAGGATTTTAAACTGTGTTTTATTCATTGCATGGAGGCCACAACGGGTGTAATATGATGTGAAGAAGGTATTCCGGTTAACACCCTCGCAGCCGCATTCAGAACATACTGCAAATTGATCAGCACCTTCTTAGTCATGCCACGGAGTAAGACATTACAATAGTCTACGTGAGATGAGATGAAGGCATGGACCAGCTTTTCTGCATCTGAGGCAGAGAGAAGGGATCGGATATGGGAGATATTCCGATGATGAAAACCTGAAGTCTTTGTGATCTTTTTAACATGAGCCTTGTAATTTTTATTGGGCGATGCAGTTCTCTCACTCGGCCACAATACTAGAAAAATACCCTTGACTAAAAATCAGAGTAGACACCATTACAGGAGAAACCGAAAACAGTGCACAAACATCATCTTTCAAAAATAATTTGTAAAGTTGGCTTCTACAAGTTACTTTTAAAACCATTCAAAGTACAACTATGTAACGGAAACAAACAGATTCAGCATGATTATTGCACGCAGTATGTAGAACTTTTTTCGCACCGTACGTAGTTCATCATGCTAATCGGAGGTGCGGGGGAAGGACAACAAACGTAACACAAAAAGCAGTTCTAAAGAGATTTCAATCCACATGTAAAAGTCCATTGCTCCAGTAGGTTCCTAATATCGGAAGGAAGAGCGTTCCAGACGGCTGCAGGAGCGCACATGAAAGCGCGCAATGCAGTCTTTGTTTGATGGTTAGCTAAAAGCCGCTGCTGCGAGCGCGTGATGTTAACAGACGAGGGTGTTTGTGTGGCGTGAGCAGAGGGCCGGGAGCTGGGCGGGATGAGCGGCGCCGAGGAGCTGGAGCGAGAGCTCGAGACGCTGGAGATCCTGGCCGAGGAGGCCGAGGTGGCGGCAGCGACTACAGATGACGATGCCTCGACGATGGGAGCCGGGCCAGAGGATGAGGTGGAGGACCCCGTCGACAAGCTCCTCAAGGATGATCCCGGTGCGTGCGGTACTTTTAAATTTAGATTGTAGTGGTTAGCGTTATGCTGTGCTACGAACCCGGTGACCCGAGTTCGATTCCCCATCATGGCCAACACCTGTGACGATTATTTGAACTGGTCCAGCTCCTCCCCTAGGTCGACTCAGCATCAAATGAGTACCTGGTTCAGTGTGTAAACATCGCCACTCGGGAGACAAAGGCGGCCGGGCGTGGTGTTGGCCACCCACCCCCTCGTGTGCCGTGCCGTCCTTCATAGCTGCTCGCTAACAGCACTTGCTCCTACAGTCTATCAAGGCTATTACAGGGGATCTTTGTCTTTGGTGTACATGTGGGGAGCAATAACACAGTGGTTGGCGCACTGCTACGAGCTATCTAAACCGGTCCTGGGCCTCCCCTACGTAGGTTGACTCAACATTAAATGGGTACCTGGTGCGGTGTTTAAACATCAGTACTGGGGTGACAAAGGCAGCACGCTGTGATGTTGACCACACCTCCCCGTCGTGCGCGGTATGGCCTTAACAGGTGCTCGCTTACAACACTAGCTCTAACAGTCTGTATATGGCTGTAAGGGGATCTTTGTTGAGTTGGCACACGCGTGTGTTTGTTTGCGGGGACCAGTGCTGCACACGAGTGTGCGTGCACGTATGTACATGTGCTGAGAGTCCGTGCGCGTGGCAATTCTGCAGAGCCGGAAGACGAGGAGGCGAGTGTGGCGAGCCACCTACGTATGATCGTGGAGGCCTTCCTACAGCAGCTTCTCAACTGCGTCAATCGGGACCTCATAGACAAGGTACAACGTACTGGTGCGCATGCTGCGAGGGGACCGTGCGTGCACGCCCAACGCACGCACGGTCCCCTCGGATCTCCGGGCTCGTGGCTCGATGTGCCAACGATCACCACCCCCCATGCCTGAGGTCAACAACTTATGAGTGAAACATATTAACGGCTAATGACTTTGTTGAACCCACTGCAATAGATACGGATGGCACTCAAAAAGTGACTGAATATTGGTGTGGTGGTACAACGCAACTGCACCACTGCACGGCCCAGGCAGAGAGAGAAGGCGGGGCTGCCCCAGCGGAGAGAGGGGAGGGGCTGCCCCAGCGGAGAGAGAGGGGAGGGGCTGCCCCAGTGGAGAGAGAGGGGAGGGGCTACCCAGCGGAGAGGGGAGGGGCTGCCCCAGCGGAGAGAGAGGGGAGGGGCTGCCCCAGTGGAGAGAGAGGGGAGGGGCTACCCAGCGGAGAGGGGAGGGGCTGCCCCAGCGGAGAGAGAGGGGAGGGGCTGCCCCAGTGGAGAGATAGGGGAGGGGCTACCCAGCGGAGAGGGGAGGGGCTGCCCCAGCGGAGAGAGAGGGGAGGGGCTGCCCCAGTGGAGAGAGAGGGGAGGGGCTACCCAGCGGAGAGGGGAGGGGCTGCCCCAGTGGAGAGAGAGGGGAGGGGCTGCCCCAGCGGAGAGAGAGGGGAGGGGCTGCCCCAGTGGAGTGATGGGGGAGGGCCTGCCCCATAACAGTGAGAGGCGAGGGACCGCCCCAGCATGCCGTGCAGCTGTGACTTGTGTTTGTTGTTTGCAGGCAGCGACCGATTTCTGCATGAACATGAACACCAAGGCCAACCGGCGCAAGCTGGTGCGGGCACTTTTCAGTGTGCCACGGCAGAGGTTAGTCGCACCAGCGCTGGGGTTCACCCGTCCACCCCGCCATCCCCCGATCCACTGCTGCGACCATGCAGTCCACACGTAGCCACGCGTGAACATTTACCGAAGGCTGCGACCTGTGCCCTGAGAGCGGGGTTTTGCAACTTGCCGCCCACAGGCCATCTGTGGCCCGTGAAGGGCATTTTGAGTTTCCCCCCAAACTATAGCCTGCTGAGAGCTATCTCTTGCTTAAACATAGATATAGATTAGTGAGATGAAAGTGAGGTAAATGGCGGCGAGAGATGCAGATTAGCGCTCGCGTATGAACGTTATGAGTTTTTGCCATGTGACGTCGTGATATGTAGTCACATGGCTCACCAGCAGTTTCTAATTATGTTGGCTGCTGGAAAATATTGCTGAAGGACCCTGCCCTGATGTTCGTTTTCACTGGGCATATCATTACGTTGTTGGCTGTGGCGTGGCACAAACACCCCCCCCCCCACGCTACGTGGTTACATTCCACGGGGAGTGGCGCTCCCTAGGGGCAGATCTGATCTAGAGCTCATGAAACACGGGTGCGCGTGGGGAGGCTTACCGTAATTCCATTGCAGGAGGTCGGTGTGACCGGTGGCCACCAGGGGGCACCAGCTGCATTTGCTCAGTCGTTTGCGATGCGCGGTGGTGGCAGAAAAACTTCACAAACGCTGCTCTGACGCCTCCACTGGCTCCACGCCCCAGAGCCGCCCTTCCCCGCCCCCCACCTCATGTGGGGCGGGCAGTGTTCATGCCGTGCATTCGCTCTTCTTGGTGCCACGCGTGGTGTTTTGGAGAAGGCTGCAATGTTTGTTCATTTTGCGTGCAGCCTGCCGGGGCGCGGAGAAGGGCGCGGTCGTTAAATTGGTGCCAGAACCGCGCCGGCGATTTGCGTTCAAATGAGGTTTATGAAGATTTCACAAGCGGCCTGGCCGTGTGCGGCGGGCGTGGTTGCTTGCGAAAGGCGCGCACGAATGTTCCTGACAGCACAGAAGAGAGGGAGCCTCTCTCACCGTGGTGGGGAGAGAGAGAGAGAGGAGGCATTGACATTGGACGTCTTCTCATACGTTTGCTCGAGAGTGGCTTGTGAGAGATGGTGCACAGTTCATCGTTTACGTGTTTACGTTTCTCCGTGTACGTTTCTGCATGTCATCGTTCCAAAACTAACACGGAGGACATGCCGTGGTCATGGCGCCCACATTTGCAATAACAATATTTGCTTATCGCACAAACAGCAACTACGCAGTTTGTTTGAATGCCTCCAATAACGCTGATGTTTGTATTTTCGTGTTTGCATGTGGGTTCATTTTCTCTCTGTGTTCTACTTGTTGCACATTTTCCAGCGTCATGGGGCTCTTGTATTGTTGGACTAAAAATAAAAACCCAGACTCATCAGTGCGGTAATCCCACCCCCTGCTAATCCACCGCCTGATGCGCTCCTGAGCGATAGTTCACGCCGCGTGCGTTAATCCACGAGTGTCCGTGATGTTTCCCGGCCAGCCCCAGGTGGCACGGTGGGTTCGCTAGGTCTTGTCAGATGCGTTGTCGATGCTGCGCCAATGCCAGGTTCAGTGGCTTCGTCTGATTCTCGTATGTTAATTTTTGTTAATCCAGAAAATGTCCAGCTCTCAATTCGGCAACATTTTGGGTTCAATTGCCTTGCGACAAATACCTCTAGAACAAAGCGCACAAGACGGTATGGTCACCAACTGGTGAGGGTATGAGGCATTCCAAAGGGGTCTCAATGTCATCTTGCAGAGGCTGATTTCTCACGTGTGGGGCTGATGATACCTTGCTCTCAGTGACAGATGCCCAAATGGGATTGTTATTCTGTCACGTGACATGCTGCCTATAATTCAATGGGCATTTGGAAATGTTTTGTTATACAGTAAAACCTTGGATTGCGAGCATAATTTGTTCCGGAAACGTGTTTGTAATCCAAAGCACTCGTATATCAAAGCGAATTTCCCCATAAGAAATAATGGAAACTCAGATGATTCGTTCCACAACCAAAAATATTCATGTAAAAATGATTAAAACAAAATACCTTTTTATATTTTTATTATTTAAATTTAATATAAAGTAACCAAATGTGTTAATTACATTTAATCGTGGCTGGTGTGAGGGAGACGAGAGAGCGGAGAGGAGGAGGAGGGTTATTGTGTAGGACGACTTTCACTGTCAGTAACGGAATCACTGCTATCTGTTGGCTCACTGGAATCTTTTTCTTTTTGTGCGACTTTAACAAGGAACCTATCTAATGACACTTGCTTTTGGGGGCCATTGTTGCAGTACAGTTACTAAGGAACAGTCACTACACTTGGACACAAAATAAAAAATGCTTTACGCACAGACACGTGGTCACAACACTATAGTAAACAGTATACGCTCGCACGGATGTTCACTATACGAGTGAGTCACGCCAACTGAGACCGAGCATGGGAGACGTTTACCCACAATCCCAGAGCGAGAGAGAGAGGAAGTATTGGCTCAGTTGTGATCACGTGACACTCGGCAGACAAAGCGCATACGTACTACTCGTATTGCAAGACCTCGCTCGTGTATCAGGTTAAAATTTATTTTAAAAATTTCCTCGTTTTGCAAAACACTCGCAGACCAAGTTACGCGCAATCCAATGTTTTACTCTATATGAATAGGCCAGGAGGATTTTGCCATTGGGAAGTGGCACGCTCACACTCCAGCACCCCTCTCACCCCCTCTGCCACCTTGTGATCCGACAGCATTGGGGCTTTCTCTGTACAAATCGCATCTCGTGCGAAATCGATGTAAGCCCAGGAAAGACGCTCGGTAAATAAACAGATCCAGTGTTTGAGGAGAGGATTTGCCTACACAGAATGCCTGCTAATAGCCACTCCAACAACAACCATCTCGGCAAACTTAGCAGAGAGACGTGGCTTGCTAAACGTGTGTGTATGTGTGTGTGGCCCGGTAGGTGATTGACCATGTTTGTGGTTTGTGGTGGGTGACTGTGTATATGCATGCCTCCCGGTGTGTGCGGGTGTCCATGTGTGTGGCCCGGTGGGTGACTCCCAACGTGTGCGCGTGTTCGTGTGTGTGTGGCCGCCACGGTCTGCCCCTCCTCCAGGCTGGACCTGCTGCCGTTTTTCGGTCGCCTCGTGGCCACGCTGCACCCGTGCATGCCGGACGTGGCGGAGGACCTGACCTCGATGCTCAAGAGCGACTTCAAGTTCCACGTGCGTTACTGCTGCCCCCCGAGCCAGCAGCACAGCCGAGAGGGGCCGCGATGAGTAGCCCCACAGCTCTCCCAAAACAATTCGGGACACGACGCACAGTGGAGCCCCCATTGTGGGTCTACATGCGTTGCGTGCGTACGTACGTACATACGTACATGCGTGCGTACGTGCGTACGTGCATGCAGGGCTTCGCACGTGCGTGTGGAGTGGTGGTGCAGTGGTTAGTGCACCGCGCTGCTAACTCAGTGACCCAAGTTCGAATCCTTCTCACAGCCAACATCGGTGACGAGTATCTGAACTGGTTCTGGGTCTCCTGTAGGTAGATTCAGCCTTAAATGAGTACCTGGTGTGGTGTATTAACATCAGCACTGGAGAGACATGCTGCCAGGAATGGTGCTGGCCACCCACCCCTTAGTGTGCCATGCTGGCCTTAATAGGTGATTGCTGACATGGCTTGCCCTAACAGTCTATTAAAGGCTTTATGGGAGATCTTTGTCTCTGTATGCACACCACTCCCTCTTGTAACGTGCTGGCATCGATCGGTGCTCTCTAACAGCGCTTACCCCAGCAGTCTTTCTTGGCTATATGGGGGATCTTTGTCTTTGTTGTGGCAGGTGCGGAAGAAGGACCAGATTAATATCGAGACGAAGAACAAGACAGTGCGCTTCATCGGGGAGCTCACCAAGTTCCGCATGTTTCCCAGCAACGAGACCCTCTACTGCCTCAAGGTGGGGACCAGAGCAGCTTGTCCTGTACCACACACACCACACGCACACACACCACAAACCAGTGCCACACAAACCACACAATACCCCAAACCTGTACCACACACACCACACACACCGTAAACCAGTACCACACAAACCACACACATACCCCAAACCTGTACCACATACACCACACACACCACAAACCAGTACCACACACACCACACACACCACAAACCTGTACCACACACACCACACACACCCCAAACCTGTACCACACCCACCACACACACCCCAAACCAGTACCACACACACCACACACATACCCCAAACCTGTACCACACACACCACATGCACACACACCACAAACCAGTACCACACAAACCACACAATACCCCAAACCTGTACCACACACACCAAAGACAAAGATCCCCCGTAAAGCCTTTAACGGACTGTTGGGGCAAGTGCTGTTAGCGAGCACGGCACATGAGGTTAATGGGTGGGCAGCATCACGCCCAACCACACACACATACATACCCCAAACCTGTACGAGCATTTCTAACCTGTACCACACACACCACACTCCCCAAACCTGTACACCACACTACAAACACATACCTCAAGCCAATACCATACATCGCATGCCACTAACACATACCTCTAGCCAATACCACATCCCACACACGCCCCAATCTTGTCTCACACTCCAAACTTGTACCACACATGACACACAGAACACATAGCCCAAGCCTGTCTCACATCCCCACATCAACAAGTCTGCATCACACATCACAGACGCATGCCGCACACCCCACAGCCCACATCCCAAACCTTTGCTAAATCTCACACCTCTAGCCCATTCGATCCCCCACATCCCACATTCCACATTCAAACTCGTCCTCCAGCTTACAACCCACACCCGAAGCCTGTTCCACGCCGCATCTACGCCACACCGCACGCGTGATGTGCCACCCTGTACGCATGCATGTAGATGCGTGCGTGCGTATGGTACCATTTGCCTGAGTTTCATAACTATCGTTTGGGGCCCATGCCGGACTCCATCAGGGTGTGCGGTCTTAGCCCGGTAGGGTTACACAAACCACACGGCGAGCGCGTGCGGGAGGAATGCGCAGTGCTGGCGGACGGCCATGCGCGGCCAGCGTGCGTGCGGCGGTGATTAAGTGCGCCGGCTGAGAAAACGCGGTGCAGGTGTTCAAACACTGTTTGACCGACACGGGCAAAAGCGGGGGGAGCTTTGGTGGTTTGGTAGAGGTGGGGGGCACGGGGGGTGCGGTGGCTCGGCCATTAGACAGGAAGACCACAGTCGGCATCTTGAGCGCCATAGCTGACATGAGCACCGAGCGTTCTCGACGCGTCTGGGTTCCTGCCGCTTGCCGGGCAGAGCAGCGCTTGTGTGTCTGCGCGCGCACGTGCGACGGGTGAGTGGACTGTCCGTGAGTGGGGGCCATGCCGCAGCTGCACCGATGTCTGATCGCAGAAGTTGGGGAGATTAGCACTGTTGACTACGTACATTGCGAAAGAAGTTCAGCATACATACAGCCAACCCCGTAGGCTGCAGAGTTTCCAGAGCAGTTTGAACTCTCCCTCAACTACGTGTATATACATCTACGGCTTTTTTGTCAGTCCTCTTCCGGATGAGGGCCTCCCCCACCCCCCACCACAGCTTGCGGATCATGGGGTTTAAATTTTGATTTAAAGCTTTTGTGACTGCAGTAATTCATATTCTTAGTTCTTTCGGTAAAGTCACGTTGAAGGGAAACTAAGAATATGAATATCATGGGGTTTGTTTGACCATACTTCGCTGTGCAGGCCAGTGCGAGTTGGTGAAGGCGGGAAGCTTAGAGGTCGGAGCAATGAATTACAGAACAACAGTGCTGCAGTGTGGGTCCCCACATAGCCCCGCAAACCCTATGGCGACCTGTTTGTGCGTGTAGTCAAACACGCTCCGGGCTCAATCCCCATCCGTCTTCGCGTTCGAGGTCTGACGAAATCGGCACCCTCTTGGTGATTTGGTCACAGGTCCAGCATGTTATTTGTCATTAATTCATCCAGGAAAGCCGTAATGAGTCACCAGACTTTTTCCCTGCTATTACATCGGAATGTTTAGCCAATTCCTTTTAAAATAAAGGAGTATTTTGCTGCATGTGGTAGGAATCTTGAATGTCTGTAAAGAGGATAACAATTAAATATCCCCACAGCAGTTCCTCTCTGCAGCTGCTCAACGCTGACGTAACCAGGTCTTCCGCGAATAAAGATACAATGCCTCTCATTAGATCCTTTACCTGGATGTGAACCCAGGGGTCTCAACAGTTGATGGCTCAGAGCTCTGACCTCTGAAAGGTCCACTTGGCGACCCCTTACCTGGTTTATAAATAACAGACACATTAAACAAAAAGGACACGCACAAATGTTTACTGAAATGCAGCAGCAGCCATGCGTGGCTGTCAGGGGCACTCGGTAAAAAAACAAAGTTGGAGAACCCACTGCCTTGAGGGAATGGAAAATAAAGCCCTGTTTGTCAAAACGTGACGGTTAAACATTACACCAGCAGCGCGTTAGCGTGTGGAATTTAAATTGGAGCTTTTTTGTCCAATGTGACTCAAGTCAGTGAAGCGGAGATCTCCGCGGCTCGTGGAAGGGGGCGCTTGCCCTCGCTGCCAGTACACCGAGGGGCACTGCGGGCGCTGATAACGAAAGCCCGTCGCACTGCCGAAAATGTCAGCTGACAAGTGACCTCTACAGGCGGCGGGGTTGGGGGAAGGATGTACGGGCGCACCCCAGATGCATTCGGTGTAAATTGGAAAACTTTACCCTCTCTCTGCAGAGAGATTCCGCGCTCATCCTAGCCGAAGTGTCTACATGCCCCCTGTGGGCACGGATAAATTCGGACCGTCATTTTGAGTTCCTCCGGGTGTCATGTTTTCATCGCCTTTAGCCAGATCTGCTAGATAAGCCTCATGTTTGCATCATCGAGTGAGATGATCCGTGAGCAGAAGGTTGAGCATAAGCGCCCCCTTGGGTGAACCGGATCGCAGGTTTTGCAAATGGTAATTAATTTGAATGAACTGTCGGAGTGGCCATGCACGTGGTTAAAAAAAAACATCCCCTTGTCCTGGTGTGAAACGCCACATTTTGTTCAGATGATGTAATATGGTTTCCTGGTGTTGCGTGAATAGCCCATGCTCGGGCTATAGTAATGTCCGGGCATGCCTGTGCATACATGCGTACGTGCGTGTGTCTGTGCATGCATGCGTGCAGATGCTGCTGTCGGACTTTTCGCACCACCACATCGAGATGGCGTGCACGCTGCTGGAGACATGCGGCCGCTTCCTCTTCCGCTCGCCCGACACGCACCTGCGCACCAACGTGCTGCTGGTGGGTATTGCCCCCTTGCCCCACCACCCGATCGCTCCCTCGCCTGCTCGCTCGCCCGCTCGCTCGCCCGCTCTCTCGCCCACTCGCTCTCCCGTTTCCTCGCCCGCCCCCTCTCCCACTTCGTTGTCCGCTGGCTTGTTCTCATACGCCAGCTCACTCCCTCGCTCGTTCGTCTGCTCACTCACCCACTTGCTCCACCGCCAACCGCTTCTCGCGCTCCACGTCCCCCCCCCCCCCCCCCCAATAGGAGCAAATGATGCGCAAGAAGCAGGCCATGCCGCTGGACGAGCGCTACATCACGACGGTGGAAAACGCGTACTACCACTGCAACCCACCCGTGGTGGAGCGCACCGTGCAGCAGGCCCGCCCGCCTGTGCATGAGTACGTGCGCCGCCTGCTCTACAAGGACCTGTCCAAGGTCACCACCGAGCGGGTGAGCGGTTCGCCCCGTTCGTCCGTGTGTCCCTAAGTCCACGTGTCAGTCTATCCGCCCATTCCTTCATCTGTCTAACTGTCAGTCCGTCCATCGACTCCACCTTGAGCTGCTATGGTGTCTGGGTCTTAACGACAACCACACCGCAAAACAATCCTAACAATACTCTCTGGTTTTTTCGGTAAAGTCACGTAGATTGAAAAAAGAATAAAAGAAACACGACGTTTCGGTCGCAACACAAGCGTCCATCATCACCTGATGTTGCGACCAAAACGGCGTGTTTATTTTAGTACGGGTTCCTGCAGTCACGATAGCTTCAAATAAAAATCCAAACAATCTCTATAAATGATCATAAATCCATTAAGTGCATGCAGACTGGATTTTTTTTATCTAACAGTGAAACACACAGAATGTGTGATGTCTAGATAGCAATATGCATGATTGTAACCCATGGGATCGTTCTTCCCACCATGCCTCGCATGTCCCATGGCATCGCCGCTCAACCGTGTATAATCCACAACAGCCTTGAGTTATAGACCCATTGGGATTAGGAATTGTGTCTGTATTATTTTAGGCGGCCGTAGGACAACGCAAAGCGTTACATGGGGAGGTGAGTATGGCGGGCGCGTACAGATAACGGTGGCCACCTCACCTCATGGCGCTCACCTGTGCCCGCGTGGCACCCCCCCCCCCGTGCCCCGCGCACCGGTAAGAGCAGGTGCTGCGTCAGATGCGCAAGCTGGCGTGGGGGGACCCCGAGGTGAAGCGGTACGCCACCAAGTGCCTGGTGAGCGTGTGGAACGTCAAGTACAACAACATTCACTGCGTTGCCAACCTGCTGGCGGGGCTGGTGCCCTTCCAGGAGGACCTGGGCGTGCACACGGTGGACGCGGTGCTGGAGGACATCCGCCTTGGAATGGAGGTGCGTTTGTTCATTCGGCGGCCGCGCTGGCGGCAAAGGCGGCGCGGGAATAAATCCTGGGCGAGTCACGAGCGATCGTTGGGAGGGTCGTCCATCGGGATGTTTTGCCGGTTCCTGTTTAACGCGTGACTTTGTGAGGCTCGTTCCCCTGCAGCGGGGGTGGGGGGGGGTGTCACTTTAACGCTCGTTAAGATGATATTTATCAAAGGTTTCCCAAAACTTGGCGATTACTTGGCAAAGCCATGGAGCAACATCGCCCCCTACTCGTAGACTAATGGCCATATGCCAGCCAGTGCAGGGTTCACCTTACGCCACACAGGGACAGCTGCCACCAAGGGGTTCCATACCGCGCCGCGTGGGAGGCCCAGTATCGGTATTGAAGCACCGAGCGACACTTGCTGCCGCTCTTCTTCCCCGGCCAGATCAACCATCCCAAGTTCAACCAACGCCGCATCAGCAGCGCCAAGTTCCTGGGCGAGCTCTACAACTACCGCATGGTGGAGTCAGCCGTGGTGTTCCGCACGCTCTACTCGTTCCTCACGTTCGGCGTGGGCCCCGACGGCGTGCCGGGGGCCCTCGACCCGCCCGACAGCCTCTTCCGCATCCGCCTCGTGTGCACGCTGCTCGACACGTGCGGCCAGTACTTCAACCGCGGCTCCAGCAAGCGCAAGCTCGACTGCTTCCTCCTCTACTTCCAGGTCCGTGCGGGGGGTGGTGGGGCGGTGTTGGGGATGCGCGGGGTGCTGGGTGTGTGTGCGCTGCAGGGAATATGTGCTTGTGTCCTGTTGGGGCATGTGGTTGTAGCCGGGGATGTGTGCGTGTTTGGGTGTTTGGTTGTAGCGTTCGCGTTTGGTGAGCGGGTATAGTGAGCGTGCGGTATTCTGAAACATAAGTGCGGTTGTGGCGTACGTGAGCGCGGTTGGATTTGTGGCCTGCGAAACGATCAGTAAAATATACGCTCGTTTCCACCCACCTACACGCACGCAGCGCTACGTGTGGTGGAAAAAGACCCAGGAGATCTGGACCGCGACCAACCCATTCCCCATCGACGTCGACTACCTAATCTCCGACACACTGGAGCTGCTGCGGCCCAAGTTCCGTCTGTGCGCGTCGCTCGAGGAGGCCATGGGGCAGCTGGCAGAGCTGGAGAGGGAGTACCGCTCCAAGCTCGGTGGGTTCCCCGGCTCCACCGTGGCCCTTGCAAGGGTGCCCCCCTACGGTGGGCCCTGCGGTGGGCCCTGCGGTGGGCCCTGCGGTGGGCCCTGCGGTGGGCCCTGCGGTGGGCCCTGGCAAGGGCCCGGCACGGAACGCCTGTTGCTCACGCCGGGCTTCTTGCGACTGCTAACACACTGATGGGAGAAACTTCTTCATCAGCAGCAGCAACGATGATCAATCCACTGCTGGATGAAGGTCTCAACCAGCTGTCATCATCATCATCGCTCATGGTCTTGCGTTATATCATTCCATCCAACGCCTGCACGTGAGCTGATTTCATCACGTATTTCCTCCTGTGGCTGAAAATTCAACGTTAGCCTTGACTACGGAACATCATCTATTCGAGCGACGCATCTTAACGCAAGCCCACTTACTTTTCTTAACAGTCAATGAGATGCCTCTAACTTTGCATATGTTCTGTAAGCCGTCTGTGCCTCTTTCCCTCTGCTGGATGCTCGAGTTCCCAGCATGCAGCTGGAGTCGTTGTTGAGCTCGCTGGGCGCGTCGTCCGTTCCGTTCACATTTTCCGACCTCGTGCTCTCTCGCGCTCTCTCGCTGTCTCAAGGGCTGGACGGCGGTGGCGGCGGCAAGACTGGTGGCTCGGACGTGCTGGGAGGATCATCATCTGGGGTGGCCGACGAAGAGGACGACGACGATGATGAGGAGGAGGAAGGAGCGGAGACGGAGGAGCAGTCGGCTAACGAGAGCGACGCTAACGACCAAGACGATGAGGTAAGGGAGGAGGGGCGGTGTTGCTCGTGTTGAAGGTGGAGTGTTATTGGGTGGCGGCACTATTTGTGTGCCCCGCACCTACAGGGGATCCACACGAGCTGATGTTGTTTTGCAGGACGGGACGGATGAGGAGGAGGACGAGGATGACGAGGAGGAGAACACGGATTACATGACGGATTCCAACAAGGAGAACGACACCGACGAGGATGGAGGGGTAAGGCCTGAGCGTGGGCCCTCGCACAACGCTTACACGCGTGCCATGCGCACCCCTCGTACAGCCACTCACGCATTGCGAACCCATCTGACCCCACGACCCCCACCCCCCTACCGCGTGGGCAGCAGGTGACAATGAAGGACGGTGGGGGGCTGAAGCGCGTCGCGTGCGCCGAGGATGATGAATTTATCTCGGCCTTCGACAAGATGATGGTGGAGAATATGCAGGTGAGGACGCCCGGCCGGTTCGCCTGCCCACCCGCCCACTCACCTGCCACCTGAAATCAATCCCCGAGCCCACACCAGGTTTTTCACTTGCCTGGCACTGCCCGAGGTGGCAGAATTCGGGTGATAGAAACGGTCGTTATCAATCGGTGCGGATGTTTACACACCACATCAGGTACTTGTTTAGGGCTGAGTCTATCTACAGGAGGCCCAGAGCTAGTTCTAATATCACACTCGTCACTGATGTTAGCCAACAACTGCGCCACATATGCACCCGCTCGTTATACACATGCCACCAGCTCGTATACAAACAAATATCGCACATGAGCTTTGGAAGCAAAGTGAGAGCTCACTAAGATGAAGGTCTCTTGCAAGGGAGACCTGGGATGCAAATAGTGAGGCCACTGGACAACATACGAACATCTCAGTGCATGAAAACAAAAATGCACGGTCTTAAAAATCACGAGAAGAAAAATCCACAATGTTTTTCAGTATTAAAAATCAATACGAATGAATGACCTGCGCACGAGCGACAAACGAGTGGACAGACTTGGCCTTGAGATAGAGAGAGAGACCACGCGCGTGAGTGTGCAGCATGGGCGAGAGGCGCCGCGCAGTGATCGGTGATGCGGGAGCCACAGGCCACCGTGCCAAGCACTGCATAGCACCAAAGGAACCGTCGAAAAAGTGGCCGCAGCCTCGCACAGAGTGGGGGGGGGCGGCCTTTGTGCCAAGGCCAGGTGTGCGTGTGCCCAAAGCCCTCGTCGTGAACGTGGGGGCCGTGCGTGCTGTCTCTCTGGGCCGCTGCGCCAGCTCCATGGGGGGTTGCTCGGTGTCGAAAGCCGCCACTTGCTCACAGATAGGCAATTGTGCAGCGGTGCCGCGACTGGGTTCATTAAATACACGCGTTTTAACGAGTCCCTAACCTAGACGTATTTGTAAAAACCGTGAGCGTTTGTGTCTCGTGGGGAATTGGCAGCATGTACGTTAGAAGCTTGCGCCCTGTCTCAATAGCGGTAAGGCGACACGTTCAATTCCCGGCTCAAGATCGCGTAGCTGGCGCCCAGTCAGCTGTGTTTGGCGTGGGCCTCGCGCGAGTCGCCCCTGCGTGCGTACGCACGACCGCCGGCACATTGGCGCCGTCGGGCCTTGCCGGCGCGCCTGACCGTGGCGACACCGTGTGTGTGTGCGTGAGAGCAGCAGCGGAGCAGCGAAGCGGTGAAAGTGCACCAGCTGGACGTGGCCATCCCACTCGGCCTGCGCGGGCAGGTCAAGCCTGGCCAGGCGGCGCCCGGGGAACCGGCGCTCGAGGGCGACACCACGAGCTGTCAGGACATGGGCACCATGCAGTTCGTCATGCTCACCCGGCGCGGCAACAAGCAGCAGGTGCGGTCGGGCACGAGCGAGCAGGACCATGTCCACACGCGTACACGCGTACAAACGGCAACGGCCAGGCTAGGTGCAAGGTCCATACATGTGTGCGCTCACACATACACACACACATACACACACACATACACACACACACATACAATAACAACAACCGCCATTCGCCACTAAGTGGCGGTGACGTCACCACGACGCTTGTGCCAGGCTATGTGCACCCTGAGGCCACGTGAAGTGTCGAACACCCGCTGGCAGGAGGTCACGGGGCAGACCCAGGTGCCACGGGTCGACTGACTGAGATGACTGGCTGATGCACCACCTGTGCCCCCTAACCTGCTGTGCTTTAGCCACCCGGCGCTCCGCTCGTTGTTCTGAGCGTCGCTCCTCCACCCTCCGTTGTTGTTGGAGGGCGACTGCCTCCAACTGCCCAGTAGCATCCTTCACGAGCCTCCTCCACTGAGGCCGATCTTGACACCGCTGGTACCAGTCATCGGCAAGTCCACTCAGCTCCACGTCCTCCTGTACCACATCACTCCATCTCTTCTCTAGCCCGTGCCGCGCCCGCTTAGCCCCCTCAATCCGGCCAAACAAAAGCTGTTTCGGCATGCGGTGGCTGGGCATGCGGGCTACATGACCCAGCCATCGCAGCCTTGCCTGCCGGAGGAGCTCACCGATGGGACCCTGCCCAGATCTTTCAAAGATTTGTGAGCTCCTCACACAATCCAGCCTGGTTAAACCCAGGATGGATCGTAGGCAGGCTAGCCTAAATGTTTCTAACCGGCGAAGATGTTCCATTAGGGGGGTCCACGTTTCGCAAGCGTAGAGAAGAGAGGGAATGACCGTGGCCAAGAAGACCTGAAGCTTAGTGCGGAGCGACAGACCAGGTAGCTTCCACACAGCGTTACGCAACCGATGAAAAGATATTGCCGCTGGACTGATTCAGAGTGAGACCCCTGCTATTAAACTGGAACACATACACACACACATACACACACATACACACACACACATACACACACACACACACACGGGAATACCAGCAGGCATCTGGCATACGTACATTCATCCACACGCATGCGTGCGCTCACAGCTAAACACACACACATGCATACGCACGCACCTGCACACGCAGACACACATACACGCGCGCAGGCATTGGTGCAACTGGGTATATGGACACACACACAGACCCACAATAAGCCTTATCGACTGTTGACACACAAGTAGGCATCGTGGCAATACTCCTCCTGGCCACCTTCTCCCTGGTGTTTACACACCGTAACCAAGTACTCTTTTAAGATTGAGTTGACCTAGAGGAAACCCAGTAATCAAACCCAGGTGGCTGGAATTATAGTGCAGTACATACCACACTGTGACATCGCTCCACAAACATCGCTTGCATACACCCACCCTCACCCACACTCTCTCACAAAGATCTTCCGTATAGCCTTAGCAGACTCTTATGGGAAATGCTGTTAGCAAGCACCTATGAAGGCCTGCACGGCACCGGGTGGCCAACACCACACCCTGCTGCCTTTGTATCCCCAGTGGTGATGTTTACATACCACCCCAGGTATTCATTTTAGGCTGAGTCGACCTAGGGGAGGCCCCCGACTGGTTCACATAATCGTCACTGGTGTTGGCTATGAGCGGGAATCGAACTCGGATGGACGGGTTCGTAGTGCGGCCGCGCTAACCGCTACACTGCAGCTCCCCACATTCTCACACACACACTCGCACAAACAAATGCCCGCGTAATGAACCAGTGCCTCAGTGACTGTGCAGGGTGGTGCCGGGCGGTTGACGTCGACCGTGCCAGCAGCCAAGTGGGGAAAACAAAAAAAGTGCCCTTTTTGCGTCGTTGGTGACGTGCGTCGCCCAGATGGACGCGACGCAGTCAGTGACGCGATACGCGGCGTTGCACAACACTTGGGACACACGGAGGGCGTTGTGCTCGGCACTTGGAGGGGGGCACGGGGGTTTGGAGGAAGATTGGAAGGAGAGTCGTTCGGCCAAAAGTTACTCGGCTGAATTTCTAGCGTGCGGGAGGGGACTCGATCGCCTGTTCAGATCCACACGGTGTGCCGAGTTGCGCTGCTGCTGCTTACCAACGCCACAGCACCTGTTGCATGCCCGCTCTGGCTGGCACCTGCGTGGTCTAGCGGGCACTAGCGGTGCGGTCACTCGTGGGCACAAGTTGGTGCATCTAAAGCCCGGCCGAGGAGGAAGAGACCTCCCACAGAGACCGAGCCGCGTTGATGGCTGCTGTGAGTTTGTCTCGGTGTCGTTTTTATGTCTCTTGCCGCCGCGCTGCCAAGCACTGACAAACGCCACTGCGGCAACTGGAGACCCTCCTACCATGGTATGGTTAGGAAATCTGCGGATGCGGTGGCAGTTTCAGAGTAACATGTGCGAGTCTCTATGACTGTTTTCCAATCCATAAACACACAAATACACATACTCGTACATACAGACAAAACAAAGCCAAAGATCCCCCATATAGCCTTGACAGACTGTAGGAGCAAGTGCTGTTAACAAGCACCTATGAAGGCCGGCACGACATACGAAGGGGTTGGTGGCCAACACCACCCCCGCCCACCTTTGACTCCCCAGTGGTGATGTTTACCCACCGCACTCAGTACTCGTTTGAGGCCGAGTCGACCTAGGGGAGGCCCTTGACCGGTTGAAAATCGAACTCGCGTTGCTGGGTTCGTAGCGCAACGCGCTAACTGCTACACTACATCCATACACAAACGTGCTAATAAATACGCGTGAGATGTATAATGGTGAGAGACCATACTTCACCATGCTGATCGCTGCGAGTTGTGGCCCAGAACAGCGCACGGGGTCAGTGTGGCCAGCGCCTTTCCTTGCCCCCTTTGTTTTTCCAGTACTGATGTTTATGTACCACACCGGATTGCTCATTTACGGCCAAGTCACGTTAAGGGAGGCCCAGGACCAGTTTAGATAATCACTCACTGATAATGCTAGCTGTGGACGGGAATCAAACTCGGGTTAAACTCGGGTTGCCAGCCGCTGCAGACAGAGCCTTATCAAAATGAAAAATGAAAGTAAAGCTGCTCCTTGGCCAGACACAGGGCCCCCCCCTCCCCATCCGAGCCCGCTCCTCCTTCCCCCGCCGGCACGCCGCTCGAATGTCGTAATCCTTGGGTGCGCACGGCCACGTTGACCGGGCCCTGGGGCGCGGTTGAGGGGTGGTGGACGTCTCTGCCAGAGCTGCGTTAGCGGCGCCAGCGGAGGCGCCGTGCGGTGAATGGGAAGCGTGGGTGCCACTTGCGGGGTTTTCCCCGACGGGGCGGCCCGCAGTGTGGTCTGGGCGCCGTTACGGGACGGCCGATGAGTGAACCGCGTCGCTAAGCGCGTGTGATCGTGTGCATGCGTATACAGGTGTACGTGTATATGTGCTTGTGTGTGTGTGGGTGGGTGCATGCATGTAGGGGTGGGTGTGTGTGTTTACTTGTGTGTGGGTATATGAATTTATGTCTGGCCTGGCCCGTTTGTGGTGTGCACCATACACGGGCAGCTGTCTGCTTGCGTGCGTGGGTGTGCATTCTTACGTGTGCATTCTTGTGTGTATATTTGTCTGCGTGTGTGGGTGTAACATTTGCATGAGTGTACGCATGTGCGTGGCACAGGCATTATGTTGGTCACACCACCCCATCGTGTGCCGTGCCAGACTTCATAGGTGCTCTCTAACAGCATTTGCCCCAAAAGTATGTTAAGGCTACATGGGGGATCTTTATCTTTGTTTATGTGCATACCTCGGTGTGTCTGTATGTGAATGTACAAGCCTCTGTGTGTAGGTGTTTTAGCCTGTGCGAGAGCTTCTGTGGCTGTGTGTGGGCACACGCGTGACTTTGTTCATTTTATTTTAATCGTGGTTGCTGGGCACAGGCCCAAAAGCCCAAAATGCCAAGCGACCAGAAACAAAACAACACGATTGAAGGTGTAAGAGATAAGGGTGTAACAGATAAGAGATAGTGTGTGCGCGTGTGTAGTTGTGCAGCATGCATATTTATGTGTGTGTGTATATGTCTGCGCGCATACCTATAGGCCCGCTTGCCTGTGCGCATGTGTGTATACATGCGTGTACATCTCTGTGGGTGCATGTGTATATACCTACATGTATGTCTGTAGGTGCACATGCCTGTGCTTGTGTCTATACCTGCGGGAGTGTAGCGGTTAGCGTGCTGCACTACGAACCCAGTGACCCAAATTCGATACCCACTCATGGCGATCACCGGTGATGATTATCTGAACCGGTCCTGGGCCTCCCCTAGGTCTATTCAGCCTCAAATGAGTACCTGGTGGAGTGTGTAAACATCGCCACAAGGGAGACAAAGGCGGCAAGGCATGGTGCTGACCACCATCCCCCTCGTGTGCTGTACTGTCCTTCATAGGTGCTCGCTAACAGCACTTGCTGCTACAGTCTGTTAAGGCTACATGGAGGATCTTTGTCGCATGCCTCTACACATGTGTATATACCTGCGTGTATGTCTTTATGTGCGCATGCCTGTGTGTGTGTAAATGCCTGTGTGTGTGGTTATATCTGCGTGTAAGTCTGTAGGTGTGCATGCCTGTGCGTGCGTGTGTGTAAATACCTGTGTGTGTGTGGGTATATCTGCGTGTAATGTATTTAGGTGCGTGTGTGTGTGCGTATGAGCAGGCAATTCCTCATGGATGTTTACGTTAACCCCCCCCCCCCACCCTCGTGCCGGCCTAGTGGAGCCCACGCACGGCATGCCTTCACTCACCAAGGGCGCGAGCCAAAAAAAATGCCCTGGCGTACGTTCACGCGTATTTTAATTAATTTATTTACTTCGTCCTTAAACATTCTCTGCGGGGCTTGTTTTTTTTTGCCTGCCGCCGCCTGCCCACAGCGATACAATAATGAAACCGTTCTCCGGCGTGGAGTAGAAACAAAACTCGGCAAATGTTGAAATGTGCGGCCCGTTTGTTTGTGTTTGTATTTTGCCGACGAGGTTGCGCCCCGTCGTTGTTTTACCAGCTGCGCGTCCCTGCCTGCGTCGAGTTTAGCCGGGTTCGGGTTCACATTCCGCGCGGCGCCACCGCTCCACCTCCTCCTCCTTTACTTGCTGCTGTACCTCCTATTCCTCTCCGCGTACTCATCTCATGTCGCCTCTGCTGTCTCCACTATCTCCTTCTGCACCTCCTCCCCCGATACTTCCTCAACCTGCAAATCCTCTACCTCTTCCTCGACCACCTGCTTCTCCACTTCCTAAACATCCTCTTCCTGCTCCTCATCTACCTCCTCTGCCTCCACCTCCTGCTCTTCTACCTCCTCGTCAACTTCTAACTCCACCCCCTCCCCCCTCCTCATAAACCTTTTCCCCCACTACCACCTCCTACTCTACCTTTACCTCCCGCCGCCCCCCCATCAACTTCCCCGCAGTGGGGTTTGGCGGCACGGCGTCGGCGCGAGAGGAAGTGCCTTCGACCCGCGGCACGGCGCCCGCCCCCGCATTTCGCCAGAAACCAATTATCACGCCCTGGTGGCTGCCTCCCCTCGTCAGGGTCCTTTAAGGAGACCCTGCTGCTACCGCGGCGGAAAGAGGGGGGAACGTTCATTTGGAAAGCCTTGCCAATTCTCAGGACTGTTATTCTTTTTTTTAAGGAGGCTTATCCGGTTGGAATGTTGACCCATTCCCTCGACGCAACGTAGTTATTCCTGCAATGAAAAAGGCCGCACCGAGTCCTCGGACTCGTTTTGCAGGAGGCGTCCTGCATTGGAATGAGAACCCGGAGGAACCCCCCCCCCCCCAGCTTACAAGTGGATAACAGTGGATGGGTTCACAAACCAACTTGCTGTGCTGCCATCTCCTGGTCAACCTCACAGCCCTGTCAGGGCTAGGGGATTTTTATACCTATATTATTTGGTGGTGCTGCTGCTTTTGCCAGTGGTGCTCCAGCACAATCAGCAACAATACTCCACACATCAATAGCAACGCCGTTGCCTTAAAATTAAAAACATAGAGTAGGCTGTTAAGAATGGATGTGCTATGAACAAGGGCCATTCTCCAAAATGTTGCCTATCATGTTAAGGCCACAGTCATTTACGAACGTGTTGAGTTTTTTAGTCCATCAGCCTTGCGGTTCTCCAGACCATCATCCTCTTACTTGCTGTGCCACCGCGTATGGGCATCACCTCACCAGGACACGGCGCTAACAACAATCGCACTAACTACATCTCGCCCAACCTCCCATTACCCCCCTCGCCCGTCTTGTGAAGTTGCGCCCGGTGAGCGTGCCGATTACGTCGCAGCTGGCGGCGTCGCGGAAGACGCAACAGCAGGCAGAGCGTGAGGAGCGCCAACGCGTCAAGAAGCTCACGCTCGACATCAATGAGCGGCAGGAGCAGGAGGACTACCAGGGTAAGGCCACCAGCGCCTGCCCACACCCTCACTCCCCCCGCTTGCCCCCCACATCACCCTCTTTTCACTCTAGGCGGTCGTCGGACCGATCTCAATATTTTGACTACTATAGATATCCCTACACGGGGTCAGAATGTTCTAAATCATTTAGACCGTCGTAGTTTAACTCCCTGACATAATTTTGACCAGGGGAGGTCAGAAGTCTCACCCTTACCTTTGAGAAGATACCTTGACCATTACCATACTCCTACTCCAGTGGTTGGGGGTTGGGGGAGGAGTCCTAATATATAAACACCCAGGTCTGTGATTCTGTCATTCTGTGACTAACGCGGCACGGATTGGTTGAAGTGCGTCACGTGACCGGGACCAAACAGCCAACCATCGCTTGGCGGGGCTATAGAGGAGCGGGTGCAAGTCTGCATCGAACCAAACCCCCAGCAAGGCCATCTACTTAACGGCTAGAGGAAATTTACATGAAATGTCGTTTTCAATTAAGTATTCCAGATGTAAAATGATAAAAGCTTTTAATGAAGAAACAAAATGATCTAATTCAAAACATAATACAATTCAAAATGTTTAATTTTAAAACTTCAAAACGGAGCATCGGGTGCTTGTGTGAATGTGTCATTCGTGTGCAATTTTTTTCGTGACAATCCTGGCCTAAGGCCGTAAATGGTTGTGAGGGGCGCCATGGGCGCCCCCCAACAACCCCTAGAGTACTTGTATCCGATCTGTCCAAAAATTATACCGTGTCACCTCGTTATGACGGCCCCACTTGTAGACCCTGATGCGCCCCCCCTCCCAGAGGAGTACATTTTCCATGGGAGGGAGGAATTTACAGTTGCAAATTTTTTACTCCCAGTTCAAATAATGTACAATGTTCTGACCCCGGCGGTCAATATTCTGTGGGGTCATTGCACGGGGCCGCATCCCAGCGTGGGTTTGACCCTGGTGTGTTTTCCTTTCTCGTGGCCGCCTCCGCTCCTGGCAGAGATGCTGCAGTCCCTGGCCACGCGGCCCGCACAGGCCAACACGAACCGCGAGCGCCGGCCGCGCTACGTCCACCCAAAGGGCGCCCCCAACGCCGACCTCATCTTCAAAACCGGGGGCCGGTGAGTGACCACCCCCACAGCCCCCCCCCCCCCCCCCCCCCCGGTCTCTTGTGCCCCATGGGCTACTGAGGCAGGGTTTGCGGTGTGGAGTGTGTGAGTACGTGCGAGACATTGTGAGTGTGAGGTTGTGTGAGTCGGATGGTATTAGTGTGTGCGAGTGTGTGGGGTGGTATTAGTGTGACCGACATCTGTGACGAATATTTGACCCGATCCTGGGCTCCCCTTAGGTCGATTCAGGCTTAAATGGTTACCTGGTGCAGTGTGTAAACATCACCACTGGAGAGACATTCAGCTTGGTGTAGTTTTGGCCACCCACCCCCTCATGCACTGTGCCGGCCCTAATAGGTTCTCAGTAACAACACTTCCCCCAAAGTCTGAGTAGGCTTTGCAGGAAATATTTGTTTTCGTATGAGCGTGTATGTGTGTGTGTACATGTGTGAGTGTGCGAGTGTGTGTATGAGAAGAGGTTGGCACATTATGAGAAGTGGTTGCAACATTACACTCCAAACCCAGCAACCTGCGTTGGATTCCATGCCACAGCTAACATGTGTACACATGTGTTGGTGTGTGCGCGTGCTTTTGCAGACGGCGCTGAGGAACAGAGGAGGTTCCTGCCACGTGCGCAGGGAAAAATCAGTCAAGCGGCGCTTTGTGCCGGCTTGCCCAGGGCGCTCTGCCCATCCGCGCACACGTGTGCGTGCCTGCGTGTGTGTGGGAGAGCGGATGAGGAGATACGGGAGGGTCGGTTGGTCGTGGCTGTTTTATTAAAAACCAAAAAGTTCACATTAAAGAGACGCGAGCGGAGCGAGGGCAGGCACCGGCGGCAAAGACGCAGGCGGACGGACGAGAGCGGGGGGCGTTACACACGGCCGCGTCTGCCGCGCGGTGACCCTGCGGCGGCCGCCCCCTTCCGGGACCAGCGTGGGAGGGCTCATGGAGCAGAGCGGGGAGAGAGAGAGAGAATGAATTATGAGACGGTGACCGTGGACAACACAGCTGATCGATCGGCTGCGTGATGCAGGTGACGTGGCACAGTGTGAATTGGTGTGACGTAGGCGTGGCGCTGCGGAAGGCACGTGACCAGGGAGGGCGGTCGTGTCGGGCGCGCTCTGTAGACTCGCCGGTCTGAGCCTGAGAAACATTCGTGAGGTGAACAACGTAAGATTGTACGTGGTGTTCCAGGAGTGACAGTGACGTCACCCGAACGTTTGTCAAATTCCAACAACCAGAAACAGCCGCTGCGTTGTGTTCAGTGGTTAGGTGTGATCTTGCAGAAAGTGTTTGTGAAGGATGTCTTTAATTGGGGTTCATAGCTTTGGGACTTTTTGCCGAAATGTTAACATGAAAACCGGGGCTCTGAGCTCGTACGAGGAGACCGAATGCTTTGCCGGAGCATTACTCTGCGAGGACGTTAGAAGCGGACGGATAAATGGTGGCGTAAGACCTAGATAATCCGGCGAGCCGTTTCGTGGATTCACGCGTGATCTCGGCTCGCGGTCGTCTCGTCCGGAATGCGACACCGTTGCTGAGTTGGCAGCTTGAGTTTGCTTTGGGCTGCCCCCGGCTAAAATTACATCACACTTTGTTATGTTCATGTTTTGTTTTTTTCACAGCGAGCCTGTGGGAGCTGGCCGATCACAGCCAGTAAGTCACAGCCGGCCTTAATCTTGGGATCACCTTTGTTTTTTTTTTGTATCACAATCATCCATGGCACGTCATGCTCGTTGAGGTCCGGTTTGTGATGGCGATTGAAAGGGGAACTGCACCTTTGCTCCACGTGACTTGTTTTCCGTTGGACGCGTGGGTACGTGACGAGCACGTGGCAAGCGCTTGGCTAGGGTCGTGGACGCTGGGGGGGAACTGTTCCTGTCTCGTGGGCGTGCCCCCCCCCTCCCCCATCGGGCTACGTCTCGGTCGTCGTACATTACAACATCGTGAACTGTGTCCGTTTTGGCTTCGGCCTTTGCGGCGGGGATGGCATGGAGCGAGCGATGGAAACCCGAGCTGGAGGAAGCGGAGAGATGGGGGCGGCTCACCGAGAGGACGTCTGCGCAGATGCGCGCTCGGGGGCTTGCACACGAGCCCGTGTGTGTGTGGTCGCAGCCAAAGCCAAGTGTATGAACCGCTGAGCTCGTGCTATCAAGATGGGATCGTGGCCACGGTGGTTTGGTCCGAAGAGTGGGTTTGTCTCATGGGTCAGGGCGTCTCCGTTTAGCCTAGCAGGTGTCTCTGATCACACGTGCATGGTGCTGATGTGGTGGTGATGATGGATGGCGGGGAAAGTTGGGTTGTGGTGGTGGCGTACGGGACCATGCCTGTTCGAGCAGGACTCACACGCGGGAGACCATAGTCTCCCCATGTGGTGATCGGAACGACTTCCCGCACTCGGGGACTCAACTTGGCGTGAAGGAGGGTGTGGGGGAAGGATTTCTGGCTATCCTTAATCTCGTGAGGAGGAAGATCTCAACAACCAGCCCTTTCCGGCCTCACCGTGACGGGTTCAGTGTGCATTGACAGCGCACCAGATTGTGGGGGTTTCACGGTGTCAATAAAACACAAAATAAGCAACTCCCCGAGCCGGTATCTTTTTGTTTTGACCCCAAACCCGTACAGAGGTCACCGTTGGCAAGCCTGAGCTCCAGGGGTGGGGGATGATCAGAGTGGCCGAGTCGGCACGCGACGCTGCAAGGGTGCGCAAACAAAACAAACTCTAGAGTTTCTGTCCAATTTCACAGATGCGTCATGAAGTGTGCGTACAATAGGCAACACAAAGACACGTTTGATCGTGTGACTGGTAACCAAGGCTTCATTTCAATCGGGTCTCCCCGTCATGGCGACCCATAATATATATCCGTGCGCCGCCACACCACATCGAGTGTACACCTCTCGCTATGGTCGTTGACTGCTAGTTGTCTACTACTTAATCTAGACTACTTGGCGACCCAAAAACAATGTTACGTGAGAAATTAAGCCCCAGCTTTCACGACTGAGAGGGCGGGCAGGGGTTATTTGGCGGATGATTACGTACTGTACCCTCAAAGTGGCGCTAAATTCTTAATTTTTTTTCTTGAGGCACTGGTTACCGCCCGGGCTGGGGCTCCCCCATGGGTCCGAGTGTTCCTCCTCTGGGTGCCACGGTGGCGAGATGTTAACTACCTCACCTGGTATACAGGAGGTCGTGGGTTCGATTCCGACCCTGGTCTCCCCGTGGTCGTGTGGATTTTCCTCTGGGTCCAGTTTTTCCCTCCACATTTAGAAACATGCGTTTAGAGGATTTGGCTGCTGTACATTTCCACACGGTAAGCCACTTCATTGAGCTATCATTTGTGGCCAGGTCGCTTCTGAAAAATATCTTGGTGGGCCTTACTTGGTACAATAAAAGAAATTGTTGAATTTGCTGAGCGACGCGCGCAGTGTTTTCGCGAAACTCTCATTCCCGTTGTACTTCGAAGTTGACAAAGAGATGGCAGTTAGAGCAAGTGGTTGAACCCATGTGTGTGGGTTCATAAACCCCCCCTCCTCTCCCCCTGGTTTCACGTCGCACGAATTAAATAGCTAATTGTAACAAAATGAGTAGCAATTGCAAGCATATCTCAACGCGGCAGGGATTTTTTTGAGAAGAGTCTTAAGACTCGGGCTTTGCTGGATGAATATAAAAACGACATCGTTAATATCGATGCTGCCTGATCGCCCCGCGTGTACGTGTGTGTGCACGTCTGTACTGTGCGTACGTCTGTGTGGAAGTCTGCTTTGAACATCTGTAGACGTGTGTGTGCGCACGTCTGTATTCTGTGTACCTGAGTGTACGTCGATTGCGTGTGTCCACGTGGATGCGTTGTGTGTATACGTATGTGTGTGTACGCGCGCGTGTGTGTGTGGCTCCAGCTGTTTTAGTTTCAGGAATTTCCGTTGATGTCGAGAAACCCAAGCAAGTCCCCCCACCGCCCCCTCTGCAACTCTCATCCCTCCGATGTAACTGTGCCCAGTGGGGGCGGTGGCGGCGGCGTGAGGTGGGGGCTTTCCTTTGGTAGAGAGGGGGGGAGGGGGGGTCATATTTACGGTACTGGGACAGGGCCAAGGATGATCTGGGCTGACTCCACGTGTTGGCCACGCGTGTGTGAGGGGGGAGCGGTGGCGCCGTGGTTAGCCCACTGCACTTCGAACCCCAAGACCGAGTTCGATTCCCACTAGCAACCAACGTCAAAGGTTCTGGGCCTCCTCTAGGTCGACTCAGCCTTAAATAAGTACCTGGTGCAATGTGTTTACATCAGCATTGGGGAGCCAAAGGCGACCGGATATGGTGCTGGCCGCTCACCCCCTCCCCAGCAGACCGCATGGGTATAGGCCTCCTCGACTCAATAGCAGTGTGTTAGGCAGAGGGTGTAGTCTACACATGCCAACGTTGGCACGTGGAATCATTAAGGACAACGTTGGTCCAACGTCCTATATTTCCTGACACGTGATGTTCACGTTGCAGGTTGCTCTCGCTGTATTGTCATTTCTCGCGAATGACGCGTGCCAGCACACGCGTGTGAATTAAATGACTGACATTCACAAGAGCCCTTGGCTCGGCGTGTGGACATCTGAACGACGTGAACATGTGAAGGACATGACATCCTCACGTGTCTCCGCGCCCATCGCGCGGGCTCGTTCCCTCCCTCTCCTGCCTCTCTCAACGCGGCCGCTGAATGCGGCGTCTGATCCGCGGAGGTGAAATCCGAGCCCAGGGCGGTGTCTCCGGAAAGCGGCGCACATGGCAGAGGGAGCTTTAGCAGGGACGGGGATGAGCAGGGGGGGGCAGGGACGGGGGATGGACAAGGGGAGCAGGGACAGGGAATGGGCAGGGGGAGCAGGGATGGGGGGGGTGAACAGGGACAGGGTGTAGGGCAGGGGGAGCAGGGACGGGGGGATGGGCAGGGGGAGCAGGGACGGGGGCGGGGTGAACAGGGACGGGGGTGGGCAGGGAGAGCATGGGCTGACACCTGGGAGGAGCAATACTCCGGAGTTTCCATCTGGGGATTTAGTTTATTTTGGAGGCGGCGGTCCTTAATGTTCACGAAGCCCTGAACCCTGCCCCTGACTGTCCCCGTGCTCATGGAAAGTTCCAGTGAGACTGGGAGAGGAGGCTTCCCACGGTGGACAGCTGCTGCCCCTTGCCCTCTGGCCCCTGACCAGGCGAAATCGGGATGATCCATGGATGGGAGGAAAACGTGGAGCGGAGTCCATCGTGAGTGGAACAGCTCAGCTCCAGGCGACAACAGCAGCCTCACAACAGGCATCACATCACCCCTGTTAGAGGCGTTAGTTCACCGATTGTCCAGGCATCGCATTTCCAATACAAACGCTATTCGCCACTAAGTGACGGTGACGCCACCACGGCGCCTATGCCAGGCCAGGTGCACTTTGAGGCCACGTGAAGTGTCGAAGACTCGCTGACAGGAGGTCACGGGACAGACTCAGGTGCCATGGGTTGGCTGAGATTACCGGTAGATGCACCAGCTGTACCCCCCACAGTGCCAACTTGCTCTATTTTATCCACCCGGTGCTCCACTAGTTGTGAGCGTAGCTCATCTGCCCTCCGTTGTTGCTGGAGGGTGACTGCCTCCAACTGCCCAGTAGCGTCTTTCACGAGCCTCCTCAATAGAGGCTGATTTTGACACCGCTGGTACCGGTCTTCGGCAAGTCCACAACTCCACATCCTTCCGTACTGTATTGGTCAATCTCTTCTCCAGCCCATGTCGTACCCGTTTAGCCCCTTCTATGCGACCAAACAGAAGCTGCTTGGGCATGCGGTGGCCGGGCATGCGGGCTACATGACCCAGCCAACGCAGCATTGCCTGCCGGAGAAGCTCACTGATGGGGGAATGGGTCAAGATCTTTCAAGGATTTGTGAGCTCACACAATCCAGCTTGGTTAAATCCAGGATGGATCGTAGGCATGCCAGCTTGAATGTGTCTAACCGGCGCAGATGTTCCATTAGAGGGGTCCACGTTTCACAAGCATGACTGTGGCCGAGAAGACCCAAAGCTTCGTGTGCAGCAACAGACCAGGTAGCTTCCACACACCATTGCGCAGGCGATGACAAGATAATGCCGCCCAACTGATTCGGAGTGAGACCTCTGCTGTCAAACCGGACCTGGTCATAAGAACACTGCCCAGGTATGGGAAACTCTCCACTCCACAACTGCTCCATCACCAATGGGTAGCTGAGGGGTGGAGTGTTTGGTAGCACAAGATACTCAGGCAGGTGCTTAGTTTTGGTGTGGTTGATGGTAAAACCCCACCTCTTAGTGGCACACTCCAGGTTCAGCAGCAGCGCCTCCAAATCCTCTGAGTGAGCAGCAATCACCAGATTATCAGCAGACTCACATTATCCCTACTCCGACAGGCATCACATCACCCGTCTGTCTACAGGGATCACATCCCTCTCTCTACATCATACTTCAATTTACAGGCATCACATCACCCCCCGTATTTCTACAGGGATCACTCCAGACAGTTTCACCGCCAGTGGCCGTAGTGACGGCATTATCAGCTCAGGGGGCAAGTGCGGCAATCGATCAGGTGGAGGCCCCAATATTTTATTTTAATTAAATTGAAATAAAACGTGGAACGTAAACGAACGCTTTTCCACACAAAGACATTTAAAACGCGTTTTCAGTAAGTGTTTTGTTCTTTTACGCTATTGTTGAAAACATATCTCGTGGTGGTTGTCAAGGAGGCCCCAGCTCATCGCTTTAGCCACCAGGGGGAGGGAGGGGGGTCAAGGCACCCTCTGCCCCCCACGCTCGTTCCGCTGCTGTTCACCACCCTGCCTGCCTCCCTCCCACCCTCACCTCCCGCACACCTGTGCCCCTACCCCCTCCCCCCTAGCCTGGCACCTCATTAATTATCTCGTTCATTATTCATTTCTCCGCCGTCGCCGTCACCACCACCACCGCTACCGCCGCCGCCGCTGCAGCTGCCCTGGGGGCTCGGGTATCGGTCGCTGAGTGGAACGCGACACGGCCCGGATCGGGTGTCGAGCTCTCAGAGCGAGGGGTCGGGTGCGCTAACCCAGTGTGCCGGGGAGATGGAAGTTTGGGGTCGCTGCGGGGGCGTGTAAAGGGGTCCGGATTGTGGGAGTCAGGTCAGGGTAACTTGGGTCAGGGGTCAAGCTCCTTGCATGCCCGGGTGATTACGAATTGACCCGATTCACATTTCCGGCAGAAACCCCGATCTCAAACCGCCAAATAATTTCACCGGGGGGCCCAGGTGAGAAGACCCCGACCCCCACTTTCCAGGGCCATGAGCGAGGCCCCCACGGATGGGTAGAGACCACGAGGGCCAAAGGAGATCACACGGAGCCGATGTCTCCAGTTCACATTTTAATTCATACAGAAGCGGGCGCGTCAGTGTGTGTGGTGGCTTTGTGTATAGGGAGCGGTGGCGCAGCGGTTAGCGCGGTGCGAGATGAATCCAGCGACCCGAGTGCGATTCCTGCTCACGGTTAGCACCAGTGACGATTATCTGAACCGGTCCTGGGCTTCCTCCAGGTCGACTCAGCCTCAAATGAGTATCTGGTGCCGTGCGTAATCGTCTTGACTAGGAAGACAAAGGCGGCCGGGCGTGGTGCTGGCCACCCACCCCCTCGTGGCCGCCTTCATAGGCGCTCGATAACAGCACTTGCCCCAACAGTCTGTTCAGGCTAGACGGGGGATCTTTTCCTGTGTCATTGTATGCATGTATGTCAATGTGTATGCATATGCATACCTGTGTGTGACTTGTTTATGTGCACGTGTTTGGTGTCTGTGTAAGTAACTACGTGTGTCTGTGTGTGTCGTGTCTATGTGTACGTGTTTGGTATCTGTGTAAGTAACTACGTGTGTCTGTGTGTGACTTGTCTATGTGTACGTGTTTGGTATTTGTGTTAGTAACTACGTGTCTGTGTGTGTCTTGTCTATGTACACGTGTTTGGTGTCTGTGTAACTACGTGTGTCTGTGTGTGTCTTGTCTTTGTGCACGTGTTTGGTATCTGTGTAAGTAACTACGTGTGTCTGTGTGTGTCTTGTCTATGTGCACGTGTTTGGTGTCTGTGTAAGTAACTACGTGTGTCTGTGTGTGTCTTGTCTTTGTGTACGTGTTTGGTATCTGTGTAAGTAACTACGTGTGTCTGTGTGTGACTTGTCTATGTGTACGTGTTTAGTATTTGTGTTAGTAACTACCTGTCTGTGTGTGTCTTGTCTATGTGCACGTGTTTGGTGTCTGTGTAAGTAACTACGTGTGTCTGTGTGTGTCTTGTCTTTGTGCACGTGTTTGGTATCTGTGTAAGTAACTACGTGTGTCTGAGTGTGTCTTGTCTATGTGCACGTGTTTGGTGTCTGTGTAAGTAACTACGTGTGTCTGTGTGTGTCTTGTCTATGTGCACGTGTTTGGTGTCTGTGTAAGTAACTACGTGTGTCTGTGTGTGTCTTGTCTTTGTGTACGTGTTTGGTATCTGTGTAAGTAACTACGTGTGTCTGTGTGTGACTTGTCTATGTGCACGTGTTTGGTATCTGTGTTAGTAACTACGTGTGTCTGTGTGTGACTTGTCTATGTGCACGTGTTTGGTGTCTGTGTAAGTAACTACGTGTGTCTGTGTGTGTCGGTGCGCCCTTGTGTTTGTGCGAGTGAGAGCACATCTTCCCGTCTTTGTGTGTCTCTATGTATGGTACACTCTATGCATGTACTGTGCCGTATATATGAGAGCGACTATACTGTAATCCCAGAACGTATCTGCGGTATAAATATTCTCGCGACGCCGTCAGCTCAACATCATCGTCACCGTCATCATCCACAGCATAATCCTCATCATCAACGATCATCCTCTCCTTCAACATCATCCCCATCATCGAGCGCCGTGAAGGTTGCGTGCTGTTGAGGAGGTGGGGAGTTTGTCGGGGCCGGGCATGGCCTGTGGTGTCCAGGAACGTGGCCACCACAGACCTCACACCCCCTGGTGTGTGTGTGTGTGTGGTGTCATCTCGGGTGAACCCCCCTCTGGGGGAATCCCCTTGCTCCCCCCTCTCGTGGTCCCCTGCCTGACTTCCTCCACCTAAGTTAAACACTTGAAGAGGGACCCCCCCCGGCTCCACCACCACCACCCTCCCAGACTGGGGGTCATCACCTCGATGGCTCAGGCCTTGAGCAGCCCCAGTTTCCTCAGCGCCTCTCTGTGCTCCTCCTCTGCGGCGCGTCCGCGCGGTGAGAAGTGAACCGTGATGCCAGAGGGCCTCAGGCCCGGCCGCTGCTGCCCCTGCTGCCCGCGAGGAGGGGACCTGCCTGCCCGCCCAGGGCCCCTGCTACCGTCCCCGGCGTGGCCCGAGGGCCCCGTGGGGCTGGTGGGGCTCGCGGAACCTGTGGGACTCGAGGGCCCCATGGGGCTGGTGGGGCTCGCGGAACCTGTGGGACTCGAGGGCCCCGGAGAGAGGGGGGGACCCGGTGACGGGGCGCGAGCGGGCCCCCTCGGGCCGCACTGCGGGGAGCGCGGGCCCCGCGGGTCCCCCTTGCCCACGGAGTCCTTCTTGAGGAGCCCCAGCCTGGCTAGGGCCTCCTGCCGGGCGTGATCCTGCCCGGGTCCTGCGGGGAACTTTACGGAGCAGCGCCGCACGACGCCCGTGCCCCGGCATCTCTCAGGTTCGACTCCAGGTCCCTGGTTCTCCAGCCTCTGTGCTCCACCGCCTCCATTAGGCCTTCCGTCTCCACAACCACCTCGTCCACCATCACCACGCTCTCCATCTGCCCTCCCTACGTCAGCACGCATTCTATCACCACCTCCTCCACAGCCGCCACCACCTCCTCCTCCAACTCGTCCGCAGCCTGCACCGCTGCCACCGCCTCCACCTCCTCGTCCAAGCCCACGCGTTCCATCTCCGCCTTCCTCGTCCACTCCTCTCGTCCCTGTTGTTCGGAGCTGCGCGCGGACGCGGTGGGGCCCGGTAGACACGTCAGTCACCTCGTCAACCTCCTCCGCCTTGTCCTCCTCGTTCCCCGCATCCTCATCATCCCTCCTCTCATCATCCTCATTCCGCTCGTCGTCCGCGCTCCTCCCCCGTCCTCTCGACACCGTCTCGGCATCGCTTGGCCTCCCGTCGGGCAGACGCACGCTGGGCCGCGGGAAGAGGAATGGCCTCCGACTCCTGGGGCCCGCGTCCCCACCGAAGGCCTCGGGAAGCACGGCCCGGGCCTCGGGCGCCATCCCCGCGGGGTCAGGGAAGTCGCGCACTGCTTGACGAGGTGGAGGAAAGGGAAGAGGAAGACACGGCGACTATCCTAATCAGCGCGCGAACATCGCAACGAATCTCAACATGACAAGCAAACAAAAAACAGCCGTGCTCAATCCACTGCTGGACTTCACGCTGGTGCACTGTGTGGGTTGGTGAAGGTGGTTGGGGATCACGTTGGAGCATAGCTCTCCAACACTGCCGGGGTCGTGCTGCTGAAGGAGTAATGATACATCGTCCACGTTTGTTCATCACGTGCAGACTTTGTTAAGTGTCTGTGTAAGTCAATTATCAATCAAGTACAATAACAGCAAAGGATGTTGCGCCTCCTACCCTCTGCTGCTCACAGCATCGCTCAGCAACATCTCACTTTGTAATATACTATTGATAAATATCACTATTTATATCTTCCTATTTATATTACTGGGCGTTAAGTTGAAGGCCACGTGTGATGAATTCGTGTCGAATGCGTAACGCTTCCGTAGCCCCGTAACCAGATGCAAGAGACATCACCAAGGCGCCACAACACCACGTGCAAACACAACACCAACAACGCGTGCCAACAAACAACATCACAACACCACGTGCAAACACAGCAAAACACAACGTGCCAACACAACATCAATAGCACATGTCAACATTATAACACCACGGTGCCAACACATCACAAAGCCACCGTGCCAACATTACAAAACCACGTGGCAACACAGCATCACAACATCACAATGGCACGTGCTAACACAACACCATGTGCCAACGTATCGCAACATCACGGTGCCAACACAGCATCACAACATCACAATGGCACGTGCCAACACAACACCATGTGCCAACGCATCGCAAAACCACGTGGCAACACAGCATCACAACATCACAATGGCACGTGCCAACACAACACCATGTGCCAACGTATCGCAACATCACGGTGCCAACACAGCATCACAACATCACAATGGCACGTGCCAACACAACACCATGTGCCAACGCATCGCAAAACCACGTGGCAGCACAGCATCACAACATCACATTGGCACGTGCTAAACACAACACCATGTGCCAACGCATCGCAATACCACGGTGCCAACACGTCGCAACACCATGTGCCAAAACATAAACACCACGTGCCACATACAGCATCAACAACAACACAGCAGGATGAGGCGCGCAGTGATTGTCCAAGGTGATGCCGCTGATAGGGGATGAATGATGCTAGTGATCCTGGTGGTGATTATGGTTGTGATATGACCACCGTGGTTGGTGTTGATGATGGTGGCGGTCGTGGTAGTGATGTAATGATATTACGGATGGGGGTGTTGATGCAGCCGCTGCTAGTGACGGTGAATCTGCTGACGGTGGTGTGGTTAATGATTGTGATGATGACTCCATCATGTTGATGATAGTGGTGGTGATTATGCAAATGCTGGTAGTAGTGGAGACCTCCGATGTTCAGACTGAAGCTGCTGGTACTGTTATTGATGATGATAGCACCATGATGGTGATGTTGACGGTGGAAGGGGTAATCATGCTGATGATTATGACGACGTCAGTGGAGCAGATGATGGCTGTTGGGCGAACTCACATTCCTGCTCTCCGTGCCGGATGCTCGCGTCCAGGTAGCGCAGCGCCGCCATCTCCTCAGCACCCAGCTCCGCGTCCCCCTCTCCCTGGGACCCCGGGGTCGCGGGGGTCCCGGGGGGGGTCCCGGGGGGGGTCCCGGGGGGGGTCCCCTGTCTCCCCGCGTGCCCGCCGCTCTCCCTCGGAGACCTCATCACAGCCGCGTCATCTTCCAGCCCGTTCTCGTGATGCTTTTGGTTGGAGTGGTGGTGGTGGTGGTGGTTGTGGTGGACGCTCCTCCTCGCCTCCCGGGGTTTTCGGGGGTCCCCTTGCGGGTCCCCTTCGCCCGGAGGTTCCGGTGCAGCCGCGGACTCGACCGTGGCGTCAAAGTAACGGAGACATTCACGCTCCTCTTCTGAAAGAAGGCTCCACTCATCCTCCTCCTCCTCCTGACCACCATCACCATCAACACCACTACCATTCTCCTTCTGTAGGTGCGGGGTGCAGGGTGGGGGGCGGGAGGAACGAGGTGATGCGAGTAGGGCGCCACAGGTGAGGTGAGTAGGGCGCTACAGGTGAGACGAGTAGGGCGCTACAGGTGAGACCAGTAGGGCGCTACAGGTGAGACGAGTAGGGCGCTACAGGTGAGACAAGTAGGGCGCTACAGGTGAGTAGGGCGCTACAGGTGAGGCGAGTAGGGCGCTACAGGTGAGACAAGTAGAGCGCTACAGGTGAGTAGGGCGCTACAGGTGAGACGAGTAGGGCGCTACAGGTGAGTAGGGCGCTACAGGTGAGACGAGTAGGGCGCTACAGGTGAGGCGAGTAGGGCGCTACAGGTGAGACGAGTAGGGCGCTACAGGTGAGTAGGGCGCTACAGGTGAGACGAGTAGGGCGCTACAGGTGAGGTGAGTAGGGCGCTACAGGTGAGACAAGTATAGCGCTACAGGTGAGACAAGTAGGGCGCTACAGGTGAGACGAGTAGGGCGCTAGAGGTGAGGTGAGTAGGGCGCTACAGGTGAGACAAGTAGGGCGCTACAGGTGAGACGAGTAGGGCGCTACAGGTGAGGTGAGTAGGGCGCTACAGGTGAGACGAGTAGGGTGCTACAGGTGAGACGAGTAGGGCGCTACAGGTGAGACAAGTAGGGCGCTACAGGTGAGACAAGTAGGGCGCTACAGGTGAGACAAGTAGGGCGCTACAGGTGAGACAAGTAGGGCGCTACAGGTGAGACAAGTAGGGCGCTACAGGTGAGACCAGTAGGGCGCTACAGGTGAGACGAGTAGGGCGCTACAGGTGAGGTGAGTATGGCGCTACAGGTGAGTAGGGCGCTACAGGTGAGTAGGGCGCTACAGGTGAGATCAGTAGGGCGCTACAGGTGAGTAGGGCGCTACAGGTGAGACGAGTAGGGCGCTACAGGTGAGTAGGGCGCTACAGGTGAGACAAGTAGGGCGATACAGGTGAGGCGAGTAGGGCGCTACAGGTGAGACGAGTAGGGCGCTACAGGTGAGTAGGGCGCTACAGGTGAGTAGGGCGCTACAGGTTAGACGAGTAGGGCGCTACAGGTGAGGTGAGTAGGGCGCTACAGGTGAGGTGCGTAGGGCGCTACAGGTGAGGTGAGTAGGGCGCTACAGGTGAGGTGAGTAGGGCGCTACAGGTGAGACAAGTAGGGCGCTACAGGTGAGGTGCGTAGGGCGCTACAGGTGAGACGAGTAGGGCGCCACAGGTATGGCGAGGGGATGAGAGGGCGAGTGATGAAGATGAGAGACTAAGAACGAGGAGATGGAAACGTGAGGAGGGGGGGGGGGCAGGTGTGGAAGGTGAGGGATGAGGTGAGGAGATGCAGGTGACGGGTGGGAAAAGAGGCGATAAGGTGAGGGGGGAGAGGCGATTGTACGCGCGTTGAACTTCTATCGCACCGCACGTAGCCAGCCGCGCTAATCCGAGGTGCGGGGTTGAGGGTGGATCGCGAGGTCGCAGATGAGGTGGGAGAGAGAGGGGGGGGGGGGGGTACGGCGAAGGGATGATGGCAGTGACGGGATGAGAAGTTGATGAGGTGAGACGGTGGGAAGATGATGCTCCAGTGGAGTTACTCACCACATCGTTGTCGCAGAGCGAGCCACCACCTCTCCTCGCTCTGCCGCTCCATCCCGCGGGAGACCCGTTGTGGGTGGACATAATCCCCCCCCCCCACCCCCCGTGTCCTCTCGTCTCACCTCGTCCTCCCCGTGCCCCCCTCCCCCTGTGTCTCCCAGTGCCCCTCCGTGTCTCCCCGTGTCTCCCAGTGCCCCTCCGTGTCTCTCCGTGTCTCGCCGAGTCGCCTGCACGGGTCTCTCTGTGCGTTGGGGTTTGGGCGAGGGCGCTGGGGACGAGGGTTGAAGTGGTGGGGGGAGGAGGAGGAGTTGTGTAGGAAGGGGGGGGGGTGAGGCTGGTGGGGGGGGGGTGAGGCTGGTGGGGGGGTGGTGAGGCTGGGTGTGGTGAGGCTGGTGGGGGGTGGTGAGGCCGGGTGGTGCATGGGAGGGTCGGGCTGTGAGACTGGAGGAGTGTCACTGTGTGTGTGTGTGTTGGGGAGCGGACTTGCCCCGACACACTGTGAAGGCTACATGGGGGATCTTTGTCTTTGTTGGGGAGCGGTGGTGTCGCGGTTAGCGCGCTGCCCTACCAACCCGCCCACGGCCACCAACACCAGTGACGATTATCCGAACAGCTCCTGGACGGTCCCCTAGGTCGACTCAGCCTTAAACGAGTGCCTGCCACGGCGCGTGTGAACATCGGGCACTGGGAAGACAAAGGCGGCCGCGCGCGGTGTTGGCCACCCACCTACCCCGTCGCGTGCCGTCCCCGGCCTTAATCGGTGTCCTCCAAGAGAGTCTATTCCAGGCTATGCGGGGGTCGGGGGATCTTTGTCTTGCTTGGTTACAGTGGGGCTGATGGTGTAGGGGGGGGGTGGAGGTAAGGAACGTGATGGGGGGGGTCTCTCGTGCGCGCATTCCACAGCGGCGACGTCATTGGCTGTGGAGTCGGGCTCCGTGATCAGGCGCAGCGCCCCCCCCCACGCCTCCTCCTACAGCAGCAGCAGCGCCCCCCCCCCCCACAGCAGCAGCGCCCCCCCCCCCCCCACAGCATTGCCCCCCCCCCCCACGCCTCCTCCTACAGCAGCAGCAGCAGAGCCGCGCTGTATCGCGCCACAAGCAACGCTCCGTGCGGGGACCCCCCCCCGGGACCCCCCCCCCCGGGCCCCCCCCCCCCGGGACCCCCCCCCCCGGGACCCCCCCCCCCGGGACCCCCCCTCATGCACACGCAGCGGTGGCACGGCCAGGCCGGCTTGATCCCCGGGCCCACCTTTTGTACTCCGCTGTGCCGATGTTTGCCCAACGGGCTCGACATAATTGTTGTTCTTGCACGGGTTTAGACACACGAAGTGCCACCGATGTCCAACACGCATCACACACACACCACGCACACACAGAGCTCCGTGTGTGCGTGATGTGTGTGTGTGATGGAGAAGTCGCCTGGCGTGTCGAGAGAAGTTCCAGGGGGCAGGGATGGAGGTGGTGGCGGAGAAGGCTGAGGTTAGGAGGTGGCGTCCTCTGGTGGAGGGCCGTCACTGCTTGCTGCGAGTTCCCACAAACTTTTTTTTCATTTCAGCAGGCGCTAAGCTCAACTGAGTGACTCATCATGTGGAGCATGCCAACTCCAAATATACAGCAGCAGGCGTCAGGGTGGGGATCGAACCCACGACCTCTTGTATACCAGGCGAGGTGGTTAACATCTCAGCCACCGCGGATGAATCTCGAGAGGAGCCTCGTGGTTTGTCATAGTCCTGGGGGGAGCCGTCGCCCCCCCTTTGTGGATTAAATTCCTCACCTTGGCTATTTTGCCACCACCACCAATGCCCGACGACGTTAAATGCTCGACTGTGTTCACTCTTCTCGGGTAATTCCAGGCCTGATTTATAACCGTGACACACGCGGCGGGACTGTTGAGACTAAATCACAGTTAACGTCAACGAAACCCAGTTTAATTTACACCAGCAGCTGGTAAAGGTGCATACAGCAGGGCTATGCGTCGTGATTTTCCATGCTGACGGTGCAATGTTTTACACGTGCTCATCGCATCTACGATTAGCACGGCGCGATAGAAGTTCAACATAAATACATGTATGTTGAACTTCTTTCATGTATGTATATTGAATTTATGTCTCACCGTACGTAGCCAACCGTGCTAATCGGAGGTGCGGGGGAAGGACAACAAACTAAACACAAAAATCTGTTTTAGAGAAATCAGTTGTCAATCTAGTCTTAAAAGTGCCATAACTCCAGTGGCTTCCCGATATCGAAAGAGCGTTCCAGACGGCCGCCAGAAGCGCATTCCGAAAGCGCGCGATGCAGTGACAGCCTTCGTTCGATGGCACGCACAAAAGCCGCTGCGACGATGACCGGTGCCCCCCCCCCCCCCCCCACGGTGTTAAACAAGTGCGGTCTGCAGCTCGTCCACGCCGTCTCTCGCATGCCCCCCCCCCCCCCTCTCGCCCTCTGTGCTGAGGAAGGCCTCTTGCCTGTGCGGCGGCGTGGTGACATTTGCCCTCGTTTATTGGTCATGCCGTTGTCGTCATTGCAACGAGCGACTCTATGGCCTTACAAAAATAATAAACCGTATGGTGACGTTTCAGGCAATAACCCTTATTTATGGCACAAATTAAAAATAAGGGCCATTAACCAAAATGTTGCCCAACATTTTTATTTTATTTTAAAGGCCAGACGCGGTGGTGAGGTCGATACAGTGATGCCGTGGCTTTAATTGACAAATGACACTCGATGATTCATCAGGAGTGCTACAGCATGTTAATTCGTTAACGATAACTTTACACCACCCAGCAAAGCCAATCGTATCAAGTTGTCACGTGGGCAAATAAGCCAACTGCATGCAAAGTGTTGACAATTTTTACGGAGAATTCTCAACGTTTTGCTCACTATTCATCTCCTCCTCTGGTTTAAAAAAAACAAATCAATTGAGACATAATTGACCCACAAGGTGATAACTCCATCTGATTGGCTGTGCCGCTGGGTGGTGGAGGGCTGCAGTTAAAATATTTTTTACGCCATACACTACGCGATAATCTGACCCTAAAACAAACTACTTGTGGCTCGTAATCATTGGCCGTGTGGGAACCCCACGTATGGGACGAGTGGTGCTGCAGTGTTCCACTCGGGTCGTTGTAAACCGACGTGTGCGTCATTACGAACTATAGGGGCAGCCGTCTGCATCGCGTCTGTCAGACGTCTAACGCTTCCCTCAGGTTCTTGTTTAAAGATTATCTTACGCGATATGTGCGTTGATAATGAATAATGCGATATAACCAATACCGATATGAAAACAATGACGGTCATTTTTGGTCCCAAAAAAAAGAACGAGATTGGTTTCTTCGTCAACAACAATCGTGTTCCCCTCGTGCATTAACGGGGCGTACGTTACGTAACGAAGACGAATCTATAACGATGAGTAAATGTTTAAATCATCACCAGAGAAGCAGACTGAGGCAGCCACAAGTTTAATTAATCTTCACAAAGCAGAAGCCTCCACGCGCAAAACGCAAAACCCACCGCCAAGTCCCCACGTGTGTGCGACATTCACTCCTTTATCTACAGCGAGACCCGGGGGGGGGAGGGAGTTTACGGGAGGAAACAGACAAGTGGAGGAAGGAGAGACACGAGGAATAGACAGAAATTAGATGAAAAAGAGGAGACAGGGATGAGAGCGACTTTGGGAAGAGAGAGACATGGGGAGAGGAGACAGAGAGGAGCAATGCAGGAACGTGAAGCGAGGAGGAGAGAAACGCGGGGAGGAGAGAAACGCGGGGAGGAGCAAGCGAGACATAGGGTGGAGAGGAGAGAGAGGTGCGGGAAATCTGGGGAGTAGAGCACAACGCGAGGAGTTGGTTCTGTTGTTCCGTGTAGCAATCTTTCGCGTTTGATTCACTCGCGTCCCCCTCGACTCACGGAGGCCACGGTAAGGTGGGACAAGCAGTGACGGTGGGGGTGATGAGAGGCGACGGTGGGGGTGATGGCAAGGTCATGATAATGGGGGTGACGATGTGGGTGAAGGGAGGGGGATTGACGATGTGGGCGATGCAGGTTCCCCAAGCAACCGGCTCTCACGGCGCAGCCTCATCGTCATCGTCGGAGCTGTGATCTCCCTGCCGCCTGTATGTCGACTAACAACAACACACACACGCGCAAGTACAGGTGTGTTATACAAGTGTGTTGTTTAAGTGTACCATACACAGGGGTGTCGCTTTGCACGGGTGCGTTGTGCTGTGCACTCACTATCTTGAGCAGGTCCATGAGCTTGTGAGGGTCCTGCCCCGTGCTCAGGTCCACGAAGTCTCGTGGAAGCCGGTAGCTGAGGTGTGCGCTGGGCTGCAGGTACGACTCGCTCGTGGCACACCGCAACGCTGGCAAGTCCTGCTCACACGACACACGGTAGAACACGACGCTAAAGTGGGACCTGCGCAGGCGCGGTTTCTCCCACTGCAGGTGCCAAGGTATGGTTGTACAAGTGTGGTTGCCCAGGTGTGGTTGCCCATGCCTGTTCCTCCGCCTCCGGCACCGTGAGTCGCCCCGTCCGGAGCTCGTCCCACGAGAAGAGGAGGGCGTCCGTCACCTCCCCAAACGGGTTGAAGTCGATAAGCCACACTCGGCCCTGCCAACGGCACGTGGGTGGTTAGTACGCGCAGTAGGTGGGGCAGAGCCACCACTGAGATCATGGGAATCGAATCTGGGTTTCAGCCACCAAGGGCCTTACCTGGCTGTCCCTGTAGACGTCAAATACATCTGCGGAGAGAGAGAGAGTGAGTGAAGCAGCGCTGGGTTAGTACAGTGTCGACAAACCCAAGAGCCCACAGTGCACAGACATGGTTGGGGGGTGGGGAACGAGGGCGACATGGGGAGTAAGGGTGGCTCGGTGTGGCACAGTGGCAGTGTTGGCTGTGGTGGTGCGGTGTGGGCTGCGGTGATGCGGTGTGCGCTCACAGTCCTCGCTGGGGAAGCGCATGTGCACGCGCGCGCTGTAGAAGTCCTGGATCGCCGCGCGGATCTCGTTGCGCTGGCGCTCCAGGTGGGGGTAGTACTGCGAGTGGTCCCTCTGCGCTATTGCTGCACCAACACGCACAATGCCGCACACCACCACCACCACCACACAACGCACATCAAACACCACCGCACGCCA